GAAAAGGCACTCGGCAGATATTGGGGGAGAGAGGAGTCAGTAAGCCAGAATGTGACTGAAGACAGAGACTCACTTGCTTTAGTGCAAGAAGTTCTTATTGCCCCCAGAAGCCTTCCTGCATGATGCCCAGCGCAATGGGGCCACATGCAGAACCTAGCTTAAGATTAAGAGAGATGTGGATTTTGGGGAGTTATGTTTCTTTTTGACCTGGAGACAGGGTGAGGAGAGAGAGAGAGAGAGAGAGAGAGAGAGAGAGAGAGCAACCTGGCAAAGCGGATAGAATTAGGAAATTAGATCCAAGTTTTGACTGACCCATAATGGTTGTGGGACACTTAGCAAATCATTTCGCTTCTCAGTACCTTCATGTAACTGTAAGACTGATAGAGTTGCTGATCTGTATTCATAAAGGGAATTTCCTAGCCAGGAGTTCACTGCCTAAGTGAAGGACCAGCAAATGAAGCAAGACATTTCCTACTCCTTTGAACTTCTCTATCATGCCCCACCCAAGAACCCTTTCATCCTGACAGTTTGTAGTACTCATACCTTGATAGTAGCATCTGCCCCTAAGGCCCTCCTACTTGGAGAGCAGAGCAGAAGTGTCTTCCTGGAACCTCATGAAAATGAGAATGCCCAGGCCAGCTGCCTCTTCATTTCCTACCTGGCTATATTCCTTTCGACTTCTCCATCATGTCCCAATGCTGGGTACCTCTCCAGTTTTGTTTTTTTTTTTTTGAGTGTTATCTTCACCATTAGATTAATAAAAAACTCTTTGAGAGTAGGGACTACCTTTATTTTTTTGTATTTGCATCCCCAGTGCTTTCCACAGTGCCTGGCAAATAGTAGGTACTTAATAAATGTTTACTTATAGACTGTTTTCTATGGTAAATTTCTTTCTTTCTTTCTTTCTTTCTTTCTTTCTTTCTTTCTTTCTTTCTTTCTTTCTTTCTTTCTTTCTGTGAGGCAGTCGGGGTTAAGTGACTTGCCCAAGGTCACACAGCTACCGGGTGTCAAATATCTGAGGTCCGATTTGAGCTTAGGTCCTCCTGACTCCAAGGCTGACTCCAAGCTTTATCCACTGTACCACTTAGCTGCCCCCATGGTACATTTATTTAAACTACTTCAATAACTCACTTTTTTGGGGTAACATTTATAACTTTTTTGTAACATTATAACACTACTCCCCTTTCCCACCAAGTTTTCCTCTCCAGTAAAAAGACACTTCCACCCATTCTCATAGAGTTGGGATATCTTTTCTTAACTGTGTTACCTTGAATAAGTCTCTTAATCTTCCTGAACTTTAGTTTCCTCATTTGTAAAATGAGGGACTAGATTGTTTCTGGGTTCCCATTAAGCTCTAGATTGTAAGCATAAGTATTTTTTACATAATAGCAAAAACATGATGTTTTATTCTTCTAGTAGATCTTAATTTTTCTTGTTTTCCTGTAGTATTAGTTTTTTTTTCTTATATCTAGTCATTGTTTTCTTGGGAGATAACTTGCTGTAAGCCCAGGCTTAGGAAATTAAATTTGCTTTTTCTTGAGGTTTCCTTCCTTCCTTCCTTCCTCCCTCCCTCCCTCCCTCCCTCCCTCTTCTTTCTTTCTTTTTTCTTTCTTTCTTTCTTTCTTTCTTTCTTTCTTTCTTTCTTTCTTTCTTTCTTTCTTTCTTTCTTTCCTGCCTGCCTTCCATCCTTCCTTCTTTCCTCCCTCTCTCTCTCTCTCTCTCTCTCTCTCTCTCTCTCTCCTTCCTTCCTTTCTTCCTTCCTTCCCTTCCTTCCCTTCCTTTCCTTTCTTTCCTTCCTTCCCTTCCTTCCCTTCCTTTCCTTCCTTCCCTTCCTTCCCTTCCTTCCCTTCCTTCCCTTCCTTCCCTTCCTTCCCTTCCTTCCCTTCCTTCCTTCTATTTTCTCTTTCAGAGTTTTCTGGAGAAGAAGTTCCATAACATCTCATTTTGTTTATCAGATATGCCCCTTTGGGAATACAGCACTGCTAATCCCACTTTTTTTTTTTAATAATTTCCTTTAGTCAGAATGAAAGATTTCTGTTTTTAATAGAATTTTCATGCCTCATTAAAAAAAAAATCCAAACTCCACACAGTATAGTGTATCTATTCAGAAAATGTGATTCATGTATATTGAATTGTTTTTTTAGATGGCAATTAATACTTGTAATTAAAACTAATCATGCATAACTATATTTAACAAAGATGAGCATTTTCTCAAATTAAAAACTTGTCTTATACACTGCTTCTTTTTCCAAGGGCAAGTCCCAAGAGAGACATTTCTCATTTTTCATGGAAGCCCTTAGAGCTAATACTCATTCAAACCATTCCTGGAAACTGCTGATAATTCAGAAAATTTAATTCAGGCCATTATAGTTTTTTTAAAAAGGCAAAATTAAGTTGTAATAATTGAAAGGGAGTGTGCTGACAAATAGTTAGTACTGATAATTTGATCTCCGAGTACTTATCATATATTTACTGAATTAGGACCTGACTCTTCACGAGCTCTTGTCAGTTACCATATAATAGTATTACACTACATTTTAGAAGGAAATATCCTGAATTCATGTAATGTTACAGACAAAAATCTTGGTAAATGTTTTAAAATAATATGTAAAGTATTTCATACTCATGATATATATTCAAGACCTCAGATTTTTGCTTGTCACAAACTTAGCTCATGTTTATAAAAATAGAGGAGGTAATGTATAATAGTGTAACTCTTTTTATGAGGCATCCCCTTAGCAATGTTTTGTTTTGTCTGTTGGTCATAAAGCTTGATCTATTCAGTCCTATTTAGTTTTTGGGGGTGAGGAGGTAGGGGAGGGCAGCTTGATGGCACAGTGGATAGGGTGCTGGGCCTGGAGTCAAGAAGAGCTGAGTTCTAAACCCGGCCTCAGGCACTTACTGTGTTAACCCTGTTTGCCTCAGTTCCTCATCTGTAAAATGAGCTGGAGAAGGAAATGGCAAGCCACTCCAGCATCTTTGCCAAGAAAAGCCCAAATGGGGTCACAAAGAATTGGACACGACAGAATAAAATTTAGCTTTTTAATTATTGCACTGGCTACACCCACCAATTCCTGCCCTTAGGACTTCATCTGGCCTCCGTGATCTGAATGGAATTGTGTCCAAATGGAGTTTAGGAGTGGCATGTATTCAGGAGATGGAAAATGCTACTTGAGCTTATGCTCTGCAGTCATGGAAAATTTTCTTCTATATACTGACATGTTGTATTTGGAAATATGTGGCGTAATAGATAAGAGGGCCAGACTCATATTCAGGAAAATCTGGGTTTAAGTCCTGTTTCTAACATTGACTGGGTGTCCGTGGGTAAATCACTTAAACTTTCAATATCCTGGCAATTTCAGGCACTAAGCTGTTTTCTAAGACTGTAAGTTATAGAAGAATTGCTGTTCCACGTCAGTAGGGGCAATTTCCACAATGGGAATTCCTTCCACAGCAAAATTCAGATCTAGACACCCCCTCCTCACTGCAAATGTATTTGAGAAAGTCTTTATTCATGATTTTTACCCATTTTCATGAGCTCCAGACTTGTGTATAATTGAAAAACAAAACTGTAGTTGCCTCCAAAAGAAGTGCATGTTTTGAACACACATTAATTATTAACACATTTTCTGAACACCTTCAATTCTTGTGACTCTGTGCTAGACATGATTTAGATTTCATTGTGAACAAGATATAAACAATGAAAAGCATAAACTGTGCTAGGCAAGGACAGTGATGACTTATCGGCAATATTTGCTGCCAGAATTCAGAGAAAGAGTGCTGATGAAACTGATGGGGAAATGTTCATTGGAAGGATTCTTTGAGGAAGGAGTTAAGTTGAGCCTTGAGGGTAGATGAGATCTAGATTGTCAGAGAATTGATGGCCTGTGGGTGCCAACTCTCCTTTTCCTAAGGAAAAATTTCAGGGGGGCAGCTAGGTGGCACAGTGGATAGAGTACTGGCCTTGAAGTCAGGAGGACCTGAGTTCAAATCCAGGCTCAGACCAAACACTTGATACTCACTAGCTGTGTGACCCTGGGCAAGTCACTTAACCCCAATTGCCTGGAAAAAAAAAAGAAAAGAAAAAAAATTTCATAGGATTGAATATGAAAATGAAAATGATATCATGACTACCATCTAGATTGACCTAGAAGCAATACAAAAAACACATGGTTTTTTGAGATGACAGCTCACATGTTACCTTTTGCAAGACGCCTTTCCAAGTTGTCCCAGTCTTCATCTCACCCTCGGTGTTGCTAGAGCTTTCCCACTGACATTACCATCCCATTCATGAATTAGCACATAACCATCCCAAATCTTTTCTTAAGGTTTCCTAGCCTAATTGAAGCACACCTAATAGAATTCAGTATGACAATGGACCCGACAATATAAAGATTTGAAATCTACTAACATTGAGTAGAAAATAATCTGCTAGTGCTTGTTCTATCTCCATACTTGCTATAATATTTATAGACAAAGAAAGGAAGGGAAAGGAGAGAAGGGAGGGGAGGGGAAGAGTATATATGGTTATTTGCATATTGTCTCCCCATAGGCTGTTTCTTGAGGGCAGGAACTTGCCTTTCTTTGTATCCCTAGTACTTAGCACAGTGCCAGGCACATAATAAGGGATGAATAAATGCTCGTTGACTAACTGATGGAGGGGATACTTCCTTAGGTATGGAATAAGTCTCCACGTAGATCTAGAAGAAGCAGTAGAAGAAGCATTGCCTGTCAGTAACAATCCCATTGGTCAGATTTTTCTGCTTCAGAAGAAGCTGTTTAGACTGGTGGGAGAAAGAAAGTTAAATCCTTGACATGTTTATTCATGCTAACAGAAGCTATTTTGAAATCAAGGGTGTTATGAATCAACTTACACTCTCGTTTGTATATATTTTGGGTAATGCCAGTGGCAGCCGTATTACATTTGATTTGAGGTCTGGTTATTCACATTGTGCCAGTTTTGAAGGGTCTCCTTCTTATCTAATCATTTTCTCTTTCAGACTAATGGACGTATATCTGGAAATGGAGATGTATATCAAGAAAGGCTAGCACGTTTAGAAAATGATAAAGAATCTCTGGTTCTCCAGGTAGTCATTTTGTGTTAAACTTTTCTTTTAGTATATTCACAAAGATTTCATCTTAATTTAGTGGCAAGGCAGTTTTCTAGTTTATATTTAGCATATATATATATATATATATACATACACACTTATGTGTGTGTATTACATGTGTGTATACAGCATAAATGTACACAGATAGCACATTTATGTGTATATGTTTGTACAAAGCATAGGTTATTGGCAATAGTTCCTCTATATTTTAATGGCAACCATTTGAACTTCAGAATGACGGAATAAATATATCTCTCACACACACACATGCACACACACACCATGTTATTGTGAACCAAGTGGATTTAAGTCTTAATATTTGATGTATGAAATTAAGATTAAATTCATAGTACCTTCATTGAACTTTTAGAATGGAAAGCATTCAGCTCAAGGTGTCTAATCGTGCTCTAAAAACATACATCTAAAAACGTTCTGGTTTTGAATTCTCTAAGCTCTTTTGAAATCTGAGTGGCATAAATCTATCTGACTTGATAGTTCCCTTTTAATTTAAGTCACAAAAGTTACTTTTTATTCTGCTCTTGCCAAACGATGATTTATATAAAGGCTCTATAAAATAATTATATAAGTGCTTAGTAAAGTTTCCTCTATATTTTAACGGTGACCCTTTGGATTTCTTCAGAAGAAAGGGATTAACAAAAATAAGTGAATGTGTAAGTGTAGGTGAAATGTACCGTTGATATCATAATGTTGAGTAAATTATATGTCTCTTTTTTTAGTTTAGAGAAATTGAGGAATCAATGTGTATTGTTATGAATTGAATTGAGAAACAGACAGAGATGTACAATTCTTTTTTCCTTATGTCAGTATTTTATGCTTTTCAGGTAAGCGTATTAACAGATCAGGTGGAAGCTCAGGGAGAAAAGATTCGTGATTTGGAGTTTTGTCTTGAAGAGCACAGGGAGAAATTAAATGCTACAGAAGAAATGTTACAGCAGGTATGGAGAGAGAATTAAGCACTAGCAGACGATTTTCTGCTAAGTGTGGGGAACTGCAACTGTTGGGTCTGTTGGTGCACTGAATTCTATTCGGTGTGCTTCAGTTTGCCTGGTAAATCTTAGGAAAAAAGTTGAGACAGTTGTGTGCCAGCCCATGAGGAAATGAAGAAAGAGGATCTTAAAATAGAATTCTGTTTATATTTTTGGAAAATTCTAATTTGTGCATATACTTTGTTTCCAAAATTTTCATATTATTTTCCTATATGGGGATTTTTAAAAAAAGTATTAGTTATTTTTCTCTTAGACATTATCATCTGACAGATTTTTGTTGCTTTGAGGGAGAGGTTTGGGTCAGTCTTCAGCAGTAAGTAAGGAGAGAAATCCCATACAGAAAGAACTCCAAGTCAGCTTTCTCCCACCACCATACCACTTCTTTAATCTTCAGTAGTGGAGCCTTACTTGCTATGTTTTTTGAGGTTAGATAAGCCTTTATAGTCAAAAAAAATGCTTGGATTTTAGAAATGTAATTAATCCTTACACAAAAAGTTGCCTTGATAAAGGTGCCCAACTTCACACTTCAGTAGAAAAATTCTTTATTTTGAGGCAATCTTGTATATACAGCACAGAACTAAATGTAATTGTTTTAAGTATTAAAATGTTTCATTCTTTCATCAGGAACTTCTGAGCAGAACATCTCTAGAAACTCAGAAATTGGACCTCATGGCTGAAGTATCTAACTTAAAGCTAAAATTGACTTCCGTAGAGAAGGACAGATTAGACTATGAAGATAGGTTCAGAGACACAGAGGTAAGTATACCAATACAATTTATTACAAGTCAGTATTTCAACTCATTTTTAAATATCTATTTGGTCTTCAAGTCTATTTTTTTTAAAATAAAGCATTTATTAGTGTTTCATGGCAGTTTTCATTAGGACATTAATTTTTTAGTTATTATTAGACACATCTGGAGTTTAGACCATCTATGGGTTATTTAGATAATCTTTCATATAACAATGAACTAGTTTACCTTATTTTCTAAATAGTAAGTATGAATTTTATTGTTTTACTAGTAGTTTTCAGATAAGGAACAGAATGGAGTAGCAGACGGAAGACCATCAAGTTCAAGTCTTGCCTCTGACACATACTAGCTGTGTGACTCTGGGCAACTCACTTAACCCCTCAGTGCCCCAGGCAATTCTATAAGATTATAGATCATAAAAGGTTGGGATTTTTTTTTTTAATTTTGTTTGGTTTGTTTGGTGGGGAAATTGATTGATTGGTCGATTAAGTTCCCTACGTCAAATAAATCACAAGTCCAAATTTCCTCCATTCCTCTCTCTCCTCTCCCTCCTCCCAAATAAGAGCTCTTTGGTGCATTATTTATTTTAGTTCTAGTGGGAGTTTTTATATATGTATGCCTTGTGTTAGTTGCTTAGTCATAGACTGTGCTCTTAAGAGGTAACTTGGTCTGGTCTCTTGCTTTTGGATAGAACCACACCTAAACAACTTTAAGTAAGATTTTATCCTGAAATGATAAAAATTGGGTTGATTCCATAAGCTTCTTTAGTAGGTAGTAGTTACCACCAGGATATTTTTCCCTGTCATTTACTTCGTATGTGAGATAGACAGGTGTTCCATATCTTTTTTTGACTGACCTCATTGTCAATCTATAGTTTGGGGGCAAAATAAAACTGTTCTGAAAAGACTGCCACAAAGAGGGTAGTTTAATTCTCTTCTCTCGTGACCTTGCTTCTTTTCTCCACTTTTCTAATTACCATCTTTGGCTTATTTGTGAACATGACACGTTGAGGGAAGAAGGAAATTAGAACAAACTGGTTTATACCGTGTTAGGGAACGAGGCATAGGAAAATAATTCAATTTCTATCTTCTCCCCCACTTCCACTTCAGTTCTGATCTAAACTAAATCCCTTAATTTCCCCATCCTGCTTGGAGATGGACATTGACTGCTCAGCATCCTTTCTATAAAACCACCTTCATCAATCAGAAAGCTATGAGATCTTTCCACAGCTCTTTTCAAGGTTAAGTAATTCCATGTCATTTTAACTTTCCCCTGGAGATTTTACCTTAGCTACTCTCTTCTAATTCCTCCTGATGTCTTCGCTTCAGTCTTTAAATGTAAATTCCTTTCCTTCTTTTTTGTGGAAATACACCCCAGCAGATGAGGACCCAGTCTATTCCTTTTTTCATCTTTGAATCCCTAAGTGCCTAGTACAGTGCCCTACTTGGTGTAGCTGTTTAATAAAGGCCTGTTGAGTTAAATTCACTTATCAGATTGGTTCAGATCTTATTTCGCTAGATCTCCCATTATCTTTTTTTCCAGCCACATATATTGTGTTCACTTGATTTTCTAAAAGAGAACTAGAAAAAAAAGTCAAACTTCTTTCCAAATTCTGTTCCAGGAAAAGAGGTTACAGTATGGAGACCAAGAGGTGACCTTTTACATTATGTACCACAACGCTGGGCCAAACTTAATCTCTGTGCATGAGTACCACTAGATTTCCTGAGGTACACTGAAAATGCTTTCATGAATCCAACAAAACGCTATTGTAACATTTATACTCCTTATTTGTTTGTACTTTTGGTTGAAATCCCTTAACAGTTCTTCTCTTCTCCACTCACTCAACCTGTCCCTAGTCATACATGTTCTTATCTATAAGAGTTCAAATAAACCTAAACTCTTTCAAAATGACTCAAGGAGGAATCATCACACAGTTCTTACTTTAAACATACTTATGCCTAACAGTGGGGAGGTTATGACTGAATAGAATAGAGCATAGAATAGAGCATAATTCTTTTCCTATTTGCCTCCCCCACCCCCAGAAGCAAAATTAATTCTTGGAAATTTTCTGACTCTCAGAACAGCTTGCCCCTTGTGACCAACAGCTTGGGCTGAGGTGAGATGGAAAAAGCACTGGCTCTGAATTTCAAGGATCTGGGTCTGAATTCTAATTCTGCCATGTTAACCACAGCAGGTAGAAGACCTTTATGATCCAATAATCTATGAGCTTCTTTTGATTTTATTATGCAGTTAATTTCTCAGAAGATTTTACTTCTGAGCAAGGAAGAAATAGGAGCCTAAATATTTCTAAAAGCCTTTAGAAGGTTTAGGTTTGATCAGAGTATTTTTAGCAGTTTTTCTTAGGGTTTGTCCCTGATAGATGTTTCTTTTCATTGGTCAATAGCTCCACCTGTTGGACAATAACAAGAACATCAAAAATTTAGATCCTCTTGGGATCCTAAGAGTGGAAAGGCTACTCTTAACTTTCATTCATTCATTCATTCATTCATTCATTCATTCATTCATTCATTCATTCATTCATTTATTTACTTATAGAGGGGCAGTAAGTGAGCTTCTTTCAAGAAATCAATCTTGAAGCAAACATTTATTAAGCATTTACCTTGAATCAGTCTCTGTGCTGGGGGGTTGATGCTTACCAGAGACAGAAATGAAACAGCACCTACCTTCGAGGAGCAAAGATTCTTTTTTGAATGTGGATTCCCTTTCCATGGAAACAACTTGCTCTTTTCAGAATTGACCCAAATATATTAAAACACATATATTGAGATTTACAAGTGTAATCCTACACATATATTGAGATTTACAAGTGTAATCCTACTTATTTAAGGATATGTTATATAATATTACAACTCAACTTTCTTGAATTATTTGACCTCTGGTAATTTTGTCAGATTTTTATGGGAGTTGGCAAATGGAATGCAATATAGAAATATAAATTTTGTGGCTTAATATATACGTGTGGAGAGAGTTTTGATGTATATCAGGGTTTTTAGAGTAAGAATATTATTTTTACCTCATTAAGCACTCATACTGTGCATGACACAATATGACACAATATAAGAAAAACAGTGTGATCATGAGATTGTACTCAGAATTATGCACTTGAGGTTATAGGCTCACAATTTATTTATCATATATTATTGTGTGTGTTTCTAGTGCCCAGGCAACTGAGACTCTTAAGTTGCAAAAAAGATGCTGATCTGCATTGGCAGAGATACTCCCTTACCAGGACCTTCCCTTACTGATGAAATTACAAGTCTAATAAAATAGATTGATTGATACAAAATAGTACTTTCAGCAATAGCACCCTCCTCCCCAAAAAAAGTGTCTTAAAATGGATAGCAACAGCAATAACACAAACACTTAATAAAGATATGAACTGACAGGCACAGTTCTCCAGGTTATCCATTCTTAGGCACAGAGATGCGCCTGGACTTATAGAAACTATAGCCTAATTTTAATTTGGGAACCAGAATCCCATCAGATGGGGAGAGATTTTACCTCCTTCTTAGTATTGACTTAGGTGGATTCTTCACATTACCAAAAGCAGGCCTTAGAGCATTTGCCAATCAGGTACAGAAGAATACCTTATAATTCTACCTATATTCTTGTTCTGGGTCTCCATGACAAAGGGATATACCTTGAATCACTCACACTAGACAAACCTTTGGGCTTAAGGCCTGGGCAGATTGTGTGGCACCCATAGCATTCCTCCCCTTGGTCTCAGTTCTAGTGTGCCTCACTAGAACCAAGATCATATTATGAACCCAGTGGAAAATTACTTGGACCTCAGGTTCCAGGTAGTAACAGGTGAAATGCCCAGGGAAAGAAACATGTACAGCACTCTTAAAACAACCCCAGCAAAAACTCCAGCTACCCACTGAAGTCAGAATAGTAGTAGGGTCACTAGGGCTATAAAGTGGTTGGGCTTATCAGAGATCAATAAGATGTAGCATTAAGCAGCTAGGAACAGACAACCAATTACCAAAAGGAGGAGTGTAGGAGTCAGGGGAGTCCTCCATTCCAAAAAATTTGCAAAAATGTATCTGGAAATAGAAGCTAGGAGTTTATAATGCCCTTGCTTTTAACTTGTGCCTCAACACGAGATAACAGCTCTCTTCCTATTTCTGCCACACATTTCATGTTTTCTGTTCCTTGGCCTACCGCCTCTCCTTCATATAGACATGTACTCTTAAGTAGATGGAACGAAATTTTCTGGCCTGTATTGTAGTAATTGCCAAGTTTCTCTGGGGGTCCCACTGCGCACCTTTTAACTTTTACCTCTGAGCCGTTGTAGAAAGGTCACTCAAGCAAAAACCCTCCCCCATTTATCACTTCTCCTTTACCCAGGTATGCTGGGTCACTGTCTCTCCCTCTACTTCCAAGCCCTTGTAAGTTTTCAGGGAAGTGATTTGCCCAAACTGTATAAGGGGAAAAGGTAAACATGATGTTAGGAGGAACGTTTTCCATTTTTCTAAAAGGAAAGATCTCTCTTTGTGATGATTTCTAGCTCCTAAGGAAAACAAGATAGGGACAAAAAAAATTTTTTTCCTAAAATTGTGCTGGGGTTGTAGTGATTGGTAATGTATTCTTAGCTGGTTGGTCTCCCTGCCTTATTTCTCCCTACTCTAGTCCACTCTCTACTCAGCTGCCAAAGGGATCTTCCATAAGCTCTGGTCTGACCCTCCCCCTTATTCAGTAAATTCTAATGGCTCTTTGTTACCTACAGGATCAAATTAAAAATCCTCTTGTTTTGGCTTTTAAAGCCCTTTACAAATGTAAAGCCTTTTACCTTTCAAGTCTTCTCACCCTTTACCTTCTTCTATGTACTTTACAATCCAGGAACACTGAGCTCCTTGCTTGTTCTCATAGCTACTTTCTTTCTCATCTCCATGATTTTTTACCCGCTGTCTCCCATGCCTAGAATGTTCTCCCTTCTCATCTGGCTCATGGTGTTGTTCAAATCTCAGCTAAAATCTCACTGAAGAGGTCTAGGTAAGAATTCTAATTGGGGAGGTCAGACAGATTGAATAGACAATGGGAATAGATAATGGAGGGAACAGGAAGACAGAAGTTTGAAAGGCATCTGCACCAAATCAAGGTGGGGCTAGGACTTTCAAAAGGAGATAAAGGAAGTCTTAAGGAACAGTTTGAGACCAGAGAAGGCCTTTCTGGGGCCTATAGACAAAAGGGAGCCTAAGGCTTTCAAAGGGAGATGAGGGTCTGGGGCCTGTGAGTCAGATTCCCTTTGGGGCAAAGGGCGAAGATCTTGGCTTGGGCCCCGCCCCTATCATTACCATTTTAAAGAAGACGTCCCCAATTGCCCTCAAAGCCTAATGCCTTCCTTTTGAGATTACAATTATTTCCCCCCAATTTGTCGTGGTTGTTTGAATGTTTTCTTCCCATTTGAATATGTGCTCCTTGAGGGCAGGAACTGTTTTTGCCTTTCTTTATATTCTCATTGCTTGGCATAGTGCCTGGCACATAGTAAGTGCTTAATAAATACTGATTGATTTGATCTAAGGACTCACCATGTATCTCTTCATCCTTATGATTTGTATTAAGAACTGAGCAGGAGAATCACTTAGTAGATTGTTGGTGAATGAGAGCAGACACTGCCTTCACAAGAAGTCAGTCGGTTTGGCCAAGGTCAGAATGAAGAAACAAATCGGTCTTAGAAGTCCATTCTAGTGTTCAGCCTACCAGCTTGCTGCCTGAAGGCCAAATGAAAATAAATGCAAGGCGATGTTGTGGGAACCCAGTCTTACATAGGTAAAATTCAATCCTTGGTCAGAAGAAACAGAAGTAAGATGGCTGTAAGGGAGGCAGTAGTCACAGCTGTGGCATGCCAAGCAGTTACAACAATGTCATTCCCTGAGAAAATATCAGTGGTATTTGTCAGAGTATAAAGTGTAAACTTGAGCTATGTGAATTCTGTGGGGAATGTGACTGGTGGCAACCACAACAGTCAGAAGCAATGACTGTCACTTCATCAGTGGACAAGGGATAAAATAATCATGTGCCCAGCAGTACTTGTCATCCCTGCCTCCATGACCAGAGTGAAATTGCTCCCAATGAGACAGAAATGGCAAGGGTGAGTTTGTTCCCAGCATTATTTCATTCTGCGAAAAGACTGTCTGGGCACTGGGGAGTACTAACATGGCCTCCTAAAATGAACAAAGTTCTACCACTGGTCCAGTTCTCAACCACCAAGCCAGGCCCATGGCAACAGTCCATGACCCATGAATGATGATTTGCTCTATTTCCATATGTAAGGCAATGTCACAGGCCATCTGAGCAGCCCAGAGTTCAGCCCACTGTATGAATTGCCCAGGTATCTCGTCACTTAGTGACTCACTAGAAATTGTGTTGAGCCTGGTAGAGGATCAGTGTAGACTCATAACTGGCAGAGCCAGGTGTCATGGTGGTTCTGTGAAGTGTTCAAATCCTGGTGTTTCTCTTTGTAAATGATAGTAAGGACACCAGATAAGTAATATGGGCCCTCTAAAACCTAACAAGATAACAAAGCATTCACCTGCCTTATTGATTGGAAAACCCATTGGCAGGCTTTTATCTCACATCATGTTGGGCATAGACTGAATGTGCCTGATCCACTGGATCCCCCCAAATAGCACTGATCTTGAAGGCTCCTCCATCTTTCTGAGGGTAAAGTCTTCCATCCATAAGAGCAGAAGTAGCAGACAACTGCCTGTATAGCAGCGGGTGATCTCAGAGGAATCTCCAGCCGCTACAATGCCATCTATCAGTAGAATGATGAAAGAAAACTGCAAAGGGTGGGGACGTGGGGAGTGGGGTAGGGTGCCTCTCCAGAGGCATGCTATGAAAGTATATTGAAGGCAGTAAGGTGGCACAGTGGATAGAGAGCACTGGGCTTGGAGTCAGGAAGACTCATCTTCATGAATTCAAATCCAGCTTCAGATGCTTACTAGCTGTGTGACCCTGAACAAGTCACTTAATAATCCTGTTTGCTTCAGTTCCTCATCTGTAAAGTGAGCTGGAAAAGAAAATGACAAACCACTCCAGTATTTTTGCCAAGAAGAGCTGGACATGACTGAAACAATTGAATAACAAATAGAAGTATATTAAATGCCTTTCCGTATGAAAGTGCATTGTTCTTGACAACCCTGGGTGTCAGGATGGAAAAAACAGTCATTCACTAAGTCAGTAACACTTAATCAATAAACTGAGGAATAGCTGATATCCTTAACAAATACTACCATATCTATCAAGGAGAGGGGAGGTGACAGGGGTGACCACCTTCAATTTCTTAGGCACCAACTCTCATTGGTCTTCCACATCGCATTATTGGAGGAAGAGATGTGTCTTTCATATGTGCCATGAGGGTAGAAATTTCACATGGCACTGCTGTTTGTTAACAGTATGGAGTGGAAGCATGGATCATCTTCCTATATCATCTTAATTTAACCCCATAGGGTGGTTCCCCCCAAACCTCTTACCTCTTTAAGGATTCCATGGCTAATCTAAGTACAGTCCACAGGGATGATGGTCATCTGGCTTACTATATCTAGCAGATCCATGAATATCTGATCTTCACTCTCTACCCAATAAACTGTTACCTGGGCCTATGGTCTTTAATCCACTTTCAGTCCAAAAGTAAAACCAGATAGTAGATTTGGGGAACTTGCCTCCACCCGTGACACTCTGATTTCTGAAGACCTACATTATTTTCCTTCCTCTATTACTGATAATTACTAACCAAAGTGCTAAGGGGACCATTTATGTCCCTCTTAGTAAAGTTCTGTTTTAATTACCAGGTCCATAATGACCACCTAAACAAGACTTCTTCTATCCCCATCTTGTCAGGCTAGGCCACCTCTTGGGTTTTACTTTTTGTTACTAATCATGAAAGACTAGAAGGAAATATTCATTTCTTATCCAAGAATACCTGACAGAGAAAGGGATAATTACCTTGTATTCATCTTTTGTGTTTTATCAATTTTAATTTTATTAATAATTTGTGATAAGAGTTGGTAAGACTTTTTTTAATTGAGGAAAAACAGGCTAATTAAGAGGGAAGATTTCCTTTCATCATATGACTAGTATCATATTGAGTACTATAGAACAATTAAGAAACAGCACTGAAAATAACTTCTTAGCCTTATAATAGCAACTAGTACTCTAGAAACATACGTTGCCTTAAATCAAATATTATTCAAAAGATGGAAAAACTAGGGGTTTTGTTTTATGAGGTTTTTTTGTTCATTTAATTTATTGATCTATTTTGTGAAATTTAAGAAATCTGTAGCTATTAAAAATCAACGGTAGATACAACATAGTCTGATTCTCTGAGATCTCTCCCAGGAGTATATGGCCACAAGGGTGAAATCAAATCAAAATAGTTGTAAGCTTCACAAATAATAGATTCACTTAATTTTAATATATTTGAAGTACTTATAGTCACTTTATATTCTGTTTTGTGATTCTCTTTTGTTTTCCTGGGATTTCTTCCCCTTAATTTTCTAGCTGAACTTCAAAATTAATTGATGATTTTTCCCTCCCTCCCTTCCCTCATTCCTTCACCTTTCTCTTATTCCCTCCCTTCCTCCCTTTTTTATCATAAACTTAATAAGTGTAAACAAAAAAAAAAGAGCATGGTATGATGGAAAGAGGTCTAAATCTGGAAACAGAGGACGTGGATTCAAATCCCAATTCTGGTGATAGAATGAAGGGCAGATTAAGGGAAGGGATTATCCAGAATGCACGCCATCTTGGGGTGGGGGGAAGGGCGAGTTGGGGAGAAAATTTGGAACTCAAAATCTTGTGGAAGTGAATGTTGAAAACTAAAAATAGATGAATTAACGAATCCCAATTCTGTCATGTACTACCAATGGGCATATTATTTAACCTTTCTGGGCTTTAGTTTCTGTTTATGTCAAATGAAGTGATTGGGTGGAGTAGTTGACCTTCAAGGGCCCTTCCAGCTCTTAAGTCTATATTCCTAAATTTATGCCTGCTGATAAGCATATATAACAAGGGTCAAAATTTTAATACAAATCCTTAGCTTTTAACAAGGCAAAACCAAATGAATTAACAAATGCATTTGTTCTTTGTCCTCTTCCTGCCTTGCTTAAAGTTCTGCCACTTTGGGCCTTGCTGTTTATTCCTTCCTTGATTAAATGACTTTTCCTTTATTTCTTTTCCATATTGTGTGTGTGTGTGTGTGTGTGTGTGTGTGTGTGTGTGTGTGTGTGTGTGTGTGCGTGCATGTGTGACAGGGCCTAATGCAGGAAATTAATGATTTGAGATTACGAGTTGGTGAAATGGACAATGAGAGACTTCAATATGAGAAAAAGCTTAAATCTACCAAAGTAAGTGACTTTTACTAGTTGTACACAGTCCTAAAATGTGTTAATCCAGATCTCACCTTTTGCTAATAATATAAAAATATGGATAATGAAGAATAATTTGTATAAAAAAAGAGTTCCCTCAAATGGGAACCTCCTAAAGTTCCTCCTGTGGCTCAGAAGGAAAACCAGAATCTGATTTATCACAGAAACCTTAACTTGTCATATCTCTGATTATCTAACCTCCTTGTAAACTGATTCTCTTCTCTAAGCTATTTAGCTTTGTTTTTTTTTCTATCTTTAGTTTTCTTTCACTGCTCTATCTCTGTTACCAGTCTTTAATGGCCAAACTTTCTAGCATGAAAATCAAGGTGGGGCAGATGCAGTATGAAAAGCAGCGGCTGGAACAAAAATGCCAGACATTAAAGGTGGAGTAGACCATGGATGGTTGGACCTTTGTGTTTCCTGTTAAACTGTGTTTATGTCTCCATGTGACTGGCATGCTTTCCTAATGTGCATTAATTTTTCTTTGTGCCATGTAGCCTGATTATTTTTAAAGTCATAAACTACTTATTAAAATATTCTTAAGTGTGATCATATCCTACCTTTTTCAGAAAGTTTTTGGAACAAAAATTAAGGCAACAACACACAAGTGAATAGAGTTGGGGGAGAGAAGAAGGATGGAAGGAGGAAAATGAATTTGAAAGTTAAATATAACTTAAACTTGGAATAGACCTAACTTTCTACTTGTTAGGTTGTTAAACCATAAAATTTTACCTTCCAAAGAAGTTCATTTCATCTTCACAGTAAACTATATTTGCTTCTGCCATTTTTGAAAGAGGAAAAGAAGGGAAATGCTATGAGGGAGATAGAAGGTTAGATGTTCTTGGTCTGACATAATTATTTCATATCACAGGGAGAATGGCATTCCTTTCCTTTCCACTCTCTTTTAAACACTCTGTTTTTCTGCCCCTTCTATTACCTTTAATAAAAATTTACAAAAATTTTAATGGGGCCTTCTTTGAGGGGCTCTGAATATCTTCTTTATCTTGATTATTTGAAGAATGTCAGGCACTATCCTATCAAGAGGATTTTTGTTTTTAGGTGATGAAGATAAATGTTATGTTTCTTAGTGTTCACAAGCTTCTCTGTCTGAGTTTAAATCACTCCCCCAAAAAAACCACCCACCCACCCATCTTAGAATTTATAATAGAGTCCAGTTTAAGAGCTTTCCCCTAAAATTCTGTACAAGGAAAACAATCAAGCAAATTGATGTTAAGCTTGAGAACTGACAACTTGCTAAGTGCTAACTATTATTTTAACCTCTTTTTCTTTCTAAAAATATGTTTTATTGATATTTTTACATTGCCTAAACTTCCTCCAATATCCCTACTCCTCCCTTCCTAAGAGTTATCTTTTATAACAAAGAATATTTTTAGAGAGAAAATAAAATAAAGGAAGCAGAGGGGTGAAATCAGCAAAACTGATCAGTACATCAAAAAAGTTTGAAGATATATACAGTGTTCCATGCCCACTTATTATTATTACTACTATTACATTTTCTCCATTGTTACATTGGCTTTTATTCTTTTGCTTTGGTTATGAGTGTTAACTGGTCTCATGTTCTGATGAAATTGGCCTGATGTGTGAAAGAACTGTATTTCTGGATGATAAGTATGGATATTATTTTGTTTTGTTGAGATGGCATGTACATAGTATCTGTCCATTATATTTTGCTTTCCTGACTTAAAACATCCAATCCATTTATCTTTTGTTATCAAAAATCTTTTTTTTTTTTTGACCAAAAATAAACAAGCCTTTATCCAGTATAAGATCCAAACTTTGGAGACGCCTGACCTACCACTTTTCATTTTCTCTCTCTCCCATTTGATAGCCTACTCCCTAACATCATTTGATAGAATTGTAGCTACATTATCTTTAATTGGTCATGCTTTAATTGGCCTGTCTTTCATGCATTTGGCTGGTTTCTGAGATTTGACTCTAAGTTCTTGGAAAGTTTTCATTTGAACATATTAAAATAGGTGTGATACATTTCTAAATGATCTTTAAGACAAACGTATTTTTAACCATGCTATTCTGTCTTTTATTCAGGATGAGCTTACATCTTTAAAAGAACAGCTGGAAGACAAAGAATCCGAAGTGAAAAGATTACAAGAAAAACTGGTTTGCAAAATGAAAGGAGAAGGAATTGAAGTAATTGATAGAGGTAAGAATGAATACTTTTAGAACAGAGGCTAGAAAAGACTTCCAGAGATCATATAGTTCTGTCCTATAGTGAAATCCTCCAAGGTATTTAGAGCCAGAGATGTGCAAGGAAATGTTTAACAACTGGCTCTTCATTTAAAAAAGTATGCACAACACACTTAAGTTTAATCTGCATTATTAACATTTTCTCCATCAATTTCTTAAGTTTTAGAAAATTGCCTCTCTCTCTCTCTCTATACACACACACACACACACACACACACACACACACATACATATATACATACATACCTCTGTGTGTGTATATTCAAGCCATGATTTTTAGCATTTGCCAGTTTCTGAGGTTTAAATGCTAACACTTAAAAAAAAAAATAAATGCTGACACTACAAATTTAACAGTTGGCTCACAATACGTAGTATGAACTGACTCCAGAATACCCCCATCTTAACTATAAAGATCTAGGGAAAAAAGAGTCAGTTGCTTCTCTTAGTAAGTCACTTCGGTTTGACAAATTGTGTATTTTCTTCACAGAATCATTGAACTAGTAAATTCCTGTAATTGATGCATATATAACACAAAACAGTGTTGAAGGGCAGGAGCCCATTATCATGCCCCAGAATTATTCCTGAGGTTGCAGAACCTCCTCTCTGCACTGCATGCAGAATGAGACTAGCGAAGGGGTACAGAATCCTCTTCTGCCCTTGGGGAAGAAGGAAGAGATGTTCTTCCTTGGCAACCCCGTGAGGTATTCCTGCCTGATTGAGGACAGCCTGGTATGGTGGAACCAGCCTGACTTAGAAAAGGAGATTATTGCACAAAATATCACAAAATAGAAAAGGCTAAAAATACAGTTTCCTATTGTAACTTAAGCTAACTTCCAATCCACTGGGTTTTCCTGCACAGATGAAAACTGTAAAAAGAAGCTCAAAGAAAAAAGTAAGGTTTTTGGAGTCTTTACATCAACATTTATCCGTTTCAGAAGTGCAATCCATGTAACTTTGCATGTGTATTAAAATGTTGCTTTTACCAAACCTGTCAAATTGCTTCATCAATAAGCTTTCTGTGTCTTCATGATATTAAACAAACAAACCAGAAATAAAGAATTGTTGTGTACATTCAAGATCATCTTTTTGTTCTAGCTCCAAGAGTGTACGATTCACAGTGAACCACCACCACAGTAGTTAACCCATTTATAATAACGCTTTAAGGTTTACATAACAGATTATTAGTCCTATTTTGTAGAGGAGGAAATTGAGGTCCAAAGAGGTTGTTGGTTCTCAAGCTCTGTCTCCTAAGTCAAATCCCAGAACTCTTTCTGGTACTGGGACTACCCTTTAGATAGCAAATTACACTTGCCTTAAGAATTTAATGTCTGAAAAAGAAAGCCTTGGGGGCAGCTAGGTGGCGCAGTGGATAGAGAACCAGCCCTGGATTCAGGAGGACCTGAGTTCAAATCCAGTCTCAGACACATAACACTTAACTAGCTGTGTGACCCAGGGCAAGTCACTTAATCCCATTGCCTAGCCAAAATAAAACAAAAAAAAAAAGAAAGCTTTGTAACCACTTATCTCATATCACCTTAATTTCTTCAGTCCTCAGGAGCAGCATACTCCCTTCAGTAGTATTAGGGTTGTATGTATAAGGAAGGATGCTTAGAATGAAGACAGTATAATAAGAATAGGTCTAGGGAGTGGATGAAGGTTGGACCTGGAATGTCACTGGTATAGGGAACTCCCCGGTGAAGAGCCTCCACTAATTCAGGATGCCCGGTCTTGCAAGACTGCCTGGAGCACTCAAAGGTCATGTGAGTTACCTGTGACTAATGAGTCACAGGCAGGGCTTGGGCCTAGGTGTCCCTGGCTTCAAGGCCAGCTGTCCATTCATTACATTATATTGCCTCGAGCAGAATGATATACTGGAAAAAGTACTAAGATTAGAATCAGGAGAACAGGATTCAGAGTCCAGCTCTGATACTGCCTGACTGCAGCTAAATCCTTCTCCGAGATTAAGTTTCCTTACCTATAAATAGGGCTAATAATACTAATAATAATATGTCATATGAGAGGCACCATGGTGTAGTAGTTAAAATGATGACAGAGTTATGAAAACTTGGATTCAGGTTTTGTCTCTGACACATACGAGTGGTGTGACCATGGACAAGTCATTTAACCTCTCAGTGCCTCAGGTAACTGAGTTACCGACCAGTTGCCACTTGGTATTGGTGGAGGGTTTTTCTATGCTAGTACCAATGAAATCAAATGTTAAGATCCCACCCATACACCCCAAAAATCTTTATCGTTGGATTGTTACAGAAAAAAGCACTTTGTAAACCTTAAAATGCTACATAAATATGAATTATTTTTGTGGTAAACTTGGGTAGAAATATGGAGTGCTGTAAGCCTCTGTCCCATTTACTTTGATCCTTGATCTTCAAAAACTGTTCAGATAGTCCGGAAGTTTATAGATGAAGCAAAGTATTTATTATCTCTTTCTATGGAACATTAATAATAGCTCACCTTTTCAAGAAGTCATCATTCAGCATGTGTGTTTATCCCAGTACTCACCTCTATCGCTGCACCAAGCTATTGTCATTCACATATTTGTAACGGTTATGACTAAACATCATTAGCTCTTACCTCATTCTGGACACAATCCATCACCTTCTTTCATTGCCTGTTATAGATGTCCCCACCAAAACAACAAGTTTTTTATTGTTGTTTTAACTTTGTTGTTATATTTGAAGTTTTCATTCTTCTGGGTAGATTTTTGTAACTCTCAAGTTTTGGGAGAGGCAGCAGTGACAGGGGAGGGGTGTCAAAGTTGAATGTGCTCATTTTTGACTTTTCAGATTTTAGCATAATGTGTGTATATTTTAAGCTCAATTTTTGCAAGTAAAAAGAATCATTTAATAGGTTTACGTTAAAACATTTTAATCTGAAAACTGAAGAAGTTATATGCCAACAGTCCACCCATGTTATAGCAGTGGGACCTAGACTGACTCTTGGGGTATTGTGTATTTCCAGATATTGAAGTACAGAAAATGAAAAAATCTGTGGAGTCCCTGATGGCAGCAAATGAGGAAAAGGTAGATATGGACAAAATTAAATATTTATTTGATGTCATTGCAAATGCTTCCCTTTTCAGTCACAGTATCCTCTTGTGCAAATGAGTGGCAGGACATACTTGAAGCCTAGTCAGAACTAGTGGCTAAGATTCCCTCTCTCTCCATCAGGTTTTTTGTTTCAGCTGTGGCTATCTCAGGAAGAAGAGTAAAAGAAAGTGCCAGCTACACTAACTTTTATGAGTCAAATTTGGCTGTATTTGCAATCTGATACACTAATTTTTTTTGAGTGCGAAAAGATTTGAGTCACAAAAATCTACCTGTTATCTGAGAGGCTGAACAAAAATAACATTTTAAAATACAATATGACCAGTATGCTACATTAGCAGTTTGCTAATAAGTTTTGACTTGGTCATATCATGTCTTAGGCCTTGCTATATTTATCTTATCTGTTCCCAATTTATTTGTTTTCTGATTCTTGCCTGTTCTTTCATTTTCCTCTTTAATTTTTCTCTTACTCCTTCATATTTACAATTTTTATTCCAATGAAACAAAATGAGCTATTTTTTCTTTCTTCTAAGTTATTTTTGCCCATTGACTGAACTCATACACACATACATGCATGCATGCATACATACATGCATACATACACACATTTTCTTTTGTGTATTGAAAAGTATGAATAACTGTCCAAATTCACTCCTTAAGTAAGGCTTTGGTACCATAAATACCTTCCTTATAGTAACAAAATTGCCCATATTATTTTCTCATAGGATCGAAAAATTGAAGATCTTAGACAATGTTTGAGCAGATACAAGAAAGTACAGGATATGGTGATACTGTCTCAAGGAAAAAAAGGTAGAGTATTTTCTAATGTGCTTAGTATCTTATCTATGCATTTTGCCTCAGTTTTTTTTGCTTGCCTATGATACTTCCTGTAACAGGGAGCACACTACTTATTAAGATAGCTAATTATATTGTTGGACAACTGAGAAAGCTCAAATTGTCAAAAAGTCTTCAAATTGATCCAGAATATGTCTCCATATAACTTCTATTTATTATTTAATACGTGGGGAGGGAACACTGAAATGCTTTGTTAAAAGTCATTTGACAACACTTTGCAGCTTTATGAGTTCCTTCTCTGCCTTTAGGGCTAAGTGTCTTACTCACAGTGGATGTTTATTTGGCTTCCAAGGTTATGAACTATTCATTTATCTCTTAATGGCGGACTCACAGAATTAGAGAGCTGTAAGATATCTAGTTCACCCCACCCCCATTTTTCAGTGGATCCCCCAATAGAGAACAGTACAATTGATGGTCTTAAAATTAAAACCAGATAAATGAGGTATACTTTTGCTGTGTGATTACCCTGAATTTTTGTTTTCTGTAGCCATTTCTTGAAAAAAAAATTGGCTAATATCTACTGTATGCAAGATACACAACCCACAAGAATACAAAAGTATTCTGATAAGCATAAAATATAGATTGTCACCTTTGTCATTCTAGATGCTCTACTGCTGTTGATATAGCATTAGGTGACATCAGTTTGGGGTTTTTTTGTTTTGTTTTTTATTTTATTTTTTTGGTCATGTTACATTGCCTCTGGGCATGTAGTCTACTAATATTCTCAGATCTTTCTCAGACAAATTACTATGTAGGGATCACCTTCCCCATATTTGTACTTCTTGTTTGTTTGTTTTTGTTTCTTGGGGCTAGGCAGTGGGGTTCAGTGACTTACCCAGGGTCACACAGCTAGTAGTAAGTGTTATGTGTCTGAGGCTGTATTTGAACTCAGGTCCTCCTTACTCCAGGGCCGGTGCTCTATCCACTGCACCATCTCGCTGCCCCTATATTTGTACTTTTAAAAACTGATCTACTTAATTCTGGATATTGCTCCAGTCCTAATGAAGGCATAAGTTGGTATTAGTTTTTTTTTGTCTGTTTCACATAGTTAACTTGTAACGAGCTTGCACTCTCCTAAATCTAAAGATCTTTTTCAGATGAGCTGCTTTCTAGATATTCCTCCCCCATATAATATTTGTAGAGATTATTTTTGAGGTAGAATTCTACTCTTCTTAAATTTAATCATATTAGATTTGGCCCATCAAAATCTTTTTGTGTCCTTAGTCTGTCATTTAACATCTCAGCTATGCCTTTCCACTTTTTTTTTCCTCGCTAGGCAATACGGTTAGATGACTTGCCCAAGGTCACACAGCTAGTAAGTGTTATGTGTCTGAGGCTGTATTTGAACTCAGGTCCTCCTCACTCCAGAGCCAGCGCTCTATCCGCTGCACCACCTAGCTGCCCCTTCTACTTTTTGCTAACTGCAATTTCCATAACCCATCTATGTTATGCCTTTAAGTCATTGATAAAAGTATTAAATAGCAGAAGATAAAGTAGGGCTTCCTGGGGCCTTCTGCTTAACATCACCTTCTAAGTTGACATCAAACTGTTAATGACTACTCTTTATTCCTGGCCATTCAAAATGTTCTGATCCAAGTAGCTGTACTATTATCTGGCCTGTATGTCCATATCTTGTCCACAGGGTTATCATGAGAGAATATTAAGCATTTTTCTAAAATCTAGATAAGTTTCATCTAAAGCTTTCTCCTCATCTACCAGTCTAGTGCCATGTCAAAAAAAAAAAAAAGGAAATGAGGTTATTTTGGTGTGAACTGGTTTTTTTAAGGCATTTTTCTTGTTTCTTTATTAATATAGGAAAGACCCCCAAGATGAATGGGCTGGTACAAAGGCTCAGGTACAAATACTGTTGAAATACATGGTTAAAAGCAAAACATAAAGGTGGGGTAGGCGGAAGATGCTCTGGATTAGGTAGCCAGTCTCATTGACACTGTCTGCATCCCAGGGAAAGGACCTACAGCAGTACCCCATTGACACTTGGGAAGTTGATAGATCAGTAGTAGGACTAAACTGACAGTAATTCCAAAGTTTGAGGATTTGAGGGTCACACAATGAGAGCAATCTCTGCAGTGAAGATAAGTTGCCATGAGATTCCCCAATGGGACCAAGGGCTATGGGTTGGGGCCGATAGCTAGTGGCAAAATTTTGTTAATATTAGGGGAGTTAGCAATGGGAGAGCGGTTGAAGTCATTGCCCTCATCTCCCCACCAGTGATCACTCTTAATCTATGAGGGAAACTCCAAGGCCTCCCAGAGAACAGTTAGAAGAAAAAAAGCACAACACTGGACTTAGTCTGTGCTATAATAGCAACCCAAGATGAGGTGGAACCAGGAGGGGGACTGCTACTCATCATAGGTGGGAGTAGAACATTGAGATGGGAATGGGCTGACAGATGTGTCCATATATATGGCAGCTGTACCAGCTTCTTTCTACAAGAATAAAAAATAAATTAGATATATAGAGTCACATAGACACTAGGAGACCTGGGATTTAGTTCCCACTTTGCACAGAGGGAAATGAGGGCTGAATCTCTGTGTTCTCTTTTTCCCTTCCTCTGAGGATGGCAGGGCAGTCAGAATGATAAAATCTTAGAGCTATCTTCTACCCTAGTCTCTTTATCTTATACAGGAGGAAGTAGAGGCCTAAATAAAATGACTTATCTGAGGAAGCCAAGGAAATAAGGATTTCAGACTTCAGGATAGGTTCAGTGTAATGAAAGTGAGTCTATACTACAGGGGTATGATCCAGAGAGAAAAGGTGGAAAAATGTAAGGAAAGGAACACCTATTCCACACAGGGCCTATTCCCAGCAAAAGTCATGGGAAATTCCCAATCTTCCCAACCTGGGAAAGGCTTGACAATTCTATTTTCTCTGTTCTAGATGAGGAGAGATGGCCCCTATCCTTTGGCATAATACATGTAGGGAGAGTAGAGAGTAGAATACATGAAGAGATCACTTTGGCATGAGAGAACAAGATGAGATCTAAGATCCTTCATGGAAATCCTTCGGGTAGGGAGTGCAAAGCCACTACTGCCTCTCATGTCCAGGATGTGTTCAGGAGGGGCTGTTCTGCCCCACCCCCATAAAGAATATGAAAACTCTTCCTAGGTGGCATATTAGTTGGTAAGGGTAAGGAGAGAGGGAAGCACAGAGGGAAATGAGGGCTGAATCTCTGTGTTCTCTTTTTCCCTTCCTCTGAGGATGGCAGGTCAGTCAACTGACTCACAGATCTCTTCTACCACAGTATTGAAAATGTGTGGTTGGACTATATAGACATAGTGTGAGTCACCCTCCATAGCCACATATCAGACATGAGAGACTGTCCTCTCAAGTTTTACTTTCTCACGTTGGCTCCGTAGATCATGGTGATAAGTAGATCTTTCCAAATTAGGTGGATTTGCTTCAGCATGGGGCTCACCCAAAGGACTCCATCATAGCCTTGAATGCTGTCTTACCTCTTTGATTCTGGGCATTACAGTGGTATATATACTCTGATACTATCATCATCAAAGAAGTCAGCAAATTTTTGTGTAAAGTCAGGATAGAATCACTACACTAGGCCAGTCCCATAGCGTCCAGCCACCCTTAAGATAGCTAAAGGATTGGAATGCCCCAGGACAGAGGCAACAGCCTTGACCCAGGTTTGGGGGTGCCCATATTAAGCAGTCCAAAGGGGAAATCCTATGGGTCTACCAGGATGAAGTGTCTGATTCTTTCAAGGTACTTGATAGAGTAAGATGTGGCAAGGAATCCTCTGCTATTATATGTCCTGCATATGAATGTTTTTACTGTGGCATTTATGCATAAGACTTTCTCAGACTCCAATATTATTCAAATGTGAAAAAACCCACACATTCCTAACTTAATTTTACTATTAAAAGGTCCTCTCTTAGGAGGTTGTAGTAGGTTATAGTGGAAATAGCACTGAGTCAGAAGGTCTGAATGGGAATCTTGGTGTTGCCTCTTCTTGTGACCTTAGCTGACCCATTTAATCACAGAGTCTCTGTTTCCTTACTGTAAAATTTGAGGATTGTCCAAACCTCTATGTAACCTCTAATATCCCCGTCAGCTCTAAATTTATGATCCTAAAAAAATTCCTGATGATGAACTTGGAATACCTATATTTTAATGAGGTAGATTGCTATCCCAAAATAGCAGTTGTTTGTTTAGTGTTTGGGAGGGGTTCTTTTTTTAGAATGGGGATGGGGAGGGAGTATTAGCTTCTCATTGATATTTACATAGATAACATTCACTTTATATTGTATTGTCCTTGTGCCCCTTTTCATAAAGTTTCAGAAAAGCTTAAGTTGTGTTTGGTAAGAAGCTTTAGGCATGGACTCAATTAGAACTAGTATTCCTTTTTTTTTTTAATTTTTATTTTTTTTGGAACTAGTGTTCTTTAGTGTAAACCTGTTCACTGTGTGTAAAAGGGATTTGCTTCTTAATCCACCAGATTAGCTGAATGACTGTGGAGGAGATGCTTCTCTTCTCTGGCCCTAATGCTATATCTTCAGTAAGCAGGAGTCAGAGTAGCTCCTTTGTAAGATTGCTTCCAGCTCTAAACTTCATTGAGTGTGTTATTCTACAGGAGAGTCCATTAGATGGAACTAATTGGTAGAGGGGATGAAGTCACTATTGCAACTGAGAATACATTTCCATGTCCATTAGTACACTGGATTTAAATAATTACATGGCTCCACTGTTAGTATAGGGCAGCTGTATGGTACAGTAGAGTGGCAGGCCTGAAATCAGGAAGACTTATCTTATTGAGCTCAAATCTAGCCTTAGACACTTGTTAGCAGTGTGACCCTGGGCAAATCACTTGACCCTGTTTGCCTCAGTTTCCTTATTGTAAAATCAGCTGGAGAAGGAAATGGCAAATCACTCCAGTATCTTTGCCAAGAAAACTCCAAAATACGGTCACGAAGAGTCAGACACAACTGAAAATGACTGAATAACAAAAAACTATTAGTATAGCTTACAGGTTATAATTTCAATGATCACCTTTCCCTTTCTTGAGTAACATTTCTAATTAATTTCTCTTAGGTGATTAACTGTTTAAGCCTGGGCATTTCTGGGAAAATTTTATCATTAAAAATGTTTTGTAGTTTTTTCAAATTGTTTTGATATTTGTATATTTAAAGAATTAACTGTTCATTTTTCCAGTTTCATATCTCAAGATTGTGAAAGCATCTTTGATATATGCACTCTTTGCCCCGGTCAAAGTTACGATGTATCCGTACCTTTTGGTGTGATCCTTGTTTGTGCCTTTTTAGAAATCTCTTATGGGGGAACAGAGGGTCCCCTATTTATTGGAGTCCTTTCTCTTGTTCTTTTAATATATTGTGGATATCACTCAGGCTGTTTGCTATCCCTCACTCTTCCTATGTTGACAAGCTCAATAGTGCCTTTTCTGATTATATAACAGTGATATCTTTTGGCTCATAGATGGCACTGTGGTACAGTGGAAAGAGAGCCAACTGGATTTACAGGTCTCTAGTTAACTTTTACCTCCTGTGATTTTTCGCCATTCCCTCAGCCTCAGTTTCCTCATCTATTCAAATAATAGGCTCTGAGGATTCTTCCAGATTTAAATCTCTAATCTCCTATTCTTCTTGCTTCTATTTACAATACATTTCTCTTGCCTTTGGGATTACCTGTAATTTTGATATTTCTAAGACCATGGTATTATATGATTTATGGCCATAGCAGTTATGAAAATGAAAAGATTTTTAATAGAATAATAAATTCTTTCTCAGAATTGGATATGTTCCAAGTCAGCATGTTATGTCACTTGCAGGAGGATGTGGGTACTGATTGGTTATTCCTAAATAAAAATTACAGATCAGTTTACATTCAAGGAATGGTTTAGGTCTGGGTTCTTAACTTGTTTGTGTCACAGACCCCTTTGGCAGCCTGGTGAAGTATGTTGTTCACTTCAATTTTAAATAATTGAAGAAATTGCTAAATTTCATTTAGAGACTAGTGAAAATAAAAATGTAATATTTTCCTTCATCCAAGTTCACAGACACCCTGAAATCTAGCCATGAACCTTTGGGGGTTTGTGGACCTCAGGTTAAAATCTCTAGTTTAAACTAAGTTTGAAACTCTTAAGGCACTGAATCCTAAAATATGTGTCTTTTTCAATATATAAGTTGCCAGCTCATGATAATAAAATTTAAATGCAATGGATAGAGAGTGCCAGGCATGGAATTTGGAAGACTCATCTTCTTGAGTTCAAATCTGGTGTCAGATACTTACTAACTGTGTGGCCCTGGGCAAGTCACTTGACCCTATTTGCCTCAATTTCCTCATCTTTAAAATCAGGTGGAGAAGGAAATGGCAAACCACTCTAGTATCTTTGCCAAGAAAACTCCAGAAGGGGTTACAGAGTCAGAAATGACTGAAAACAACTGAACAACAACATGCAGAATGTGATCTCTACCCAGAGATCATAGTCCTAGACTTTGTTCCAGCTATCATGAGTTTTCATTCAATGCCAGGACATGTAGACTCCTAGAATTTGGAAATTTGGGTAAAGTTTTCATCCTCCTGAACTGAAGAAGGGCAGCATAGTTCAGGGGACAGAGGGTTAGCTGAGGAGTTAGGAAGACATGGCTTCATGTCTTCTTTCTGAGGTACTTTTCAAATCCCCAGATAATTCTCTTAAGACATAAATCATAGAGGAGTTCCTATTTGCCTCTCTGGAGAGATACACTGGGAATTGTCAGCACTAGTGAAATCATAGATCTGGGGGAGGAAAAAGTTTGAATCTAGAATGATTATTTTCATCTCCTTTATTCATAAGATTTCCTGCAGGAATTGGAGATCATTACTTTAAGTACTGTCTGAATGTATGCTTTGTCTTTACCTAGGCAAAGAAGGTGAATTTGAAGAATTACCTAGTTCAATTTCAGCCTTGCTGGAAATGCAGAGTGTCAGTGATCTGGAGAAAAGTCCACCTTCTACTCCAGTTACAGGATCTCCCAGCCATGATGTATTGAACACAAGTGTTCCAGAAGAGGTATTGTTTTTCTTTTTTCAGCAGAAGACAAGGTTTATTAGAATATCGATCAGGAGTGGTCAAGATTTTAGGACTCCACCATATTGGCCAGACTCTTAAGGAATCCAAGCATTTGTATTTGCTAATGCAAGGGGGCCAGATTTTAAGAATCTGGGCACCTTAATGGTGGCCAAGATGGGTCTTATATACAGAAAGACTGTGGGAGTGATCTAGGAGTGGCCAGGTAGTCTGAGGTGACTGGAGGAGGAGTCTAAGAAGGATCTGGATGGGAGTGGCCAGTAAACTGGGTTGACTGTGAGGTAACAGAAGGCAGGGACCTGGACCTTGGGGCCAAGGGAGAATGGAGTCTAGATAAGATTAAGGGTGGGAAGTGATGGGGGGGGGTCTATCAGTTACCAGAGAGGCAACAGAACAGAACTGGGAGATTGGGCATAGCCACAATGAAAGGCCAGTTGAGTGGATTATATAGCCTCAGGCAAACACAAGAGATTTGGCTATGTGGGAAAGTCCTGGGCTTTTCCCTTTTGGGGTCCAGATCAAAAAGATATGGTCTTTTCCTTTTAGGTGTTCAGATCCCATCCCTATCATTCCCCCCTCAAACAAATGGGACCCAAAGTATTTTGGAGTAAGTGATGAAGGTCTTGGCTTCTGAAACTGCTTCCTACTGGCAAAGGGCATAGAGCTGTCCTTGCCTTGAGGGGGTCCCAAAGAGGAGGTTGACTGAAACTGAGCACAGGCTGTATCCAGGGGACAAAGGGGGGACATTAGATGGTACCTGCTATTTGCTATCAACTGTAGGTGAATGGCCTGTAGTCTGGAAGACACAAATCTGACAGAAAAGACTGCAGGGCCCAGATGTAGGGAGAAGTAAAAGTGTAAGAGACCCATTAAAATCATTTACACTTGACCTGTTGGATTATCTGATCTTGTAACTTTTTCAAAAGTTTAAGTAACACTTTTGCTGGTAGAAGTTTTCCACCCCTGGGTGATGAGGTGCTTGGGTGCTTGTCCTTGGACCCTACTTCCAGGTTCATATTTCTCCCTAGCTTCAGAAGCACTAGCCCTGACAGTTTCCCTCCAGCCCAAGGACCCTGTCTCTGGCAGTGACTCATGAGTGAGCCCAGTGAGACAAACTATCTCTCCCTGTTACAAGAACAAGCTGACCTCTGTAGAATTTCCCTTGTATGAACAGGACCATCTTGTACCAGCAGAACTATCAAGTACTGATGCCCACAGTATTGTGTATGATCCAGAGGTCAAACTATAGAAGTCAACTCCTGACGCTATCTTGTTACAGACATAACAGACCAAAAATATGCCTTTTAGGAACCCTCTCTTTGGGGCAGCTAGGTGACGTAGTGGATAGAGCACACTGGCCCTGGATTCAGGAGGACCTGAGTTCAAATCCGGCCTCAGACACCTAACACTTACTAGCTGTGTGACCCTGGGCAAGTCACTTAACCCCATTGCCTAGCCAAAAAAACCCAAAGGAACCCTCTTTTCTACGCCTCTCTTCCCCGCCCCTGCCCGCCATTTTCCTGTAGTGAATGACGTAGTTGTATCTTATCACCTAAGTAGCAGACTTGGCACATAATTCACTGCTTTTCCTATATGAGCTTTAGCATCATTCCTGTTAGGTTGCAAGTTCCCTAAGGAGCTCTGCCCCCTAAGGACCTCTGCCTGCCAAATAGCATAACAATAAATCTTTGCCACCTTGACTCAAAGAATGCTTGAGTCTGTGAATTCATTCCAGACGACCCCATCCTATTCTCTGGTCCTTGAGGGGTCTACACCTCTCAGACCTCAACATGGGTTCAATAGTTACACAAATGAATTTGCCAAGAGACTGACTTTCACTTCAGTTACCACTGAAATTCTCTTCCCTAAACCAAAATGAAGATGTATCTGATTTAATTTCAGTTGGTTGGGAGTATTGAATGACTACACATTCAGGTCAAAACAGCAAGATCTCATACACTTGCATTGATCTTTTATTGACCACTTGCTCTGATTATAGAAATTTGCTATAAAAGAATAAAGCAGGGACTAGATTTAGAGCCCAAATATTTCAAGATAAAATGTCCTTAGTCTGTTTGGATTCAGATAACTCACAGTTCTCCAACCATGCAGATAAAATCCACCTCATAGCCAGTCTCAGGAATAGCCAGGTGGGTAACATTCCTTTTCAAAGGAACACAATGGGGAAACTGAGCCAGAAGGATCCCATCTTACACTGAGGCTAAAATTGTCCTCTCAGCTTTTTCTGATGTAGACTTCCCACCTGTATCACATTCTCTCTGAGTAGCTCATGGCATTTCTCTCAGTGGTGGGTTATTGACTATTGATTAGGGATGGATTATTATAGTCCATCAAACAACAACAAAAAAGTCATTTACGGTCCCTCAAACAGCAAGTTTCACTAATCACAGCTTAGGGAAAACTTTCCCAGGATTTACATCTCAAGTTTAAATCTGTCCTGGTATAAAAAGCCAGTCATCGGAGATTATTTCTATATTCTATATTCTCAGCAAGCCATAACCCAAACAAGCTTTTTGGCAAGTTTACACATTAAAACAGTGACCAACAATAGTCAAATTGTTTTGGCTGTAACCAAATTATGAAAAGTTGCTTGACGTAACGGATACAAAAAGTTTACCAATTTGAAGATTGAAACAAACCCATCACCAATCAGGTGACTTCAGTTTTGTTAAATGCATTTCCAAATTACTTTACACAGAGAATCAACATCTCATCATTAACAGTTAAAACTACCACTTTAAAAGAGTGGGCTTACCCAAGTTCAGAGGCTGGCTGGCTTCTTTACCTTGACCCATCCCCCTTCCCTGGTGAGTAGGATGTGCTGAATTTGGGTGATGCTGCCAGGCAAAGGTTGCCATAGGGCCCAGGGCCCAACCCCATTGCCAGTGGGGTCCACACTTTAGCTGCTGCCTCTCCCTCCTCCTTCCTTTTCCCAGGTGGAGGAGAGCAAATTCGAAGGTGGCAGGGAGGAAAGGGTGAAACTCTCTTCTCCTATGAGAGCGGTTAACAGAGATATGTACCCTCTTGACTCAAGGGAAGGGAATGGGAGAAGGGAGTGACCAGAGTTGTAAGGTGTTTCAAGACTCCTTAATGATAGATCACAAAACCTCCAGAATCTGTAAGATGTTTTTAGCTTTTCTAATTTTTCCCTGTAGCTTCTGTGAAGGAGGATCCAGCAGTGTAGAGGGAAAGGAGTAAATAAGCCTCAGGAAACCAAAAAGCAACTGCAGTTTTCCGAATTCCCTAGCGTTGAGAGAATTGACAGAATTAGGCATACTATTCTGCCTAGGGCATCTTTCCTTGTCCTTTATGCTGTAGAATGTATACCCAGGTCCATGGCCTTGAACCAGACTGGTGGACTGAGAGCCTGAGAGTGTCAGGTCGAGTGCGAGACAGCCTTGTAACTGTCTGCCCAAAAAGCACCTCCAAGCCTTCGCAGGTGCTTGGAGAGTGACCCCAATCATAGGGCTAGAAAGAGTGGGGAGGCTTACGTACCTTCCAGTCTTAGCTGGAGAAGTGCTTGGAGCTAGGCACCTTCCCCATATGGGCCACCAAAATGTTGAGGTTTGGGGAACCCTATATTGAGGTTTAGGGATTCTGGGACCCTGAAATAGTGACAGCAAGAGACGTGGGTCCTGCCTGAATGAATTTGACCCAAGCCTTCTTTTGGTCAAAGACAAGGTTTATTAGAACATTGATGGGGGGGTGTCGAGGTTTTAGGTATCTACCATATTGACCAGACTCTTAAAGAATCTAAGCATTTGTATCACTAATCCAAGTGGGCCACATTTTAAGAATCTGAGCCGGTATTGTTTTTCAGAATAAGATTTACCATAACCTGGGGTGGGGTGACTCACCAGTTCCTCCCCCAACCTTGGAAAAAGGAGTTTTGGGAGAAACAGAAGAAATTTGGGCCAGGCAAAGAAGAAGAAGGAACTAGAACATAGCATTCAAATATACAGCTACCAAAAGAACCTAGACTCGAGAGCCTAATAGAAGAAAGATCTTTTCCCTTTTCTCATTAGCTAGATATGTACTCTTGTCAGTTCCTTGTCTGTTGCTTTCAGATTAAGATTCAGATTTCAGATTTAGATCTGATGTGCCCACTATAAAATCCTGTTAGCCAGCAGAAATGCTAAGCTATTTGTGTATTCTATGTAAGCTTAAGAGAAAGAGCAAAAACATTCTTTATTCTAGGGAAACAAAAGATTTGATCAGCAGGACAAGATCTGGGGGAGCAATTAGGACAAAGTATTAAACTCTACAATTCTGGCCTGTGAATTCACATCCAGATACTTCCAGAAATAAATTGTATGCTAGTGAGATCAGCAAGCTATATATGTAAGTTTACTTTCATTTTTTGGCAAGTTAGACTTGATAGATAAGCCACTCCCCTGAGTGGGAAGGGAATGGAAAGAAAGCTCTGTTTCCACAAAAGCGTAAGAGGGTCTTTCTATGCCCTCCCTTCTCCTCCACCTCCTGGGTAATAGAAGCCAAGTTGGCCTTGTTCTTTAGTACTACTTGCTGTATGCGGGCGAGGGACAGGAGGAAGTTCTTTCCTGCTTTGTGGAGGTGGCATTCTTGTGGCATTCTTTCATCTCCCTCCTCCCTCAAAAGAGTAGCTTACCCTTTAAACCTAGCTCATGCACTCTACCCTGGAAACTGAAAATCTCTGTAGTACAAGTATACACTCTCTGTTATCTTCCCTCTCTGTTTGTAAGCTCAAAATAAAACTTAACGTTTCTGTTGGCCAACAGGCCTTTATAGTAGGCAATTGAGGTTTAAGTTGACAGAGACAAATAAGGAACTGACAAACTTGCAGGCCCAGCTAAGAGGGAAAAATGGCTAGGAGCAGAAGGGAGGTCACCAACTCTCATTGCCAGGGAGGTATGGATCCTGGCACTCACTTTGTCTTGGATCACACATAGCATGGTCCGTATCTCCAGATGGGCTCTCTCTTGTTGCTTATTTCTGAGTAGCTATTCACTATCTCACTTGGTTCTCAAGTTCCTTTGGCCTCTTTGCCCAGTTCTTGTGTCCTGATTTTCCCATCTTCTACCTGTATCTCCTTTTTCTAAAGGGTATGAGAGTAACAAACCAACCCCTCCCCCCAGAACTACTGTCCCAAAGGCAAGTTTATTTGTAAAATTTTCCTCAAATTTCAGAGGTTAATGGAACCTCAAGTTTAGTGGAAAGAACATTGGCTTTGGAGTCAGAAGACCTGAATTCAAATCCCACCTCTGGCACTTGCTACCTTTGTAACCTTGGGCAAGTTGCTCAACTTACTTCCCTGGGACTCAGTTACCTTATCTGTAAAATTAGAGGTTTGGGTTTGATAATCTCTGAGATGCTTTTCAAGTGTAGAGCTAGGATTCTATAACTTAAGGTAAGGGGAAGGAGTCTTATCTCAGTTCAGTTAATGACTTGGGTTGTGATCCTAACCTGATCATGATTAATGCTTGTTGAACACTTAATTGTTCTTCAGGTTTGTTTGTTTTTTACCTCTCAAAGGTTTTTATACTGTTTACCAAAAATCAACTGTTGATGGAGTATGAAATAATGTTTATATATTCACTAACCAGGAGCACCATGTTCCCCAGGCAAACATTTCTACTATAAAATAGCTCAATTCACAAGCGTATATAGCATTCACATCAAAGAGGATAGAATTCCTTAATGTACCACATTCTAGGTATCATTCCCAAATTTTAACAACACAGCTTTATAATGTTTTTAGTGGTGGAAGCTTATAAACATAGCATCGATATAAAACCATCTTACGAATATTTAAAATATAAAATGTAAAGTAAAAGTTACTGCCATTAATCCAGTAACATTAGTCTAACTGAATGCATCTCAAAATTATCTAAATGGAAAAATACTATCATACTCTCTTTTTTCAATCCATGGTATAATATCAATACTTATGAAATTAAGGTTGAAAATCATTACAAATTTCTTGGTACCTTGGAGAAGAGTTGTTTCTTCAGTCTTTTGTCTTCACACACACCACCCCCACTTTGATCTTTTCAGTTTTCTGAATCTCCAATAGCTCACAAATATCTTGGAATTCAGACTGGTTCTATTACAAATTACTAGATTTCTTTTTCCTTGAAATTTTATCTCATGTTTTTTATTATATTACTGACATTATTCTCCTCTGTTTTCAAATCAGGTTTCATGTGTTTCCATTTAGCATTAGTTCTAATTTTCTTTTTCTTGCCATTTGTCTAAAATTTTTGTATACTTTTCTCTCTATTATATTAATGCTTTAAAAATGTTTTCCCCCTATATTTATACTTTCCCTATTCCCATATTTATATATTTCCCACATATTATATATTTTAATATTGTTTGTACATTTATGTATATTATTTTATTTATATGCATATATATATAATATTCTATATTATATATGTGTGTGTATATGTATGTATGTATAAATAAAATTAATGTATGTATGTATAAATAAAATTAACCCCCATTTTTATATAGTGTACACTAGTGCTCTGGCTACAGTACATTACAAAAATAAAGGAAAGGAAATATTGAGAGTAAAATTCAACTATGTTAAACTGAGGCAAGTTTCTCTGAGCAAGGTGACATTTTATTAGTAGGGCTGGAACCTACCAAAAAATAGGTCTTTGACTACCTCAGTTTCTAGGCCAAAGACTCTTGAGTTGAAGATTTAACTCATTTTTACAAGGTTAGAACAAAGAACAGTGTAGGTGATATCATGGGGCTGAGGACGACATGACTGGCTACTTAGCTGAGGCATGGGGGATGATATGATTGGTTGGAAGTTGGGAATGAGAGCTAGCAACAACCCCCTATTTCTACCCTATGACTAAGAAATGTTCATTGATTGAATCTATGTGCAAAGTCAAAAGATATTCTGCCAGACTTTTTTGGGTAGCATAATTAGACATACTTGAAGGATAGCTTGGTGTGGTGTAAAAATACTAACCCAGACTCCCTGGTATCCACTCATATTTCACAAGGAAAATAGATTTCCCTGAGGCAAGAATATAACAATGATTAGTAAGAGAGCTGGACTTTCTGGTGTGGCCCCAGAGACTACAACCAGGAACAATGGGTAGAACTTGCAAAGAGGTAGGCTTTGGGTTGATGTCAGGAAAAACTTTCTAAAAATTAGAACTATCCATACATGGAATGACCTTCCTTCAGAGGTGGTGGGACCTCTCATTGAAATTCTTTAAAGAGAATCTAGATGACCTTTTGTCAGGTATGTTACAATGGAGATTCCTTTTACCTATGATTCAGATGGGATCATTGTTCTCTTACAAGTCTCAAATTCTGTGACTGCTTTGGCCACAGGTAGAATAGAATAAAAATTTTGATGACTCACTACTTATTTGTGTTATTTTTTTCATTCGTATAGACTGCTATACTTTTAATTACATTTTTTTCTTTCTTGTGATTATATTACAGCTCCATATGAGCATCTTGCAAGTTTCAATGCCTTCGTTTTCACCAATATCCAAAGACTTGGAAACATCTGACAAGTCAAAATCTCCACCCAAACCAGAGACTTCAGCTGACGTGAAGTATGTCACCTTTAAAGTATACTTTAGATTATAAGTCTATTGGTATGGTGATAGACTAGGTCGTCCAAAGGCTGTGTTTCATTTTTAAAGTATGAGGGAAACAAATAAGGTCATTTTTATAATATGTTTCCATATAAATTATTTTAAAAATTAAAAGTAACTTAAAGGTAAATTTTAAAAAGTAATTAACACTGTAACAAAGAATAGAAATATAATTTCATATATCATGATATCATGCAATTAATTTTCCTTTAAAAAGTTGTAAAGATTATTGGAGCCTGGAGATCCTAGATCCTCCTGGAGAGCAATTCCTCCCACTTTAATCAGTTTAATTTGAGGTCAATAAACCCAGATGCAAGTTTAAAAGATAAAATGTTGAATTAGCATCAGCCTTTGCCAGGTGGCCATCTACTCTTCAGAATAAAGGTAGATAGATACTCACCTATATAGGGTTTTACACTGCCTTGGGACAATGTTACAGGCTACAAAAAGAGCCTATCAGGTGTGGCTACTCATCCATTTTTCTTATTTGGAAGGTTGAGTAATGGAAACAGGATGCCAAGGGGTTGGAGAAGAAAGATGACAACTTTGGAGTTGTAACTTTCTGACTTTGGCCTCTCAAGAGTTGCCAAAGATCAGGTTTATTCTGATGAGGATGTTTATGGGTGATTTACCTCATCAGACCTTGCTTGGGCCTAACGTCTCTTGTTAATCCTATCAGAATATCTAGATGGGATGGGGGAGACCTACTTGAAGGTAGAATCAGTGGGCTTATCATGTTGTTGAGTAAAATACCAACAGAGAGTATTTCTATATAAGTATATATAAGTAGAGTATATCTACTTATACTGCCTGGTAGCTCCCTTTCTTTGATCTCTAAGTTTTTTGTTTTTTTTTCCTGTGGTGAAAGTGTTTCTCCCAAACTCAAAGCACAAATTTTATCCATTTCCTCCATACTGGGATCTAGTTTATGACCTGAGTCAAAAAATCCATTAATAATCTAAAAACTATTTTGCCTTTCAGTGATGGAAAAACAATTCTTGATGCTGCTTTAGAAGTGCAAATGTGTGATAATCTGTTGTAAGTAATATCTTAAATTAATGTTTCTTAGAGGGAAAAAAGATTTTTTTCCCCTCAGGTCAGATATGACCCAACATTAATACAGATAAGAAATTGATGTCTTAACAGTGAATATTTTTTGACCGCCTTTTGGGGGGGGTGGGGCTAGGCAATTGGGGTTAAGTGACTTGCTCAGGGTCACACAGCTAGTGAGTGGTCTGAGACCAGATTTCAACTCAGGTCCTCCTGACTTCAGGGCCAGCACTCTATCCACTGTGCCACCTAGCTGCCTCAGTTGGTAGTTCCAAGCACAGTTTGAGTAACTTTTTTTTTTACAAGCCTAGTTATCAGTGGTAAATACGTCCTCTTATATCATTGCCACTTACTGAGTTATAATGAGGTTTCTAGTCACCCAACCAGCTCATTGCAAAATAAAGACATCCATTTGAGACCCCTTATTATATGATTTCATTTTAATCTGAATTTTAATCATATATTTAATTTTAAAAATGTGAAAACAGCAATGATAATATGAAAGTCTAAAGCATTTTTTAATAAAGATTTGTGAAAGGGATGTCTTTTTCCAAAGACAGAATTCAATTGTCAGACAAGGTGATCCATTCATATGCTACACAGCCATAGAAAATTTAATACCTTGTTCTTAATGTGTTCTGCCATTCACCTGCTAAGTAGGACATTTATCCCACTCCTACGTTAAGTTAGGCATTGGTGTAGGGTTTCTCCAAATTTCTCTTTCTGGGTGCTAGTTTTGTCATAGTTTCAGGAAAGCTGTGAGGAAAAGGGTATTGCAGTTCTCCCCAATCCCGTAGCAACCAACGAAAAGCCACTCTGTTAAACCAAAAGCTGCTGTGTTTCCCTTATCTTCCAATCCAAGTCTGTCCTGCAATAGTAGACACTGTTCAAGAAGTTAGCTTCTGTGGCAGCTAGGTGGCGCAGTGGATAGAGCACCAGCCTTGGATTCAGGGGGGACCTGAGTTCAAATCCAGCCTCAGACACATAACACTTAGCTTCTTGTGAAGGTGGGTGGGGAGGGAGGAAGGGAGAAAATTTGGAACCCAAAGTTTTAAAAACGTGTGTTTAAAAAAAATGTTTTCATGTGCAACTGGGAAATAAGAAATACAGGAGATAGAGTACGGAAGTCTATCCTGCTCTACAGGAAAATAGAAGGGGAAGTGGATAAGAGAAGGGGGGAAGAGATAGAGAGGGCAGACTAGGGGAAGGGATATTCAGAAGGCATGCCATCTTGAGGTGGGGGAGGGGCAAGATGAGGTGAAAATTTGGAATGCAAAATCTTGTGGAAGTAAATATTGAAAACTAAAAATAAATAAGTTTATATTTTTTTTTAAAAAAAAGCATTTAGCTTCTTAACCAGACTTGGGGCTTCCCCTCCAGCTCTTACCTTCTCCTTTTCCCTCCACCCATTTCCCTTCCTCTCTCTGTCTCTGTCTCTGAGTTTCTCTGTAGTGAATTCTAGCAGATCTTCTTGGTAGGTCCTGAGGTCTCTAGTTAATCTCATCAGAATATCTGGAGGGGATAGAGGTGGCACAGATGAAATCAGTAGGCTTGTCCTGTTGTTGAATAAAATACCATCTGAGTGCCTGTATTTTATACAACTCGGTAGTTCCCTTTCTTTGACCTGGCATTCTTTCGACCTATTAGATTGCCAGTAGTCCACTCTGCCTTCTGGGTGCATGCTGAATGCTTGACCAGAATAGTAGTCACCCCCTGTATGAACATCTAAGAACTATTTTGCAGACCAAATTATTCCATTAAAAATGGTTTAGTATGTTGGAAAGTACACCAGACTTAAATAGAAGACCTTGATTCTATTCCTGGCTCTGCCACTTAAAAGCTTTATGATCTTGGTCATAAGTGATTTATCTTCTTTGATTCTGAAGATCAATATATCTACCCGTGTGTCTCATGGATATTGCTTGGACAACTGTAAACAGGCATATTCACCAACGTCATAAAGTATTTCTTTGAAAATGTGACATTGGATGAAACATTACAGGAGAATTTAATTCCATTTGGGCAAAAGTGGAAAGCCAGCAATGTGGCCAGGGTCACTGGGGTTCCGTTTTTCTGTTATGATTGCTCTCCATCTGATTTGTATCTTCAGTGATTAGGAAAAATATCACAATTGGGGTTCATAAGATTAATGATTTTTAAGATGAATCCATTTATTGATTCAACATAGTATTAATAATAGGTCACTTGTAATACTTTATAATTTTTCAAAATTAATTTTCTGTAAAGTGAGGGACTTTCATTAAATGAAACAGTATAATTCAAACATTTATGAATCTTCTATCAATAAACATTTATTAAGCACCTACTATGTGCTGGGCTAGGCACTGTGCTAAGCCCTGAGTATGCAAAAAGAGGCAAAAAATAGTCCCTATTTACAGGGAGCTCACAATCTAATGGGGGAGACTACATACAAACAGATATATCCAAAGCAAGCTATGTACAGAATAAACAGGAAATAATTCATAAACGGAAGGCTCTAGCATTGAGACAGGTTGGGAAAGCCTTCCTGTAGAAGGTAGAATTTTAGTTGGGACTTACAGGAAGGCAGTAAGGGGGAGAAGAGGAGACAAAACATTCCAGACATGGGGAACAATCAGAGAAAATGCACAGAGCTGAGAGATGGACTGTCTTGTCTATGGAACAACAAAGCGGCCAGTGTTGTTTTTGTTTTTGTTTTTTTAAGGCAATTGGGGTTAAGTAACTTGCCCAGGATCACACTAGTGTCAAGTGTTTGGTCTGAGGTTGGATTTGAACTCGGGTCCTCCTGACTTCAGGGCCAGTGTTCTATCCACTGTGCCACCTAGCTACCTTTTTTTTTTTCAGCCAAAGACAAGGTTTATTAGAGCATCCATCATATTAGGCAGACTCTTAAGGAGTCTCAACACATTAGTGAGCTATTAGCTAGATTATTAGAATCTGAGCAGTGGCTAAATTTTAACAATCTAAGCCCAAAGTGGCCAATGTTAATGGATCTGTGAGTACGTGGTGTGGAGTAAGGTATAAGAAGACTGGAAAGGTAAGATGGAGCTAGTTTAGAGCATTGGAGTTTTTTGACGTGATTGGACCTGCTCTTTAGGAAAATCATTTTGGTGGCTGAATGGAGGATGGATTGGAGTGGGGAGAGACCTGAGGCAGGCAGATCCACCAGTAGGCTATTGCAATAGTCCACATGTAAGGTGATGAGGGCCTGCATTAGGGTGCAGGGCAGTGTCAGAAAAGATAAGGGAGCATATTCAAGAGGTGTTGACAAGCCTTGGCAACAAATTGGATATGGAGAGATAGTGCAGAATTGAAGATAACTTCTAGGTTGTGAGCCTGAGGGACTGGGAGGATGGTGTTCCCCCTACAGTAATAGGGAAGGTAGGAGGCAGAGAGGGTTCAGGGGGAAGTACAATGATTTCTGTTTTGGACATGTTTAGTTTAAGAGGTCTACTGGACATCCAGTTAAAGATGTCTGAGAGGCAGATTGGAGGTCAGCAGGGAGTTTGGGGAAGGTCAGGTAATCTGACAACAGTTTTATACAGTAACCCTATGAGGGCAGGCAGTGCAAAATATTATTTCCATTTTTAAAAATGAGGAAACTGAAACTGGGGGAGGTGAAGATGTTGCCTCAAATCACCAAGCTATTAAGTAGAACTGGAATGTGAACCCAGATCTTTTGGTTCTAAATCCAATCCTGTCACTCAAATTGAGATCGCTGAAGGTGTTATTTTTGCTCTCTAGAATCAAATAATTTTTATAGTAAATACTGGGAGATCTAACATTTTAAAAAGAAAAAGATAAGCAAGATAAGGCAGGGAGTCAGTATTACTGTATAAAAGGAAGATGTGTTTGTGAAGAAATCCATTGAATTAGATGATGGATGAAGGAGAATAAGTGGGTGAAGATAAAGGAGGAAGGAGAAACAGAAGTGATCTTGTCAGCATGCTACTGACTATTTGAACAGAAGAATAAAATCGATGAGGAGTTATGGAAACATACACAGCAAAACACAAAAAGACTTGTCTATGAAACTGAATTTCTATTTCATGCTGCTTACTTAAAAAAAACCCCATACAATAAGTTTCCCATATTATTTTCAAAACTGTCCTACTTGGTAGCACTTCTCTCCGAACTTTGGTCTGTTCTTTTCTGTGCCTTTTAAAAAATGTACTCTTTGGCATGTACATCTCTATTGCTAAATCTCTTCTTCTCCCAAACCCTCTTCCAGTTTGAAAAAAATTCAAGAGGAAAGAAAAAAATATACCTCGTAACAAATAAGCATCGTCAAGCAAAATTAATCCACATAGTAGCCATGTTGAACAACGTGTGGTGTTTTTTTTCCTGCACCTTGAACCCATCACCTCTCTCTCAGAAGATGAATGACATACTTCATTATACATCCTCTTGAGACATAGTTGGCCATAACTTGGTCGGTTTCTTTACAATGCTCTTCTTGCTTGAATTGTTCTGATTCAGCTCAATCACTGCATCAGTTCATCCTATCCAAGATTCCCTGCAATCATTTCTTTCATTAAATTACATTCACATACCACAATATATTCAGCTATCAATGATACCCCCTGTCAGTTCTAGTACTTTGCTTGTTTTCTTTTTGTACGTATTCCCCCTTTCAGAGTCAGGAAGTATGTTTTGCTACCTTCACTGGAATTATCCTCCGTCTTAGGTTCCCCCTCCCATCCTCACTTGTTTCTCTGTTGAGTTTGGTGTATTTCTATACAAAACTATGTTCAATTATTTGCTTCAGATAAAAGGAAGGTTCACCTAATGCCTTCTCCTTCCACCACTACTTCTATGTTTATATACTCATCTAGCCTTAGATACCAGCTGTTTGGGCAAATCACTTAAATTCTACCTCAGTTCCCTCAACTGTAAAGTGGGGATAATTATGACACCTATATCACTGGGTTATTGGGAAGTTCAAATAACTTTATAAGATCCATAAGCACCCAAGTATGCTTAATAAATGTATATGTTCTCCCATCCCTTTCACGCCCTGCATATATATATATATATATATGTACATGTATATGTATGTATTAGAATTGACTGTATATGTATAGATATATATAGATATAGATATCTCAAGTTCTATCCTCTTCTTCCCCCTTTCTATATAAGTGGATTGCTCCTTTTACCCTAGGTTTCCTTCCTCAGAAGGGAATCAATCCACCTCTAGGTCCTCTTGATTCCAGGTCTGCTCTCCTATGCTTTATATACATTTATGATCAATAGAAATTATAATTGCGTATACTAATTTACTTCTAGATAGTAACATTGGAAAGGTTATCTCAAGGCCTTTTCTAGACATTCTGAAATGTGCATGGTATATGAGACATTTGGCAGGAGGATTTGCCAATCAGTCCCTGTTAATAAGATGCTTTAAAGAAAAGCTAAGTGTTTTAACTAAATTAAATACATAGGGGAACCTAGGTGGTGCTGTAGATAGAGCACTGGCCCTGAAGTCAGGAGGACCTGAGTTCAAATCTGGCCTCAGACCAAACATTTGACACTTACTAGCTGTGTGACCCTGGGCAAGTCACTTAACCCCAATTGCCTTAAAAAACAAAACAAAACAAAAGAAATTAAATACATAGTAAATTCCCAATTTCAGAATTTCTGTAGCCCACATACAGTTTTAAGGTTTTTTTCCATGATGTTTTACATGAGAAAAGAGAAGATACTGGAATGAGATTTGTGATTGATGTCTTCTATTCTTACTTTTGTTATTTTTAGATCTTCAACTCTGCACAAATCCAGCAGTCTGGGCAATTTGAAGAAAGAAGTGTCTGAAACGGTTGGTTCCTGAATAGTTTCTCTTATTTCCTAAAAAGAGTAATATTTTTCCCATTTTACTAGTGAAAGTTACAAGGGGTATCTTTAGTGTTGCCACTTCTCTATCTTGTATCTGAGTTGATGAAAGGGTTAGCAAATATGAATATGGAAAGTCACTCATTTATTTGGAGGGAGGGAAGTTGAAAGCAATGCTTTCAGCAGGCTTTCTTATGCATTGAAGGAAACGTTATTATAACATGTTTTTCAGGCACTTCATTAGAAACACTGCTGGGGATTTTGTTGATTTGTAGCCCAGAGGTATAGAAGATAAGTTCTATCAGTGGGATTTTATACAATGAATGCTGAGAATTGCATGCTTTTTCTAATACTATTTGTTTTCTTCATCATACAGGAAAAGGAACCTCTTCAGAAGCCTCCAGAGGTGATTTTTTATGGCCTGGCTTAGTATAATGGATAAGTAAAAAGATTAATTCAATAAGCTTGAAAGGGTCAGGAGGCAAACACTTTTGTTAGAAGGTAAAATTGGGGACAGAAGGAATGATTTTGTACTTGGACAGTTTTAAATATTATGGAAACCAAACAGTGCTCATGCCTTCATATTTAGATTGAGCATAACTGGGCTTCCTTGTAGAGATTTCACAAACCCCACACTTCCCCTCATCTCCACTGGCTTTTATATGACCATCTTCAGTAGAGATTCCCAAAGTCCATGTGTCCTTTGCATGTTAAATTTAGCTATCATGAATTACTTAATTTCTAGTTTGTCCCTGATGTTAATCCTTGGTCCAGTAGTATTTATAATTGTTTTATAAAAAAACTTTATATGGTTATTAGGTAAGGCCTAGCAATCTTCCTAGAGAGCTCTATTTCCAGGTTTGAAGGAATGGGAGATTGTGCGACAATTCATTTTTAGCACTGAAGGGAGGGGGTAGTGGAAAGGGTTAGAAGCAGCTGGATGGGGGAAACTTAGGAGTAGGAATAGCGGCATCTGTCTGCAGAATAGGAGCAGAAGTATTGAGGGGAAGATGAATGAATAATGAATGAATGATTAAAACATTTATCAAATGCTTACTGTGTGCAAAGCACTGTGTTAAATGCAGAGGATACAAATAAAAAGATAGTCCTTGCTCTGAAAGAAATTACAGACAACACATACCAAAGCTTTCATCTATATTATTAGGTAGAAAATGCCTGTGGTCCTTGGGGTCTCTTTCTGTTGTTGAACCATTTGACAGTGCCAAGGACTTTGGTAGCAAGAACTTTCTTTTCTAGCTATGGCTGGAGCAGTTGGAGTTGCCAGCTGGTATCTCAAGTTGCTTTCCATGGTGATGGCTGAGGGTCCCAAATGGGAAACATAGCTATTCCCAAAGTTCATGGTCATGGGCTGACTCCATTGGGATCTGAGGGAACTGGTGGTCAACATGGTGATGGTTTAACTTGCCTGATACATGCTGCCTCATATCTCATGGTGCTTTGCCAGGTAGGCTGGCTTGCCTGCCCTCTGTCTCAGTGGGCATGAAATCTACTGATCAGGTGGCATGGAAGATGAAAGGGAAATCCCAGTGGCTATGTCAGCCAGAGGTGAATGATTTTGATGTTGATGTTGAAGCATGATTTACTGAATTGGAGTACATTCAAACATTGAATTCGGTACTAGTGTCCTCATGTGGTAGAGTAAAATACTATCATGGAAAGAAAACTAACCTACCTGTATTCTGGGATCCAGTGAAAATAACATTTTCTTCATTGGCTTTCAAAATCAGCTTTTTAACATCTTAGCAGTACATTTGACATTCTGTATTAGTGAGTTTGATTTTATTTTCTTACTTCTTTAGACAGTACCTCCTGGGCAAATCAGCAAATTTGGAAGCCTCCCTCCCAAAGTCCAAGGACCTGGCCCTTCAGCAGGTGACAATGCCTTTGGCACTCGAAAAGCCCGATCCTCCTTTGGACGAGGCTTTTTTAAGATTAAAAACAACAAGAGGACAGCAAGTGCACCAAACCTGGGTATGTAGGGGCAAAATACACATCTGTTTCTAAGCCTTCTTTGCATCCATGGATGTTTGGGTCACGCAAACCTCATGGTGTATACAGAGATGTGAGATTCTGTTGATGTCTGTTGCTTCTAAATCACAGTTCTTTCCAGATGAATCAGTCCTCTGCCCAGATACTCTTCCCTTAAAACAAAGATGAAAGAAAATGGTTCAGCATTGCCAACAAATAAATACACTCACCATGACTGAGGGCATATCCCACACACACAATCTGCCGCCTCTTTAATGAAAGGGGAGATATTTTCCCACTTTTCTCCAGGGCCAAGCTTGGTCATTATAATTAAACAATATCAAGTTTATTTTCCCACATTCACATTGTTGTAGTAATTGTGTATATCGTTTCCCTAATTCTGCTTACTTGACTCTTAGCATGTTTTTCCATGTGCCTCTGAATTTCTCATATTCATCATTTCTTATGGTGGAATAATATTCTATGACATTCATTTATCACAGTTTGTTTCACCATTCCCTAATTAATGGACATCCATTTTGTTTCTAATTCTTTGCTACTGCAAAAAGTAGTTACTATGAGTATTTTAGTATATAGGGGATCTCTCGATAGATATGATACATACATACATATAAGAAGCATAATAAGGGGGGCAGCTAGGTCTCAAACATTTAGTAACTGTGTAATCATGGACAAGTCACTTAACCTTGTCAGTTTCCTCATCTATAAAATGAGGTGGAGAAGGAAATGGCAAACCAGTCCAGTATTTTTACCAAGACAACCCCAAATGGGGATATGAAGAGTCAGATACTACTGAACAGCAGTATGAAATATACATAAAGGTGTACACACACACACACACACACACACACACACACACACACACACACACACACGCATATGTATGTATCTATGATATCATACATATATGTATACACATACATATGTATTGTATATGTATGTGTGATATCACACACATGCGCACACGTGCGTGAGTGCATGTATCTTGCCCTCCTCAGGGTATATGTCTAACCCTGCAATTGTAAAGATTTTTTTTTTACAAATAGTGGAAAAATAGCACAGAAATATAAATGAATAGGTCAAACAAATGAGATACTAGTTTGTCAATCTATGCTGAAAGACAAAGTATTGCTCTTTGAAAATGATTATAGAGAGATGCTGTGACAATTCAACAGCGTGTAAGCCTTTTAACCTACTTCTTTCTTTGTGATTTAAATTATTGAGATCAAATAGAAGAAGAATATATCTAAAGGCTTTTTCTGTTTTCATCATAAACCATTTCACATCCATTTTGGTGGTAAATAAAGTAACCCTATGTTGTTCATCTTAACACAGTTTTCCATATAACATCAGTGCTATGTGGAGGGTGGGGAGAGAGCAAGCGGGCATGCATTTATTGTACTTTCCTTCCCATGGTATGAATTTTGCCAGTAGGAGTTTTGATTTGTATTTTATTTTGTTATTCCTTGTGCTCTCTGCCATTGGGCTGCGTGTGATTTTATGCATTGTTGGGATATCTGAAGATCGTAGCCGAAGTGCAAGTGCACCTACGTTAGGTATAGTACTTCTGCATGCCAGCCTGTGCCAGTGCCGTGCCTTTGAATGTAGCTAACCTCTGATTTTGGCCAGTGCAATTGCTAGAAAGTAGGCTGGCAGTAATCAGAAAATAAGATTCTTTGCGCTGAGATTTTTATTTCTACCCACCTCTTACTAAAAGGAATTTTCTATTTAACCCTTGCCCACAGCTTCAAGCCTGCTCTTCTGTTCCGTTATAACCTATACTAATGAAAGCTCTTGTGAGTGTACCTGTGATGACTTAGAAGCCCACTCTTCTTCTCAGAAGGTAGTAATGTAGGATGGTAATGTGCAATTAGGTAGTCTTTACCCGCTTTATCTTCATGTTTTCTCCATCTTGGGTGCTTAGTAGCTTAGATATCACTATGCATTCATTACTGTCACCAAAAATATCCTTCCTTAATGAGAAGAGAAATTATTAACTATTAAACATTATGCCTCTCTGGCTCTGTGATCTTTTCTATGTGTTTGACTTTCTAAAGGAATATTGTCAGCTGAAGAGAGAAGTCTTTGGAAAATCTCACAGCTGATAACTTTTAGGTTTATCTCTGATCTTTTAGAGGATGACTTATTATAGAACTTTTGAGGGATTTATGAAGAAAGCTTGTGAGATGAGTAATCAACTTACTTCAGTGGATCTGAAAAGATCTTAGAAGACAAATATTTTATCACAAAAAGAAATAGAATTGGGGAGAGAATAGCAGAAGCTATCTTGACTCTCAAGTAGCAAGTCACTAGAAAAAATAAAAATAAAAAATAAAAATGAGATTGGACTACTATAATTGAGGAGGACAAAGATAATCCATTCTGGGGTACCCCTTAACCTACTTCAGCTGCAGAGGAAGAACTAAAAGCTTTCCTTGTTTTTTCCCAGGATGCCCCCATTTTCATGTGTAAACATTCCCATCTCTGTTTATAGATCAGGGCAGAAGTAGGACATATATACTCAAGAGAAGCCAAATGACCTGTCTCATGCTGTATTTTTTGATAGCCAGACTGAGCATTGCTGTGTGTGTTGGGGCCAGGAGTCAGAGGGAAGAGAGGAAAGCGCCAACCTGACCCTCTTTTGCCATTTGTTTTCAGATGTTTTTGCCTCTTTCTTAGAACACATTCTCGTTTTGCTGAGAGGCACATGCTGCTTATCTATAATAACCTTGCCATCACAGCTTTGCTTCAATAGAAAATGAACCTCTGCAATTTCCCTGATCTTGTTCAAACAGCTGTTGATGTGTTTTCTGGATAATATTTCTTTTCCTTTGTAAAATTTAAAGCATTACATTGAAGTAGCCATGCTCCTTATGCTCACGTAGCTGAAACTTTGTTCTACTGGGAGGCCTAAGGCCATTGGGAATGCAGACATCAGAAGCAGCAGGATGGGCTGCTTTCCACCAGGCACATGTGGATGTTCACCCTTCAAGTTGGCCCTTTATCAAAGGAGAAATTTTGCTTTCATAAGTCAATTTCAAAACAACTCAAGAAATGATTATTTGTACAATTTTAAAGCCTATAGAAATATCAGGAATTACATTTCATAGCAATGGTTCATAAGTTAGAGACATGTAATTTGTTGACTCAGAGTTCCCAGTGAAAAATCACAAATAAAACTGCACTCCCTCCAAAAAACTGCAACGATCAGATAATAGAATTGAGCTTTTCCTGAAGTGTTAGATTGGGATAAAATGAAAAATGACTTTTTACATAATTTTTAAAAATATTTTTCAGGGATCATTCAATATGCATTTATTGAGTGGCTGTTAATATGTGAGTCACAGTGGTAGGTACAAGAAGAGTGATAGAAAGATGAAAAAAGACGTAATAGGAAGTATGCACTCTGAAGGTGCTTGGTCTAGTAGAGGAGAATAAGATAGTTAAATAAATGATTTAGCAGCTAGATGGTACAATGGGTAGATTGCCAGGCCTGGAGTCAGAAAGGCCTGAGTTCAAATGCGGCTTCAGACACTTAACTGGATGTTTGAACCTTGGACTAGTCATTTAACCTCTGTTTTCTCATGTTCCTCAGCTGTAAAATGGGGGATAGCAATAGCACCTACCTCCCAAGGTGGTTGTGAGAAACAAATGAGATAATAATTGTAAAGTGCTTAATATAGTGCCTGGTACAAAGTCAGTACTGTGTAAATGTTGTTGTAGTGGTGATGATGATGATTATGATGTTATAAGACAGTTTATGGTACATACTTTAAGTACAAAGTGCTGCAGAAATTGAGGAACTGATTACACCTAATTGAAAGGATCAACTTTTGGAAGAGGTAGAATTTGAGCTTAGGTCTTAATATGTGGTGGCGGATAGGATTCCAGGCAATATGCATGGTGTCAACAAAATTGTGGATGTGAAAAAGTTTAAGATGTGTTCAGGGAATGGTGTTTAGTTTTATTTGGCTAGTGTATATATGTTAGAAGATTAACCTGACAATGTAGGTTGTGATCATGAATGCCCAGTTAAGGAACTCGTACTTGACTTGGTACATAATAGAGAAAAACAGGTCTTTGAGTAGAGGAGTAATGGAATTAGAGCCAGTGGCCTTGGGAGATCAATTTAGGAAGCTGCTGCAGAAGTCAGGGCAGTAAGTATAAAGGCCATACCGCAGGATAGTAATAGTGGTAGTGTTCTGAAAGGGACAAATTTGACACATTTCAGACTAACATTGAGAGGATTTGGTGACTGATAAAGGCAGCAGAGTCATGGGAGAGAAGAATAGAAGGTGGCACTAAGGTTTTGTATAATGCTGATGTTATTAACAGAGATGGAAGTCAGAGCTTGTTTTGAGGGGAGAATGAATGAGGATTTGGGGCATTTGTTTTTGAAGAGTCATTGAAGGTTATTGAAGTGTAAACAACTAGGAGGAAATTGAAAATGGTGTGGGAGCTTAGAGGAATAGTCTGAGATAGAAGTAGAGAGTTTGGACTTATCACAGTTGACAGTTTAGGCTATAGAAAAAGATGACATCACTAAAGGAGAGAATAGAGAGAGAAAAGAAAAGGCAAAAAGAAGCTCAGAACTGAACTTTGGGGAATGTCCACAATGAGGAAGTGACAAAGGAGAAAAAGACAGGGTGGTCCAAGAGGAAAGGATGATGAGGATAATGCAATGGTCAGGAAAATTTCCCCATGAATAATTTTTGGCAGTAATTAAATGCTGCAGAAGGGCTAGAGACCAAGAAAAGACCATTAGATTTGGAAACTAAAGGACATCATTGATGATCTTCAAGAGAACAGCTTACAGACTCAGACCAAACACTTGACACTTGCTAGCTGTGTGACCCTAGGCAAGTCACTTAACCCCAATTGCCTTAAAAAAAAAAAGAAAAACAAAAAAAAGAGAACAGCTTACAGATAGGTTGAAGACATGCCACCAACTCTGCTTGTCCCTGAAAAAAAAAAGGCATGACACCTCTGCAACCCTTTTCATCTAGGTTTTCTAAGTTATTTTCATTTTTAAGCTAATTTACTATGAAGATATCTAGTTGACTGTAGATAAGAACTCAGTCTTGGTTCATCTTTTGGTAGCTACAGTGTGGGATTCCAGCAGGAGAGATTGTTGTATGTTCCTGAAACTAAATAAACTAACATTGATTGAATTTCTTCCACAGTTCTAAATTCAGTGAGTTTTTTTGTTTTGCTCTTGGAACAGCTGAAACAGAAAAGGAAACTGCTGAGGACCCAGCTGTGGCTGGCTTACCATCCCTCGGAAAGGATGCAGAGTGCACCAGTCCCTTCCAGATATCTCCACCTTCTCCAGACTCCAAAAAGAAATCCAGGAGTATCATGAAGCTATTTGGAAAGTAAGTGAAAGAGGGAAATTTAGGACTCCTCATGAACAGCTCCAGGACTCAGATTTTTCTATTTCTCCTGAATAGCCAAGAAAATATCTTACATATAGTGGAGACTCAACAAATATTTGCTAATTTGACTCAGAAAACCTATAAATGGACAATTTAGCTGAGGTTGGACAGGGTAAGGTACCATGTTAGATCACTTTGAGACATATGGAGAAGAATATAGTGAACTAAACCTATCTACTCTTGTGTGCAGCTAAATTTCTGAAATAGATAAAAGGGAGAAGAAGCCATGAGGTACAGATTAATTAAAATGTCCCTCTTGAGATGTGTAAGCTGCAAGGTCTTCAGACATTTTACATCGTTGTATCGTTGTGTCAATTATTCAGACTTAGGAGGAGCCAATCTACCACTTTCAATCCAGATGATATGTCTGAGCCCGAGTTTAAAAGAGGAGGAACAAGAGCAACTGCGGGGCCCCGTCTCGGTTGGTCTAGAGACCTAGGACAGTCGAACAGGTAAGAAAAACAAAACGAACTGGTAGAAATAGGGCTTTCCAGTCCTATTTATGAGCAGGTAGGTGGTGCAGTGGATTGAGTGCTGAGTCAGGAAGACCCAAGTTCAAATCTGGTCTCAGACACTTATTAGCTGTATGACCCTGAACAAGTCACTTAACCTTTGCCTCAGTTTCCTCATCTGTAAAATGAGGATAATGATAGCACCTACTCACAGGGTGGTTCTGAGGATCAAATAAAATAATAATTGTAAAGTGCTTAGCACAGTGCCTCATCTGTTATAAATGTTATATAAATGTTAGTGATGATAATGATGATATTGTTAGTGAATAGAATGTTGTCTGCAATAGCTTTAAAGACACTGTTCACTGAAGTGGGTGGTGAAATAGCCATTTTTATATGCATCATCTTTCACCTTTTTCTCTTTGGAGCACGGCGATAAGATGCTGTGAAGAAGGTCAAGATAGGGACTAGTCCAGGGACTCAAGCTGCCATAATCGGTGCCCCAAGTATTGGAATGTCTCATGTATGGTACAGTACATTAGCTACCAAAGCCTGTGAAAGCAGGACGATCAAAAACTTTTTAAGATTCCTTAAATTTCTCAGTAAGTAATTCTGTGTCTTTTGACTCTTGTAAGGCTGGGTAGTTTCTTATATTTGCATCATGGTTCAGGACTCCTTCTTGGGCTATTTAAATGGTTTGTTGCAAAAAGAAGGGTGGAATTGGCAAATGCCTCGTCTAAGACATGAAAACAAAAATTTTTAACAGTGGCAATGGACTAGAAACTCCCGTATTCTTTGTCTCCTGTACTCTTTGCCATGTTTTGTGTCTTTTTTCCCCCCGTACTTAACAGGATCTTTTTGTATTATAAAGGTCCTCTGGAATTTATGGAGTGCAAGGGTACAATAGAAAGAAGGTCATCTCTAAATTTCTTATTAAATAGGAATTCTATTTGTAAATTTAAATATGTTAAGCAAGAATTAAAACATTCTCCTTTACTGTTCCTTTAATTGAATATTACTCTCTTCTAATTTCTTTCTTATTGAAATTTCTGGAGAGAAAACACGACTCTGCTAAAGTTATCACAGTTGGATTCAGGTGTAGTTTAGTCTTCTGAGGGATCCCTCTTGCTAAAACTCAAACAAGAAATGGGAAGGATTAAGAAAGTACCAGCCATTTACTTTGTTGCTTCTTTTAAACAACGTGTTTGGCTAAACTGGCTGAAACTTCCATTTTAGCCTATACTGTTTCAGATTTAAGTGAAAAGTGTGGCCCTAGAAGGCAACTTCTAATTCTACTGGTCCTCTTCCTTCCCAAATAGGGAATCACATTGTATTCTTTACTTGGCTACATTAGAGGAAAGATCAAAGGGATGCCAGATCATCAGCAAAGATACTGTTCAGTGCAAAGGCTTTTAAATTTGTAATATTTTCATTTTCCTACTAGTGACTTGGATATGCCGTTTGCCAAATGGACAAAAGAGCAGGTTTGCAATTGGCTCCTGGACCAAGGATTAGGTTCATACATGAATTCAGGCAAACACTGGATTGCATCTGGGCAAACTCTTTTGCAGGCCTCTCAGCAAGATCTAGAAAAGGTGAAGGTTTTTTGTTTTATTTTGCTTACCTAAATTATTCTTCAATGAAAAAATATATATTTATGGTTTCACAGTCTAGAACAGAGATAAGAAAAGGGGAAACATAAAGTTTCTGAGTAAGTTTATGTCTCTCACTTCATATCCATCTCCTGTCAGAAGATTTAGTCTCTTTGTGAGTAAGGACTAAGTCTTTATGAAGCCATAGGGACTATCTAGACCAGTGTGAGCATTGAATGTTAAATAATGGCATGAACATAACAATCCAGTGTCATGATTGTAGCCCCTTCCTCACCCCACCCCCAGTCATCCTGCCTCTCCTATAGTCATTTCTAAACTCCACCTCATAAGAAAGGTCCATGCTTCAGATTCAGGCTCCATTACACTAGTCCTTGTACTATGGGGGTGAGCCTACATTGTTGAAAGCCCTGCCAGTAAAGAGCAAACTTTGGCAGGTCCTACCAAGCTGGAAAAGATTTTCTACATGCTCAGAAACAGTGCCTATGATTGTTCTGTGTCTGTGATTATTATATGAAGAGTATCCTACCTAGCAATTTTCATAAAAGCCTATGACCAGAAAGGCGGCCACTAGTTGCTGAATTTTTTGGTCAGCATAACTCACAAAAACATTTAGTAAGTCACGGGGAAGTTGTAATCTCCATAGATGGAGGGAGTTTCCTTACCAATGAAATCACAGATTGGAAGAGTTAATATGTTTTTAGTAAAATAATGAGGAAAATTGCCATTACAGATGCTCTGTAACGTGTAGGTCTCTGTGAAGGAGACCTATAATACAAGTGAATGTGTAAAGTACTCTAATCCTGGTGGGTGTGGTTTTACAAAATATCTTTCCAAGGGCTGAGCTACATGTTCTAATCAGCCAGCAAGATCAAATTACTTTTCTGATTCTCTATAAGGCCTGGGATTTTGGAAAACTTCGCTTTGGGGAAAATGAATTTTCATTCTTTGTTGAAATCATCCAATTCTCACTGCTAGAACTGAGAAATAAATTGGTCTGTGTATTCCTCTAGGAACTAGGAATTAAACATTCACTTCATCGAAAGAAGCTACAGCTAGCTCTACAAGCCCTGGGATCTGAAGAGGAAACTAATCATGGAAAGCTGGATTTCAACTGGGTTACCAGTAAGATTTTATCATTCTCATAAAAACCCCTGCTAATTTTTGTTTCTTGAATTGAAGGAAAGTGGACCTTGTTATACAGATCGTTAATAAATATCACATGGTTTTGTGAGGAAGAACTAATAGTCTTGGTTTGTTTGTTTTAGGGTGGTTGGATGACATTGGTCTTCCCCAGTATAAGACTCAGTTTGATGAAGGAAGGGTAGATGGTCGAATGCTACATTATATGACTGTTGTAAGTAATTTCCCACCAGCAAAGCTGTCAAAGCCCATTTTGTTACCCTCGTGATGCCATTCGTGATAGGACACTGTTATTTCTAGGCTTCAGCATTCCTGATATTCTCAAAAAAATCATCTTACGTTTTTCATTCATATTTTGTGACCTGCCCTTGTTCCCATTTTCCATACGTCTTTTAGACATCTGAATTGGTTGGTGAGTTTTCTTCACTCCCATGTGAGTCTTTTTAGATAACTTCCACTTTTCCTTCTCTCTTAGAATTGTTTGTATTTATGCCTTCAGAATTTTGTTCTTGACAGTGGCACACCTCTCTTGCTACCTGTAGAATTCTCCTTGTGAAATTTTAGGTTGAAGAATTTAATTTACTCACTGGAAATTTTTAATGTTTAATGTTACTTTATTGATCTCTTTTTCCAGTATGATGCTGTTGAATAATATGTGCCATTTCCTTCTTATAATCTAGTCAAGAGCCACATCTCATCAAGTCTCAGTGATATCTAAGGATAACAGATGTACCATCTTGTCTTACATCCTTCTGACAGCATTTAGTAAAATAAAAATAAGAGTATAAGTTATAATGTCTTGCCATGGATAACAAAGTCCTTGTCTAGTAACATGCTAAAATGTGTTTTTATATCCTTATATCAAGATACTATCTTCCAAGAAAATTTATCTAGTTAAATCTAGAATTTCCTTCACTGGCAACTGCAGGAATTGAAAATAGTTATCAATGTTCCATGCCTGCTCTCTTTTTTTCTTTTAAAATATAACAACCTTGAAGCAGTTAAAAAGCTTAATTTCCTCTCCTTTTTATCACATCTGTTATCACTAAGGTGTGCCTCATATGACTTTTTTTTTCCTTTTCATATACTGCAGGTGTTTTGGGGTGGGTCTAGTGCTTATCTTAGTACTGCCTTCATAATTACCTTCCCTGAAATAAAGTCTTTTCTGCGGCATCTACATTTTACATCTCTACCTAATTATCATCATCAACATCATCATAGCTAGCATTTGCATACAGCTTTAAGATTTGCAAAGTGTTATGATTCAGTGATTAATTGATTGATGAAGAGCAAATATCGAAACTTTGACCAGGTTCTCCCCAAAGCCTTTACCATAGTTAGCACTGTATTTCTAAAATTGTTTCAAAGCCTGGCATGAAAGATTGGGGCCAAGTTCTTACCTTTCTCTTGTGGATTGAATGGGAAGTAGCAAATAGCCAAAAGTTTAGGGAATTTTCTTGGAACAGCTATAGCAAGCAATAGCTATTGGAACCTTCCTTTTCTCCACTACTTAAGAACTCTGATTAGGAGGTCTGATCTTCCCTCGTGTATCCTTTTCTTGGGGAGAGGATAGTGTGGTTGCCTTTAGTGGTAGTTAATAGATGCGTTGTCAAAAGATTGTTGGTACTTAGAGAATTTGGAAGTATGGCAGTGGATACTCCACTAACTTGGAGGACTTCATTTTGTGAGACTAGAAGAAAGTGGAGAATTTTAATTTAAAGTCTGATTTTCCTGATAAAGGAGAGATTCTTATTATAATCCAGCGTATGTACTAAGCATTTCTTCCCTTTTTCCCCTCCAAGGATGATTTGTTGTCTTTGAAGGTTGTTAGTGTGCTACACCATCTTAGTATCAAAAGAGCCATCCAGGTGCTAAGGATAAATAACTTTGAACCCAACTGTCTACGGAGGCGACCATCAGATGAGGTAACATTTGCTATTAAGTCTATTTGTATTCTCCAGGTATCTCAGTGCCTCAAAGTAACTACAAAAACCCAATGTGTCTGCTCTCTCAAAGCTTATAAGGAAAAGAAAATCATCATTTTCTCATTTTCTCAATTCCATATATACTTGATTCAAAGTTAGAGGACCTAGATTAGAATGTCAGCCATGCTACTTATCACACACATGATTTAATTTTTCTTCATCTGCAAAATGAGGAGATTGGGTTAGATGATCTTTGATGTGCCTTCCAGCTGTAAATCTGTGTTCTTACATGACTCTTCTCCATGTTACTTTTTTAAAAAATCTGTTCTTTGGAACATAATCATAGCCTGTCATAGATTTTAGATCTGGAAGAGACCTTGTAGGTTATCTAAACCCACTCTTACTTAATAGATGTTGAAAATGAATCTATCTCCCTCTCTCCCCACCCCCTTACTCTCCATTCCAAACAACAATAACAACTTTCTGCTTTTAGAATGCTGGACTACGGAGTCAGGAGCCTTAGGCAATATCGGGCGATTTCTTTTTCAATAAAGCAATATCTTTAATAGTAATGGTAATATTTTACTATAATCTTATACACAGATATGGGATGTGTATATAATGAGTGAGATAATGTGGAATATGTATGTATGAAAAATATATAAATACAAGTAATTTTTAGTAAAGGGAATTTAAATTATCTGTGTCTTTAAAATACTTTAATCTTTGTTCTAAGTAGCAAGTACATTTGCAACCTAAAAAGGGTGTGTGTCTGGATGTAGGGATTTGATTATATAGGCAAGGCGGGAATTATTGACAAAAAGGGAAGGGTTAATTAAGACTGGAACTCATATGTCAACAACTGAAAACATCAACGGTTGCTTGTTCCCATAGAATAATATCACTCCCTCAGAAGTTTCTCAATGGACCAATCATCGAGTGATGGAATGGCTGCGTTCTGTAGATCTGGCAGAGTATGCGCCAAATTTGAGAGGGAGTGGTGTGCATGGTGGACTCATGGTAAAGCTGTGTTTCAATTTAAAATATATTTGATGTATTTGATGAACATAAGTATTAGACATTTAAGAAGTTACACAGATAGCATGTACTTATTTCCTGTGTTTCGATCAGTACTATGGTATCAGTTTGCTAACATGAATCCTTATAGTATTTTAAATCACTTAGTCCATGCCTCTGCTCTTAGGGAGAAATATAACTACTTATCTCAGACAGGTTCAAATTTTTAGAGATCTTCAGAGAAGAATCATAAGATCTTAAGAGTTGGAAGGGGCCTGAATCTAGTCTTACCCACCCTTTACTGAAGGAATCCCAGCCCTGACAAGTACCATCTGAGTAAAGACCTCCAAGGAGAGGGAATCCACCACCTCTCCTTGCACAAGCTGGCTTTGTCCCCTGCCAGGCCCTGTCCAGATATCAGAGATTGTGCTGACTTTCAGATTCCTCGGTTTCCCCAGGGTGTTCACAGCCCGGGTGTTTCTGCCCTCTACCTTTATCTCCTTGGGGCATTAGGAGGCCAAGGAAGGATGTTTTGGTCCAAGAAGTCACAGGGAAAGTGAGTAGAACAGTACCCTTTCCAGAAATAATGGTAGCCTTGATTTGATTGCTGGTCCTAGATCTTAAAAATTTCCTTATTGTTACAGTTTAGTGGGTAATAATCTTACTCTAGAGTTACTCTTCCTTGTAACTAGTTTATGTAATTGTAAATACTGTTTAAATCCAGTTCCTTGTCCTGTCCTATGTGGATCTGGATGATACCTAGACACCATTCTCCACGTAATAATCTTTGCTGTAATTGAAAGCTTTTCTACTGATTATGTACGTATAGATGTTGCACCTTGAATATTGGTTTTTAGTATCATTGACAAAAATTTGCTTACAGGTTCTGGAGCCTCGTTTTAATGTTGAAACAATGGCTCAGTTGTTAAACATTCCACCAAATAAAACACTGTTAAGACGACATTTGGCCACCCATTTCAACTTATTGATTGGTGTTGAGGCTCAACGTCAGAAGCGTGAGGCAATGGAGTCACCAGATTATGTACTTCTAACAGCTACCGCCAAAGTGAAAGTAAGTTTAGGTTCCCACCACTGAGTGTGTGTAAGCAACCAAGATTCTATGGGACCACATCAGGGCATCCTGTTAATAGGGCTTTACTGCTTTCGTGAGAGAAGAGAATATTAGTTCATAATTGAGTTACCTAAATAATACATGGAGTAGCATTTGACATATGTGAATCACCGATATAAGAGACTGTAGTCGATTAAACCTTTGTTATTTCACCAAAATTACAGTGTACACACATTCAGGCAGCACTTTATAATCACTATATTGTTAAAGAGGATACTGTATAGCCTAGAACAAAGTATTATATGGTTTCCAGTCTCACGTGGCCATATCCAGAAGATAAGGAGGGCGTCTCCTTGTTTAACAGCAGCTGCTAGATGGACTGAATCAGTGAGCAGCTATCTGTAAGGTTTCAAGAGGCACCAGAGTAATGAAGCAATGCATTTATATTGGAAGAAGGTTAAAGACTATATTAGGAATGTCTGCCAACTTAGGTGGATTCTTAAATGATATCTGATTCATGTCCAGTCCAGGCTATTTCTTTCTCTTATTTTCCAAACAAAGTATTTTTAATAAGCTTAAATTAAGATAAAGATCTAATGACAAACCCTTCCTGGTTCCTCATCCTTACCACCCAAATAAAGAAGAGATATATCAGATGCTTACCTTGCCCATGTCCATCTAAGGGTCATTACGAAATTTAAGACAGAGCTCGTTTTTAACAACTTTGGGTGCATGAAGTTAGAGACTTCAGTCATTCCTTCATTGGGCCCAGGTTTAATCATCAATTTTCTTATTTGTAAATGGCTCATAATTAAATAATGAATATATCAGGTCTCATGAGCCCCTAAGTGATTTTACTGAATTACTGGTTTCATATTTTTCTTTTAAAGCCAAAGAAACTCACCTTCAGCAATTTTGGGAATCTAAGAAAAAAGAAACAAGAAGATATGGAGGAATATATATGCCCAATGGAGTTGGGACAGGCATCAAGAAATGCAGCCAAGAAAGGATATAGTCCTGGTTTGGACATTCGTCTATATGATGATGATGATTTGGACAGACTAGAACAGGTAAATGAGATTGTGAATTGCTGTTGAAGATACTAACTGCCATATGAGTTCTAAGATAAGAAGTTATAATCATATTTATGTTTTGATTAGAGCTTTTAATAACATTTCTTTTGTGTCATAATCATAGATCATAATAATACAATTAACAGATATTATTCCCAGGATAAATGTCAAAGTTATTCTCTCTATCTGGCTAAATTGTCTGAGATGGCAGTTACTAGGTGGTACCGTGGATAGAGCATTGGGCTTGGAGTCAGGAAGACCTGAGTTCACATCTCGCCAAAGACACTTATACCTCTGTGTCCTTGGGCAAGTTACTTAACCTGTTTACCTCAGTTCAACTGAAAAATAGGGTGGTTGTGAAGCTCACATTAGATATTTGTAAATCATTTAGTATTTAAAGTGTCTAGAAACATAGTAGGAACTATATAAATGCTATCATCTTCATTATCATATGAATAGAAATTAAGGGAAGCCAGAGATATTCAGGGTACATCCATGACCTTTTCAGAATGAAAGGAAATCATGATAATTCAACCCCCCAAAAAATAATCTTTTGGTGTCTTTGTCAAAGACAAAACAATGGAACAGTGAGTTGAGTGGTACATCATTCTAATCTTCTTGACTTTCCTTATTTCATACATTTTATACTAACCTTTATTATAAATAGCTAATTTATATCATTGTGGATACAGTGTAAGTCCTTTTCCTCTTCCTACTCTACCTGTACATAGCTGGTTAATAGTTGGCCACCTTTCTCCATGTAATGATCTTCACTCACTCAATAAACATTTATTAGGTGTCTGCTCTATGCCAGGCACTGGGCTAAGTGCTGGGCACTTGACTATATTTAAAAGCTCTTCTTAAGACACTAATTATGTGTGTGCATGCTGATGTTTATAGTGATTGCTTGCTGTAGATTAATTCCAGGAAAATATACTTGTGCGTGAAGGTTCGATTTGCCCCATTTGATATTACTACAACGTCTTCTGGACCCAAGTCCAAGTATATGGTCATACCCACAAGAATTCATTAGGTATAATATGTAGTATTACTACTTAGATGATTGGTAATTACTGCATTTGTCTGAAATCCAAAAACCTCTGGATGCTTTGTTTCATGCAGATGGAGGATTCAGAAGGAACAGTAAGGCAAATTGGGGCATTTTCGGAAGGTATCAACAACTTAACAGTAAGTATCTAACATGCTTTTTGGGTATCCTGAACTCAGCCTAAGATTATATAGTTCTTGAGCTTTTAATTCACATTATATATGACTCTCATTCTTTGTTTTCCAGCACATGTTAAAAGAAGATGACATGTTTAAAGACTTTGCCACACGTTCTCCTAGTGCTAGTATTACGGATGAAGACTCCAATGTGTGACAGTGACAGTGATGGCTGGATACCCATTAGGAGTCCTCTTTTCTGTCCTATTTCAGAAACACATTCAGGAGATGTACTGGGCTACAGATTATTCTTTCTATTGTGTTCGCTTCTACTTGTTTAGGAGTGATATTTCTTTCAAGGGGGCAAGGGAGGGGGTGGGGCAGGTGCCTATTCTGAAGTTGCCATGAACAATGAAACACTGTTGAGTGGTAGTATAATGGTTTTTACTCTATTTAATGTACAATTCTGTGACATATTTAAAATACTGCTTTTTAAATGATGTTACCACATTGTTCCTCTTCACATTAATGGAAGACTTTGGAAGAAAATGAGCTATTAAGTAAAGTATTCCATTTCATTTACTGTGGCTTTTTTAAACAGAATTTAAGTGATCACTGATAAATTTCTCAGCATCAATATACATAATTCCTTACTATTAAATGTGTTCACCTGAACGTCACAGTTATATCCTTACATGCCTTTTTACTATTTCTGTCTTATTTTTGTACATTTTTCTAAGCATGTATACACACTTAAATATATTAAATCATAGCAAACAGAACTTTTATTTTACGACATAGGAAGATAATGAAAAGATTGTTGTTGTTTTTTAAACAAGTATTGATTATCATTTGTATATGTACCAGCTGGTTCCTGGAAAGATGAGACTTTTTCAACTCGGGACTTTATCATCTTACCAAATGCTTGACAGTGTTGACCATTGTGACTAAATTAGTGACAAGTTAAGTTAGTAAATCTGAAATCCCCAAGAATTATTTTTCTACCATGTGTTGGAATATTATGCTATTTAAGATTTTGACTTCAAATCCTGGATTCTTTTACTTAAGAAGAAGAACTTGAGGGCTATTTTTTATTCTGCAACTAGAATAGCTTTTTTTTTTATTCCAAAGGATTCATGTAGAAAGAATTTTAAAATTTGGAAAAAAAAAACACTTTATAGTATTAAACTCCTTATTTTCCTTCTAGAAACATCATAACCCTACCAGTAGATTGCCTAGTATATTTTAATTGTAAACCCTTCCTGCCACCAATGAATGGAGCTTTTAAAATAGATAACTTCCCTAAAGTTTTATCCCAAAATAAAGTTCCATCCAATCAGTTTAGTATTCTTATACTGCAAAAGTAGTTTGTGATGCCAATTTTGTGATGTTAAATGGAGCCTAAGCTGTTCTATAGTTCAGTGGTCCTATGTCCTTTGGAAAGAGAAAACTACAAATAAAACTATTACCTACTATTATATTTTTTTGAACCAATAATGTATGTACATAAATTGTCAGGCTAATGAGTACACATTTACTCCTTTATTCAGTAAGACAACTTGGGAAGTAGTCCTGCTCAAGAATTTTAAGGGAGTTCATAAATACTATTAGGATACATAAATTGTAAACTCTATTTAAATATCAGAGACATAAATTTTCCATTTGTCACTAGGAGATTCTTCCTAGGTCTTGTAGTTTTAGATTATTTATTTATAACTACAGTGCGTTGATAAGAATATTATTATGCTACCTTTAACCCTACCACTCATTATCTGATTATGGCATCAGAAACTGTTATTAATTTACTGTGTTCATATTTTAATATAAATACAAATGGCCATGCATTTTGCTTATTGGAAAATTCCTTACCAACTTCTTGTTATGGCCCTAAATAATAATATCTGGAGATAATATAAATGCCAAATTAGCTCATTTAGTACAATCTAGCTAATAATTTTATGACACTGTTTTTAAAAAGAAAATTATAAGAGCGTGCACTACTGGGTATTTCTATGGAAAAACCAATAAAAGAGTCAATTGGAAATTTCCATGTATTCCGATTCCTAGTCTTTTTTAATCTTTTTGACAACCTACAAGGCTTATTTTGTGACATCAGTAGAGACATATAATACATGCCAAAGAATAGAAATGTGAGACTATGACTTGGGATATTTTATTGCTAGTAATAAAAAAAATGTAGGTACCTGGGCTGATGATGGGTGGTCATAGTGCATGGGGGTAGAAATATGAAAAATAAATTCATTGGCATTACCTGCAATTTCTAAAAGTAAAAAGAGATACTATGAAAGGAAGGGTATAAAAGGAATTAAGGTGCTGATTTGAATTCAACTAAAAATTTGAAACTGTTTGGGAAGCAAATATTGAGAGTATAAAGTAGAAAAAAGCAAAGCATGGAATTCTAGGGAAGACTGGATGCTTTGTGTAGATGTTAGTTACTAAGCCTTGTTAAACCAGTTTGAGTCAGTCCAAACAGAAAACACCCAGCTGACAAACCAGGAAGCATAATTTGTTTATCTACTTATGCCAGGCTATATATTTAGTTCTTTAGGGTTGGAAAACAGAGGTGACCATATACAATAACAGTGGCTTTAATGACTATCTACAAAACTTATTTTGTGAAAAAGACTCTATCCTGACGTCATCTCATTCTGGACATTTTGAAGTCATATAGATTTGCCAAGAAGATGGGCCAAAAGTCATCCCGAGAAGTGACTCGGAAGGACAAGCCTGATCTCATTGCTGTGTGTGACATTTTCAGTCGAGCTGTGGTCTATGCTGCTCAGAAACTGAAGGACTATCTTGGATTTGAAGATCCTCAAAGTAAACTGTCCCCAGATTCCAACACACTGAATGAGATCTTTTTAATTAATTTTATCAGTTTCTGCCCATGAAAATGGAATGGACAAGAAGATCACTACTAACAAAATGACCAAGAATCAGGCCATGTTGTTTGGAGCTGATTGGATCTGGACCTTCTGGGGATCTCATAAGGAAATCCTATTTCAGCTGGCTGTACAAACTTTACAGATGTCCACAGCCCTCCATAATGAATCTAATCCCTGTGACCTCCTCAGCAAGGAAGCGGTATTAGATGTGTGTTCTATGGGGGAAAATCAGTTTGAGAAGATGGAAGAATTCTGTAATTTGATAGGTGAGGATTGTCTGGGTTTACTTATCATTTTTGGTGTGCCAGGAAAGCCTAAAGACATCAGAGGAGTTCTCTTGGACAGTATCAAAAATGAGAAAATTCAAAACACCTTGTCAGGAGTGGAGGCTGTAAAACATTTTATCTTAAACACAAAGAACTGTCTATCTACCAAAGAACTGTTAGAAAACTACCTGTGTAATAGTGATAGACTGAATGAATTGGGCAAGGTTTATATTAATTTTCTCTGAATTTTAGATAGCTAAGTAAGCCAATCAAACATAAACCCATATGTCAAAGCAAAGGATTTTATTCTTTCAAGCGCAAGAGTATTATTTGATGTGACAGCATTATTGAATGCATTTAGTGTGTTAAATGGGTTTAGAACAGCATTGTATAAACTGACAGATTCACTTCTCTTGATGGCAAAAATTATGGGTTAGCTGCCCTGCTCCAAATGATTGTATTATTGTGATCACAAAGAAGAAAAAAAAGCCATGAAGAAACCTTCCTGAATAAAACAAACACATAATTCCATGCCATGTAACTTTTGTTCATTTGCTTAGGAAGCCAATAAAACAACCTTGAAAGTTTGTTTTGCAGTGGAGGTGTGTCTGTTATTTGAAATAAGGTGAGAATTAATTGTATCTACCCAAACTGTCAAGTATGTGTGTTTATCAGTAGGGGAATGGGAAGGTAGATTAGGTTTAAGCTTAAGAAAAATATACAAACCAGTTTAAAACTGGGGTTCCCACACAAAACTGGGCAGAGACTTTCTTTCCCTGTATACCACAATCTACCCATTGTCTACAAAATGGACCTGGGGAATAATTGTCTGAAGCCTGTGTCTATTACGCAAACTGAATCATTTCATTTAATGATGATTACCATAATACTCATAAAATCACAGATCTAGAGCTAAAAGAGACCTTAGAGGTCACCTAGACCAACCTCATTTTACAAATGAAGAAAATGACATCCAGGGAGGTTGGTTCCCAAGATCACAGAGGTAGTTAATAGGAGATGGGACTTGGACTCAGATCCTGTGACCTCAAGTTCTGGGCTCTTTCTAGTGAACTATGGTGTGCAAAACATGTGAATTTTTAAAATCTCTCTCATATAGATGGCAAGCTCTCTGCTTTAAAGATGAATAAGCCAGGACAACTTTTTTTTTTAAGCCAATTGGGGTTAAGTGACTTGCCCAGGGTCACACAGCTAGTAAATGTCAAGTGTTTGGTCTGAGGCCAGATTTGAACTCAGGTCCTCCTGACTTCAGGGTTGGTGCTCTGTCCACTACACCACCTAGCTGCCCCTAGCCAGGACAACTTTAAACTTGATTGAGAATTAAATGGGAACTCCAAGACCCAAAGTTTTTATAGAACTTTTGAGTATTGTTTCACTTCTGAATACTAGATCATAGCTCCCTTATTTAGTCTGTGGTGATTTAAACAAATAGCCTAACAAGACCTTAGAACTTTTTGTCTCACTTAAAAAAAAATCTTGAATTATATTCTGAATATTACTGTTTACTATTTTATTATCTTTACATATTATATAATGTGCATTATATAATGTTATTCTTCATACTCTAAATAGGGGGAAGTGTTTTTTATAAATACATTCAATGAAACAATAATAACTTGAACTTATCCTTTCTTGAATAATGTCCCCATCTACAAGACCACAATTTAGGTGGATAAGTAACTTTAAGTAATTATTAGATGTGGTAAATAACTTAATTTTCCTGCAAAGCTGCATGTATTTATTTATTTTGACAGTGGCTTAACTCTAGTGACAAATTATATCCCCAAGTCCTATAACTGAGCCATCTTGAATCTTGAAAGTAAAAGACATTATCACTTTGAAGTGAATCAATTAAACATTCAATCAGTGAAGGGCCTGCTGTGTGACAGATGCTATGCTGGACATTAGAGACACAAATACAAAAATGAAACATTCCTGGCACTTAATAAGTTTACATTTTACTGTGGGGAAAGAACATGGTACAGTGGAATATATAATGGATTTGGAGTTGAATACCTGGAATCAAATTGCAGCTTTGCTACTGTGTGTGTGTACTTATGTAAAACATTTATCCTCTCCAGGCCTCAGTTTCCCCATTTGTAAAATAGAATTGGAATGGATGACTTCTCAAGTCCCCACTAGCACCAGATCTATGATCTTGTATTCGTAGATAGTAAATACGGAAGAGAATCCATACGAAATTAATACAAACAGAGGCAGAGGGAGCTCCTCTAATAACCTGCAATCAGGAAAGCTGCCTTGAAGGTAGTATCACTTGAGTTGAGCCTTGAAGGGATCTAAGGGTTCCAAGAGGTGTGAGTACAGATTCTGCAAAGGCACACAGAGAGAAGATGGAATATTGTGTATGGGTAACAGCAAGGAGAACTATTTGACTAGAACATAGAACGGGAAAGGGGGTAGGGACTAATGGGTAATCAGTCAGCATGTGCAGAGTTTTAAATGCCAAACAGAAAAGGTCATCTTTTATCCTAGAGGCAACAGGGAACCACTGGGATAACACGACCAAACCTAGAAGTGAAAGCAGAGTTTCTATTGATGAATGAGAGGTTCAATTACTGTGGGCAGTATAGTAATCCTTCATGTTTGGAAGCATCTGGGGCCGTGAGTGGGGGCTGGAGGGGGAATGTCTTAAAGGGGCAGGAAATAAGTGAATTGATCTAGGCTAGGGTAAAAATTAATGAGACTTTCTTTCGTCTGTGATCTTAGCACTAACGAAATTTCAAGTACTGAGTAAAGTATTCATTATGGAATGTCCTCATCTCTGGAAAGTCAAAGGTCAAGAGGCCGTTCATCATAGTTCACTTCTCAGTACTGGGTTTCCCATCAATCCAGGAGACATTTCCAAAGCTAGTATCTTGACCCAGCTGTGGAATTACGACAAAGGAAACTATATAAAGGTTAATACATCAAGCATTTCTGAGAAGTGAGTGACTATTGTATGTTAGCATTATAGAAAAAGAAAAGGAAGGGAAAGTGTAATGATGATATGAAGGATTTCAGTTCTTACTAACCCCTAAGAGCCCCAATAAACAGGTCAAAGTTCATAAAAAGTTGGTTTGACACAAAAATGCTATCTCATGACTAAAATTAATCATAAATTTAATTTAATCATGACTTAAAAGTCACAATGCCTGCTTTTTTTTGTAGTGCTTTTTCTAAATAGTGAAAAGCGTTTACAAAGCACTTTTGTAAGTATCAATTTTATTTGATCCTCATAAATCTGCCTAAGCAAGGCCATCACTGTTATTAACCGACTATAACCTATATATTTGAAAAAAGAAACGTGTGTCCAAGGTCACACATCTAGAAAGTAGCTTCAATTTCTGACTTAAATGCCTACTAATTATACTCTATTACTTATTGTGCTATGATTGGTCAACCAAATCAAAATGACCACATTTTGGAGTTGAAATAAGCCTTAGGGACCAGTCCAATCCACAGGTTCACAGAATTACATAAAATGTCTTACAGTGTTGGTACAGGGCAAGGAATGTCCAGGGTCTGAATCCCAACTCTGACCAAATACTGGCTGTATTCTCTGGGGCAAATGACAATCTCCTTAAGCCTCAGTTTCCTCATCTATAAAATGAATACCTATAGTACTTGCCTCATGGAGCCATTATAAGAATCAAATGAGATAATGTGTGTATATTGATTTGTAAAATTTAAAGCCTTATGTAAAAGTTAGTTTTGGTTATTTTTACTCAGTTATTGAGATAAAAATTATATGAGGGACCATTGATTAGGCACTGCTGTCAGTCACAGTGACACAGAGATAGTTATAGTTTTATTTCTCTCAGAGCTCAGGCTCAACTGATTATACAAAAGTCAGTGATCTCAGAGCATCAGTTTCAGCAACATTATATAAAATGTGAATACATAAGCAGGATGGATACAACAGAATTTTACAGAAAGGAAGGGGAGATAAAGGTATATATGTGTGGACACAGATTAACAGAAGGGAAAGATAAGGTTGTCTGCATCTGGAAAGTCAGAGAACCAGCAGTCAAAAGTGAAACTGGTTTGTTTCCCAGCCTTAATTTTTTTCAGACAATAGCAGCGTGGTGTGACCAAGCTTCCAGCAACAATGTCTGGAAGTTCAAACTAGAGACAGGGGCAGTGTTTTTCTGAGCACAGTGATGGCAAGAAACCTAAGCCAGAATTTCTCATCAGGTAGGTAGCCAGTTAGTGGTAGAATCAGGTCTGGAACTAGGACCTACTGACTCCCCTAGTCCAGTGTTCTTTCCATTATATTACACTGCTTTTAAAAGTATAGAATACTAAAACTGTAAAGGAACTTCAGTATTTAATTCAATTCCTTCATCTCCAGATAAATTCAGAAAGATTAATCATATCTCCTCTGAACTCCCATACCCAGTACATAGTAGTATTCTATAGAATACTGTTGTCACTAAAAGTGTATTTATTCACAAATACAGCCATTATTCTTGTCCTCTGGTGACAAAATTAGATTTATTATTGTGTTTTATATAATAGGAGAAGTAGTGTTGCAGTGACTAGAGAGTTTGTCTTGGAGCCTGGAGTACTTGGGTTCAAGTCTCTTACTATATGACCTTGGGCAAGTCACCTTACCTCTCAAGAACCTCCAACAACCCTCTAAAACTTCTGAGTTGAAGAAGAGGTGCTCATCTGCTTTAGTAGAGGAGTTTCCTCACCAGGAACTCCTATATCAATGAAATCACAGTTTAAAAAAAGAAAGTATAAGCAGTAATGTAGAGAAAAAATAATAGTTGTTTATATGGAGCTTAAAGGTTTTCTAAAGACACATTATCTTACTTGATCTTGACAATACAGCAAAGTAGATATCCTAATTTTGCACATGAGGAAACAATGGTTCAGAGGCAAAGCAACTTACCCAGGGATCATACAGCAAATGTCAGAGGCGAGATTTAAACTGGAGACTCCCACAGCTTTCCAGCGGCAGCCCCCACACTGCTCTCAAGAAATAAGCAAATATTTGTTGAAATGAAGTAATAGGTTTCCTCCCTCTTCCACCTTCATCCATCCCAACTGTCAATCTAGAACACACCTCTCAGTATGGCTGATAATTAAGGCTTAGGGAAAAGAAATAATGAGTCAGTAAGAACCAGAAGACAGCTAGGAGGGATGCTTTGCTCTCAATCAGTTTGTAGCTGCCCAGAAAAATGGAGCTCAGCGAAAGAAATTAACTTTCTCCAAAAGAGTTGAGATCCAGAGTACTGTCTTCCCCAAACCACATTACTTTGATATAAGATACTACCCTTTAACAGTAGATTGCTGTTCTGAATCACTAGGATTAGAGGAGCCAGAAATGCATAATTGCTAGCTATAGTTTTCAAGTGGTACCTGCTGATTCACAACCTTTCAGGGCCCTATGATGATGGGAAGTAGCATTCATTGGAAAGGTGTTACCCCTCCAAACACTGGGAAGTTGAGAATGCTGGTTGTGTCAAATTTGGGTTGGAGCTCTGGGTTCCCAAAGCAAAGTCAGTCTTTGCAGTATCAGGCACAGGGTTCAGTCTGTCAGACATCTGAAGTGCTTTTTCAAGTGTCATAAGATCCAGAATCACAGACTCAAGTCTGAAGAGCCCTCAATTCAAACTATGGCAGTCTGGACCACACTATATGCCTAAACACTCCCCTGTTCTCTGTAGGAAGACTTTTATCAGCCCCCTGGCATTTGTGGAGCTGTATGTACATCATACTGGGTCCTGACCCTGCCTCTTCCTTAGGCACAAATGCAGTTATCTTCACAGAATATGACCTGCTGCTGGTGAAAATGAAGGGATTATTGCTCACATTTGTAAAGGCAGCTTGTCTCCCCACTCAAAACTGCATGAGATTCAAGGCAGGCTTTGAGTCAGTCTCCATTCAAAACCAGAGCTCTCAAGTTCTGACTGGTGCTTTTATCTTCTTGAACCAACCAGGAAACTCATTAGTTTAAAGCAGAAAACATTTCATTAACTTGCACAGTAAGATGGAGGAACAAAAGCTCTAGCATCTCAAGAGAATAATGGTAAAAGGAATGAAAGAAGAATAGCACTTTTCAACTTCAAATTATATATTTAGTACTGGTTACAAAATCAAAAAGTAGATCAGAGCCTGGCTAAGAAAGAAAGGGTTATTTCTTGGTCCTCTGCTCCCATCTGCTGGCCTCTCATCTAATTGCAGCTACTTTTCCTCAAAGAGCTTCCTCTTCAGGCTATTAGTTTTTTTTGTGTGTGTATTATATTCACAACCAATAGAAGCGTTTAGGCTTAGGTTAATTCTATATTTTGACCCCTTTTTATTTTTTATGAGCTGCATTCTGCGAGATCTTTATAATCTTGAGATGAATATATTCCTTTCAACATCCACAGGGTCTGTGTGCAATTCGCCTTGGGGGCTTTACTTAGCCAACCACAGTGGGGGTGGGGAGTGTCTTACACTCTTGCTGGCGCCAAAATAACTGCTCTCCTCTCTCTACATAAATAAACACTACCAAGAGAAAGCCAATTTGGGCTGGTAAGAGATGGTGTAAATAGAAATCTCTGAGAGGGGGTTTAAAAAGGAGTATCAGGTTAACAGGCTGCCCCTCTGAAGATAACCATGAAGGTCTAATGAACATTCTCATAAAGCTAAGTGCCCACCAGAAAAGAAGCAAGATCAGGATAAAGAGGAGTGGGGAATACTGATGCACAGGCAAGAGACCACTCATTCCACGCAGCCGAAAAGGTGATAAGTCTTAATGGCAGAGTATGCTATATAGGAGGGAACCATTAGGAAAGCCTGAGGAAGAGATAGAGGCCTCATGTGCTAGATAAATCAAACCACCACTGTCACGTTAAACCACCATATCCTCTCAGACCTTGGTGGAGAAAGTCCAGGATCCTGAGCCCAAGAGCCTGGGAATAGTAATATCCTCTAGGCCGTAGGGACAGGTCCAGGATTGAGGGGAAAAATCTTGGTGGAGGGGGGCCCATCTTCCTCACTGTCACCAAAGGTAGCTGCAGTTCAACTCCACCAACAGTACCATGGATGCAGGAGCTGGAGGGCTTGAAGTACCTTTCAGATCATCAGTTCTGCTTCCAGTCCAGCTTTCATAGCCATCATCTGGTGAAGTGACTCGTGTGGACAGAAGTTCAACCATTCCCATACCAAGGGTGGGCATGTCAGCCCAGATGGAGCAACAAGTGATCCTTAGGGAGACACAGAAGGCACTAAATGCCCTGCACATCCAACCACACTACCATCCTGACCACTGTCTCTCCTCAGATCCTGATGGAAACAGCACAGGAGCTAAGAGTCTTGGGAATAATAATGCTTTCAGTCAAGTGCCCTCAGCCATCATTTTGGGAAGCAAGCCCTTGAGAGATGCAGCTAGAAACTATTCCTCTAGGTGCTGCAGCCATGGCTGCCGAAAACCCACAAAAGAAAGTGCTTACCATCAAAGTCCTTTGGCCAGGCACATAGAAGGCACTGACTGGCACTGTCAAATGATTCAACATTAAAACTGATATCATTTCATCAGGTGAAATAACATTAAAGAAGAAGCATTAACGCCTACATTGCCACTATACCCTAAGGACCATGGGATCTCTCCATCTGATTCCAGCTGGAACCTTCCATATGTGTTGTCTCCCTCATTGAGAGCCATCTCCAGTCCTCCTGATCTGTATCTTGCCACTGGACCCAGATGGCTCCAGAGGAGAAAGTGAGGCTGGTAACTTTGCAAAACCCTTCCTCACTTAAATCCAATTCACTTGCATGTCTCAGCATCACCTCCCTGATGCTATGGTCCTCTTCAAGAACTAAGGACAACCAACAACCTCTGTGAGGAGGAGTAGAAGCTGCCCCATTAGAACTAGAACTGGCCAGCTGGGTTACACAGCTCCTTCTCTTTTCCTTCCTTCCTTCCTTCCTTCCTTCCTTCCTTCCTTCCTTCCTTCCTTCCTTCCTTCCTTCCTTCCTTCCTTCCTTCCTTCCTTCCTTCTTTCCTTCCATCCTTCCTTCTATCTTTCCCTTTCCTCTGTCCACATAGGGTATCATACCCTTACTCGCAGGCACTCTGCCCAAAGGAATGTAAATTTTGATTGCTGAAACCTAGCAAGATATCTTGGGGTTTATGGGCGAGATTTTTTTTCTTAACCCTTTGCCTTAAGCCCAAATCACTCTGGCTCTCATTGATTGGCCAACTATAGGTCACAGGCCAAGCTCCATTTGGTCATTGTTTGGGCCATGATCGGCTCAGAATGAATGTAAATAGCAATTGTTTCTGTTTCAGCCAGAAACCCTCAGAGTCTTCCTGTCCCAGAATGATCAGAATATATATATATATATATATAATTTTTTTTTTGACTAGGTAATTGAGGCCATTTTCTGCTTCATTTCTTACCTAGCTTTAATCACTGAATGGGTGTTGCCTCAGTCAAACTGAGACCTGGGAAAGACCTTAGCTTAAAAAGACCAAGGTTTCCCACTGCCTCCAGGGCCATTTCCAGTCTTGATCTATATTCTGCCATTGGACCCAGAAGGCTCAGAGGAAAGAATGAGGTTGGTGACTTTGCACAGCCCTCCCTCACTTAAATCCAATTCACTTGCAAGTCATGGCATCATCTTCCTGAAGTCATGGTCCTCTTTGAGAACGAAGGACAACCACCACCTCCCTCACTGGAAATGAGCTCCTTTGAAACAGGAACTGTCTATTTTTTAAAATCTCTAACCCTTAGCACAAAGCTTTGCACATAATAAGCATTTGATAAATGCTTGCATTTATTCTGAAACCTCAAAACTAGAATTATATGTGAGCCCATTAAATGATTTTACATACATATATATGTGTCAGGCTACAAATATATGTGTATATGCACATGGATGGATGGATATTCCCAGCCCCTAGTCTCTTTTCTCAGTTCTGGTCCCACATCACCAACTTCCAATCAGATATTTTAAACTGTATGCTTTATAGGCATCTCAAACTCAACATGTTGAAAATAGAACTCATTATCTTTCCTACCAAACCCATTTCTCATCTGAACTTCCTTGTTGCTGACAAGGGCAATACTATCCTTGCAGTCACTTAAATTTGCAACCATGGAGTCATCCTTGACTTATTACTCCTTCACTCCACATGTTCCCCAAAGCTCTGACCTGGACCCTCTATTCTTCTCCCTCTTACTATCTTGCTTGGTGTTCTCTGTGGTTTTTAATGATCATTTCTATGAAGATGATTCCTAGATTTGTATATCCAGCCCTAGTCTTTCTCCTGAGCTCTAGTCCATTATCACTAACTGCCCTTTGGACATCTTAAATTGAATGTCCTGTAAGCATATTAAACTATATATCCAAAAACTGAACTCATTATCTCAACACCCCTCTCCTCTTTTTCAACTTTCTTATTACTAACCAGAGTAATGGAGTAATGTCTTGTTTGAAATTGATCAAGTTTGAAACTGAGGCAATCTCCAAGTAAGACATTATTTATTATGAGGGGCATGTGACCTGATGATAAAAGATGGGTCAAATGGCCTTGCCTCTGGCCAAGAGACCCCGAATTGAGGGTGTAATACATTTTCATAGGCATAGAGCAAAGAACAGAAATCATCTGTTCTTTGGCCAGCATCACAGAGATGAAAGATCATTATTGCTCACATCAAAGAAAGTGGGCATAGCCCCCATATGTCATGAGAACTACCTCTCATTATCTCTAAGGAATGCCTTTGTAAATATACAGGTCCAGGGCTGGTTCCTGATATGGGAAGACTTACTAGCTACTGGGGAATTCAATAAGACTCCCTTAATTGTTAAAGATAGGACAAGGTTAGGTTGTCCCAGCTTCTCAGGAACATCTCACAAACCATGCAGGACATGCTGGGACAATGTTTTATGTGAGTATTGAAAACAGAAATTTTCTTTAACTAGCAGCATTGATTCCTTGGTATCTGACATCAGAGAGAGAGGCGGAGGTTTGGACTTTAGCACACGTAAGCTTCTCTACTCAAACCCGAGAGAAGAGGCTTCAGATTTAACAGCATTGTTATAGTATAAAATCAAATACAAGATACAAAATAAAAAAAAATTAATTCCCTCAGTAATGACCCATCTTCCTAGTCACTCAGGCTTGGAAACCTTACTATCATTTTTGACTCCTCACTCTCCTTAGATACTGATTTTTTTTTTTTTGCAAAGTCTTATAATTTCCAGTTTCACATCTCTTACAATGTCCCTAATTCTCCACTCACATAACTGCCATCCTGGTGCAGGCTCTCATAATTTCCTGCTTTGATATAGCCTCCTGATGTTATCCGTGCCTCAAATCTTTCCCCATTCCAGTCTTTCCTCCACTCAGCTGCCAAAATGGTTTTCCTAAATCACAAGACAGACCATCCCTACCACCTTCCCATTCAATAATTAAGTGACTAGCCCAGGGTCACAAAATCACTCTAGTGGCTTCCTATTACCTTAAGGATCAAATATAAAATTTTCTATCATTTGAAGCCTTTCATAAGCTTTCATAACCTCCCTTCCTACCTCTACAATCTTTTTATACTTTACTTTCCTCCACATACTTTACAATCCAGTTACACAAGTCTGTTTGCCATTCCTTGTGTACAGAGCTCCATCTCAGTATTTTGAGTTTTATTATTGGCTGACCCTTATGCCTGGAAAGCTCTCCCTCCTCACCTTCATCTTTTACCTTCCTTCAAGAGTCGGCTCAGACCCCCACTTCTGCAAAAGACTTTTCCCAGGCTCTCCTCCCTCTTCCCCTATTGCTAGCGTCTTCCCTGGGATTACCTTTCATTTACTCTGTATACAAATTATTTCTATATATGCAATTATTTGCGTGTTGTCTATTCCATTAGGATGTGTGCTCCTTGAGGGCAGAGCCTGATTTTTTTCCTTTCCTTTAGTGCATATGAATTTATTCCTTAGTCATTGGACAAGGATTTCACACTTCGAGTGTCAATAGTTTAATAACAATCTCAACATTACCACCATCACTTAAGCAGAAGCACAGGGCTGAGAGCTATTCTTTTCTTTCTTCCATAGGTTGCCATGACTAAAGATGTCCTCTCACCCCCTAGAGAACAACCTCCTAACAAATAAGCCTGTAGGTGCTTGGCTAGCATAGACCTCAAAATGCAGACATAGCTTGTCAGGAAACCTTTCCAGCTTGACTGATCCTTCCAGTGTTTGTCCTCTCCTGAAACAGCCTATATGAAAACACACTCCAGAAAGCACTGGAGAACTTTGATTTCAGTATAGAAAACCAGACGTTTCATAAAAGGAGATGGTGCTTTCATCTAAAGAATCATAGAATCTAAGTACCTTTAGAGTTGGGACTATTTCATTTCATTTTATTTTTTGTATTTGTCTCCTCAGTGACTGACACATTAAGTAGACAGTAACAGGGCAGCTAGGTGGTTCAGTGGATAGAGCACCAGGCCTGGAGTCAGGAAGACATCTTTCTGAGTTAAAATCTGGCCTCAGATACTTATTAGCTAGGTGATCGTGGGCAAGTCACTTAATCCTATTTGCCTCAGTTTCCTCATCTGTAAAATAAGCTGGAAAAAGAAAAGACAAACCATTCCAGTGTCTTTTTCAAGAAAACTCCGAATGGAATCACAAAGAGTTGAATGCCACTGAAAGGAGTGAACAATAACAGGATGTACAGCAATGATATAGCATAAAGAGCTCTGGAGTCAGAGTATTTGTATTCAAATCCTATTTTTGATGCTTACTTTTTTTTTGAATTTTTTAAATTTTATTAATTTATTTTGATTTATCAACAATCACTTCCATACGCTTTTGAGTTGAAAATTTTTCTTCTTCTTCCCCCCCCCCCCCCCCCGCACCCTCACCAAGACTGCGCACAATCTGATATAGGCTTTACATTTACATTCCTATTAAACATTTTCACATAAGTGAAGTTGTAAGTAAAAATTAAAACCAGTAGGAGGAACCATCAGAAAGATGAAACAATACTCAACAGAAGGTAAAAATAAGTGATGATACTACTTCTGACGCCATGAGTGAGCCACTTAAATAGCCCAACGTTTCTTCAACAGTAAAATGACAAGGTTTAACTAGAAGACCTCGGAAGCCCCTTCTAGCCCTAGATTTATTATGCTATGAAATGTTCTAACTTTTGCTGCTGTCTTATACTTTTTTTTTGGCTAATAACTCTCTCTACTTTTAATTTTTTTTTAACAATTTTAAATCTAATTTCTCAAAATTTTTTACCTGTTTTCCTTTTCTTATTCTTTATCCCTTGTTTTGTTTTTGCTATACTCAGCATCAGCACTTTGCCTTTCCTCTCCTCTCTCCAGCCATGTTTCAATATCCTCCTCTCTTCTTTCTCTGTACCCTTCTGTCTCTGTCCCCCTTCCTCTCTTTTTTCCCTCCCTCTCTCCTCCTCTATCTCTCTCTCTCCCTTCTTGTCTCTCCCTCCCTCTGTTCCTCTCGCTCCTCCTCCTCTCTCCCCCTTCCTTTCTCTCCTCCCTTCTTTTCTCTCTCCTCCTTTTTTCTCTCCTCTCCCTCCCCTTCTTCTCTTCCTCCCTTCCCGCACTCTGTTTCTCTCTCTTTCTCTTTCTTCCCCTCCTTTCTCTCTGACTCCAGAATTAGTGCTCTTTGTTATACCAATATACATATATGCATATACAAACATATACATATACACACACATATTATTGCAAAGAATCAGAATTAGGAGACCCGCGTTCCAAAGGAGCCCCAGCACACCAACTTTTAGACAAATAGACAAGTCACAACATCTCGAGTTCCAGCGACCTCCACCTTTAAAATGGGGATAAAAACTTGCATTACTTGCAACTATGTCCCCCCAGTTTTTGTTCCCCAGGCGTTTTGTACATATGAAGGCGTTCTATAAATGTGGTTGAAGATGATCATGCTAGCACTCAGGTGTGTCTCCTCTCATATCCTCTTCTCCCAGCGTCTCCACAGGCGGTCTAGGATTCTGCATCAGGAAACCGAGACAGCAGCACTCTCCGCCCCCCTTCGCTTTGTCACTATGTTTGTCCTTCGCGGCTTGCCGTCCCCGGCGCTGGAAGGGAACTATGGCGGCGCCCGTGTTCCTTCTGGGGCATGGTGTGCGGCCACGGCCCTGGACTTTGCGCGCTTTCACTACGGTTTTGTCTCCGGTCAGTGACCCGCATGTTCCAAACACGCGTGAGTTCAATGCTCCCTATCCCAGTCCCCTTCTAGACTCTGACTTTCCTCACCCCCAGGTCGGCGCTCTCTCTCCTGGGCTGGCGTGGGCCGAAGGGACGGGAGCTGTGCAGAGATCGGGTGGGAGGGAAGTTTTAGAGCTTGGCCCGGGCTCCCCGCAGCGGAGCTGGAGGATTGAGCCGAGCTCCAAAACCCCGGAGCTGTGGCTCGGAAGCGTGAGCGACTGCGTGCCAGTGAGTTAGCATGCGCTAGGCACTGTGGTAAGCACTGGGGATGTAAGGAAAGGCAAAAGACAGCCGCTGCCCTCAAGAAGCTTCCAATCGAATGGGGGTATACAACATGCCAACAACCCTGTACGGACGAGGTATATACGGGACAAATTGGAGACCGTGGCAGGAGGAAGGCACCGGAATTAAGGAGGACTGTGCAAGGCTTCCTTCTAAAAAGTGGGCTTTTAGCTTTGACTTGAAAGAACACCTACGAATTGCGCTAAATGGCCCTAGAGGTCCTTTCCTTGCTCGGAACCTTAGCTCCTGTGATTTCTGGAGACAGCCTCGCCCGTTCCACTTTTAGTTAACTAATTGAAATGCTTTCTTACATGCAGTTGAAATCATTCATTTGTTATCCTTTGTTATCATTTATTAAGCGCCTAGGAGCGTCCCTGTCCTCAAGGAATTTATAATCTAACGGGGGAGACGATATACAAACAAATATGTACAAAGCAAGCTCTGTACCAGATAAATAGGAAATAATTGGTAGAGGGAAGATACTAGAATTAAAACGAGATGGGGAAGGCTTCCGGTAAAATACTGGATTTCAGCTGGGACTTAAAGGAAGAAAGGGAGGTCAGTAGTTAGAGCATTTCAGGCAGGGAGGACAGTGAGGGAAAATGGGAGGAGTCAAGAGATGGAGTGTCTTGTTCATGGAATAGCCAGGAGATCAGTCTCCCCAAAACTTGCCTTTTCTCTAGAACTTCCCATTTTTCCAAATTCTTGGGTGCCAAATAAGAACAAGATTAGTACCCTTTGCAAATGGCAGCCCTTCATCTGCAAAGTGAGGTGAACTAAGATTAGGGTAAGTTGAGTATGGGAACTGGCAAATTGTCTGCCAAAAAGAATAATATGCCATACGTTTTTACTGCTTTTTGTTCATGTATTTAAGCTGAATTTTAGAAAATAGGTCTGGCAGAATTTAATTTTTTTTTCAGTCAGAATGTGTTTAGCAGCCTCTATGTAAAGTACTTTTTTGGAGTCATATACTAAAATACATGAATTTGCGATTTAATTGATGTGGATGTTTCTTTAAAGCATACAGATTATACACCATCCGTGACTATCCATCGTGTGTAACTCACGTCTCAATGCTCTCTTAAGGTCAATACAGGGAGTCCTCCCAATGTAATGGATAAGTAAGGAACTGATTCAAAACTACAAGAATAAAGCCATTCTTCGACTGATAAATGGCCAAAGAATATGAAGAGGTTGTTTTTGTTTCTCTGGTGAGGCGATTGGGATAAAGTGACTTGCCCAGAGTCACATAGCTAGTGAGTGTTAATGTTTGAGGCTGGAATTGAACTCAGGTCCTCCCGACTCCAGGGCCGGGGTTCTGTCCACTGCACCACCTAGCTGGCCCAAGAGGTTGTTTTCTAAGGAATAAATCCAAGCTATCAATCACGCTATGAAAAAATGGTACAAATCGCTAATAAATAGATAAATGCAAATTAAAGCAACATTTGTCCATTTCCCTAATTCCAGAATTGTCTCTAGGCTCCTGGGGAGAGTTAAACATTGTCCTTTCAAGGGCCTCCCCAAGTGACTTACACCAGCACTTGGCAAAATTCTGCCACTGATCTGGGCAGCTAGGTAGCACAGTGGATGTAGTGCTGGGCCTGAAGTGAGGAAGACTCATCTACCTGAGTTAAAATCTGGCCTCAGACATTTATTAGCTGTGTGACCCTGGGCTAGTCACTTAACCTTGTTTGCCTCAGTTTCCTCATCTGAAAAATGAGCTGGAGAAGGAAATGGCAAACCACTCCATTATCTTTGTCAAGAAAACCCCAAATGGGGTCACAAAGAGTCAGACATCACTGAACAAACTTCTCAGTTACCAAACAGAAGAAACTCAGTTTCTTCTTTTAACACAATTATTAGACAACTCCAAAATTCTAGAGATCTGCCTTAGTTTGCATTCTTTTAGTGTTGGGGTCCCACATGCCATTACTCAATATGGTGACTGTGTGTTCACTGTTATAGGACTGAAGACTGCTTGTTCAGCTGCAGTGCATTTCTAGAAAAGCCATTCAAAACCAAACAGTTCTTTGCCCATTCACAAATATTCCCTCCTTTAAAGTTGGAAGGGGCCTGCTTTCCATTGTCTTCCTACTGAGGACTTAGGTGATAACATTAGGATTTCAAAGTCATTAGGTCCTAAGGCACTTCTCCTGCATTTGCCTTTTCTATTTTCTATTTCTTTTCTGTTTTTCTTAATTAGAATATCTCTATTCTAAAGGATTGAAAATCCCTTTCCTTCCAAAAAATCCAATCCCTCCTGGCTGCTTTGTAGGTAAAATGATTTCTGAGAGATGCCATAGTAGAACTTGGAGGAGGCTTAAAGTATTAGGCTGGTAGGCCAACACAGCTGGTGAGCCTAAAAGACTTATCACAGTTATCTTCAAGGTGTCATTCTTAGCACATTCACGTCAGGCTCTGCTTGTTGAATGGCCATAGGCAGTTTACTCTTCTTTCTCCCAGGGATGGGGCAAGGACACTTGTTAGGAAGCTACTACCATCTCAAGAGGCATTACCAAAAACACCACCAGAAGCATAAACTTCTGGGCTGACCTGCACTGCTCAGCTTCTACTTCAGTAAGATCATTCTGTACTGATCCTACAAATTAAGCCAATTGTTCTGGGCTGAACCTGATTCAGGCTAGTCCTTTGGTAACCTAGGTTGGATATTGGATTAAAATAAGATAATCAATCATAGGTCATTCAACAGTTAACAAAAGGAAATTTACTTAGGCAGAGCAGGAGAAGAATATTCAACCAGGACAGGCCTTGAGGACATCTTGTTCATTCACCTGAGTGAGGTTCCTGTGCCTGAATTTCTCATTGTTCATCTGACAAACATCACAGCATGCCTGGAGTTCCTTTTAACTGTTTTGTAGTCAGGTGACCAGGAAGTCATCTTGGTAACAGCTTGAACCTTTAGTCTCCTAAGCCAATCAAGTTTCAAAAGACAGTTTTTTAAGGAAGTAGCTTAGATGGAGGAAGGGTTAGAATATTGCACTTACCATACAAGTCCATTCTTTCTACTTTGTCATAACTACTCCTGTAGTGTAGTATAATTGTTTCAGGTAATTACTAAAAGACCACTGGATTTGGTGTCAGAGGGCCTAAGGTATGAATCCACTGACACTACTTGTGTACCTCTCTGGGCCTCAGTTTTTTTATCTACAAAATGAGAGGGGATGTTAGAAGAGATGACTTCTATTATCCTTTCCAGTTCTAAATGTATGATTCTGTATGAACATCAGAACATTTCCTACCTTCTTTTGACTTTTCTCTTACTAGATTTAGTGAATTTTAACTTTTGCTCCTAAAGAGATAATTAATAAAAAACTTTCCCTTCCTCCCACTTGGTTTGTTTTTGTTTTTAGGCAATTGAGGTTAAGTGACTTGCCCAAGGTCACACAGCTAGTACATGTCAAGTGTTTGGTCTGAGGCCGTTTTTGAGCTCAGGTCCTCCTGACTTCAGGGCTGGTGCTCTATCCACTGCACCACCTAGCTGCCCCTTCCCTCCCTCTTGGAAGAAAAAGGAAGAAAGAAACAGGACTCTTGTAACTGATATGCATAGTCAAACAAAACAAATGTCAGCAATAGCCATGTCCAAAAAATGTATGCCTCATTCTGTACCCTGATTCCATCACCTCTGTGTCGGGTGGTTGGTAGCATGTTTCTTCTTCAGTCTTCTAGAATCCTGGTTGGTTATTACACTGATCACTTGTCTTTAAATTTTTCTCCTGGTTTTGCTCACTGTACTCTGTAATAGTTCATACACATCTTCCCCAGTTTCTTTTCCTAGGAGAGAGATTAGGGCAGCATGTGCCAGGTAAGGACCAACATCACCACCCTGACCACCATCTCCCCCTCTGATACTGAAGGAGATAGCACCAGACTCTGAACCCAAAACCCTTGGGAATAGCATTGTACCTCAGATTGCTAGACCTGCTTCCAGCCTAACTTTCACACCCACCATTGAGGGGAGAAAACATTGTGCAGAAGGGGGCCACATTCATCATTGCCACCACCAACACTTGCTGACCAGTTGCCATCAACAGGCAAATTGTCACAGAGCGCTGAGAATGGCAGCACCTCTTCCTACCCCCAACACCCACTGGTCTTGCTTCAAGCCTAGCCCTCATGGCCATCATCCAGGGAAGCATCTCTCTTGTGGAGAAGGGATCAGCCATCTTCACCAATTTGCTAGCCAGCTGCTGCTCTCAGGGTAGGCAAGCCAGCCTAGCTGAAGAAGCAGGGCACCTGAAGAGAAGTAATGTACCAGGATTCGTCAAACCACCATGACTATCATCTTGCCTCAGAGTCTGGTGGAGACAGTCCAGGAATCTGAACTCCAGAGCCTTGGGAATATCAGTGCCCCCCAAATCACCAGACCTACTTCCAGCCTGGTCCCCACAGCCATCATTGAAGGAGGAAATTATTATGGATAAAGGACCCACCTTCCCCCCCCCCACCAGCTTCAGACCAGCTAACAGGAGCACAGGAGAGCTAGGAGTAGCAGCACCCCCCAGACCACCTTCTTCATGCTCAGACTTCACAGCCATCATTGAGGGAAGTGACTGCTGTGGAAAAGGAGGAAACCATCCTTACCAATTGGCAGCCTGAGGGAAAAACAGGAGGCAGCGTGTTCCAGGCAAGTCAAACCACTACCACCGCCTTGACCACCATCTCTTTTTGGACTTGAATGGAGACATTCCAGGACCCTGAGCTGAAGAAAATAGTAATATTTCCAGCCTGTACCCCCAGCCATCAACCTGGGAAGCAAATCTTATGCAGATGCTGGCAACTGCTGCAGATGCTACAGCTACATGTATTGAAAATGCAAAAAAGAAAGTACTTGTCAGCACAGTCCTTGGCATTGTCAAATGGTTCAACATCAAAAATTCGTATGCTATTTTCCATGGAAATAATGTTAAAGAAGAGTCATTAACATCTACTTTGACTGTACCCTAAGGACCATGGGGCCTTCCTATCTGATTTGCAGCTGAAACCTATATGAATTGTCTCCACATTAAAAAGTGAATTTCTTGAGAGCAGGAACTTCCTATATTTCTCTTTGTATCCACAGTGCTTTGCACAGAAAACAGTTAATATGTACTTCATTCCATTCTGAAAGCACAATAGTATTCTAATACATTCATATGCCATAATTTGTTCAGCCATTCTGTAATTGCTGGCAACTCCTTTAGTTTCCAATTCTTTATCCTCACAAAAGTAGTGCTAGAAATATTTTTAGTTTAGTAACTTTTGGGGAATATCAATTCCAAATTACTTTCTAGAATGTCTGAATCATTTCATGGCTCCATGAACAATGTATCAGTTTGCTTGCTTTAACCACAGCCCCTTCAACATTTATCATTTTCTCTTTTTGTCAGCTTTGTCAGTCTGGTCAGTGGAAAGTAGAACCTCAGGGTGCTGTAATTTGCATTTCTCTATTAGTGATTTGTAACATTTTTTCATGTGGACATTGATAGCTTGGATTTCTTCCTTGGAAAATAATCTATTCATATCCTTTGACCATCTTATTAATTGGGGAATGACTTTATTCTTTTTTTTTTTTTAAAGGCAGTTGGGATTAAGTGACTTGCCCGGGGTCACACATCTAGTAAGTGTCAAGTATTTGGTCTGGGGGAACTCAGGTCCTCCTGACTTCAGAGCCAGTGCTCTCTCCACTGCACCCCCTAGCTGCCCCGAATGACTTTATTCTTAAAGATCTGAATCAGTACCTTATACATCTTGGAAATGAGCCCTTTCTCATAAAAACTTGCTGCAAAAATTTCTTTCTTCAGTAACCTGTTTCCTTTCTAATTTTAGCTGCATTGGGTTTTTTGTGCAAAAATGTTTTCATTTTATGTAATTAAAATTGGCCATTTCCCTTCTATTCATTGTTAGGTCATGAACTGTTCCCCTATCTATAGATCTGAAAAGTAGTTTATTCTTTGCTTCTCAATTTTGTTTGTGATGTCAACCTTTATGTCTAAGTCATGTATCCATTTAAAGTTCATTTTGGTATATGGTGTGAAGTGTTGGTCTACACCTAGTTTCTGCCAGAATGCTTTCCAGTTTTCCCTGTAGTTTTTGCCAGATAGTAATTTTCTACCTTGGTATTTGGGGTTTTTATATTTGTCAGTTATTACCACTGTTTTGTGCTTCCGTAGATTATATTACCTAATCTGTTCCACTCAATGACCTCTCCATTTCTTCAGCAGTTATTTTGATATTTTGTTTTATAGTTTGATATGTGCTACTAGTAAGCTCCCTTCCTTCCTTCCACAGTTTTTCATTATTTCTCTTTAGACCTTTTGTTCCTTCAGATCAATTTTGTTAGTTTTTTTTCTCTGTCTTTAAAACAGCCCTTTGGTAGTTATATTGGCATGATACTGAATTAATTTAGGTAATATTGTCATTACCTTGGCTTATCCATACTCTGATCAATTGATATTTCCCTAATTATTTAGGTTTTCTTTATTTCTATACATTTTGTAGTTTGAGTCATAAAATTCCTGTGTGTATCTTGGTAGATAGACTACCAGGTATTTTATGCATTCTGTAGTTATTTTAAATGAGATTTCTCATTTTATCTTTCTGCTATTGGTAAAATACAAAAATACTGATAGTTTTGGTAGATTTATTTTATATCCTGAAACTTTGCTGAGGTTCTCAATTACTTGAATTAATTTTTAGTTGACTGTCTAGTATTCTTTAATCATATCTGCAAAAAACGATAATTTTGTTTCCTCTTTGTCCGTGCTTATTTGCTTGATTTCTTTTTCTTGTCTTACTGTATTTCACCATGTAATCATTGCAGATTTTATGGCAAATCTTTTGCAAAAAAAAGTGGGGTACATCATTATGTGAAGCTTTAAAAATTTGTACTGGTATTACTTGTCTTTTAGTTTCCGCCATTCCCACACCCACTTTTCACTCACTTTTTAGTGAGAAGACAGTTTTTACTGTCTTTCCCCTGCACTGTTTCCATGCTGTTCAGCGAACACAGTCACTTTCAGCTTAAAACCCACAGAATAGTTTTTATATTTACCCATAATCAGAAATCATATTAGTGTATTGCTGGCAGACAGACTGTACAGTTTACCTAGTGCAGGAAGATGCAAGTTTTACCGTGTCGGCTACTTACTCGCGTCAGCTTTGCCTGCCCATCTGCTCCCTTTGTGCCTACTGATCTTCATTGAGTTGAGTGAGAATACCATTAGTACTGCAGCGCTCTAAATAAACCACACGAGCCGGCTTTTGGAAATATACTGATAGTGCTGAGAATTCTAGTCTCACAGCTCACAGTTTTGGTTTTAAAGGCATCATGTTAGGTACAATAGTTTCCAAAATCTAAAAGATTTCCTTGAGGCTTTCTTTGTTGTGAATTACTTTTCATTTTTGATGCTAGTAATTTGATTAATTTGACATGCCGTATTTTCTTCTTTTCCTTTTCCTTGCCCACTACCCACTCTCAGACCTTCCACTTACAGGTGTAGATTACCTGTTCAGTTGGATCTGTGACCCATCTCCGGGGTACAAACCACAGAGCTGCCAGTTGGCATCTGTTCCTGCCCCCATCAGACTTAACCCAGCTGGATTTGAATACTGCTTCTTACCCTAGCATATAGTCACAGGTTCCAATTCGTTGTTGGTGCTGGCAAGCTCTGCCAGGCCTCTTCCTGGCTAGATCATCTCCACCGCCCTCAGAACTCTATCTGTCTCCATCTGCTGATCTCAGCCAGAAAAATGGCTCTTGATCTTTTCCTTGGATTTCACAGTCGTATCTTGGCTTGATGCTCTTTTTAAAGTCTTTGTTGTGATAGTTTAGAAAGGAGTTGGCTGCATCGCATCCTTTGACTTCTCTGTCTTTGCTGGTCTCTACTGCCCTTGAATTTTATTAATTAATATTAATTTATTAAGTATTAAGTAACTTTGAGTTACCATTGTGAGTTTATAGTTAAAGTTAAGGCACATTTAGAAATGAATTTTTAAAACTCTTTATTTTGCCTTGTAGTTAAAACAGAAAGCAATAAAACATCAAAGAATGGAAAACATAAAAAACAGGTAAGCAATAAAGGTAATGTTTACCAGTAAAGTTTTAAGGAATAATTTTGGGAAATCTAAATGTTTTTATATATATATATATATATATAAATATATATATATATGTTGATAATATAGTGACTTCAAGGATTGCCCTCCTTGCCTCAAATAAAGGAAACTGTAAGCCCAATTGGAAAATGTGTTTTCATAATGTGAATTAATGAATGGAGAGGAATAATTTTTGGGAAAGAAGTAAGTGAAGGTGAAACCCTCTACTTAGGGTTTGAGGAGACAGTGGGAATGGTACTTTAGTGAAATATTCTTCCTCAGTGGGATGGATAAATTCTGAAATGTTGATTTTTTTCTTTTTTTTTAAATAATTTCTTTTGATTTATCAACAATCACTTCCATATGCTTTTGAGTTGAAAATTTTTCTCCCCCCTTCCTGCCCCCCACCCTCTCCAAGAATCTGATATAGGCTTTACATTTACATACCCATTAAACATATTTTCACATTAGTGAAGTTGTAAGTAAAAATTAGAACCAATAGGAGGAACCACCAGAAAGAGGAAATAAAACTCAACAAAAGAGAAAAAAAAATAGCAAACAGTATGCTTCCATATGCATTCAGATTCTTTAGTTCTTTCTTTGGATGTGGATAGCATCTTCTATCACGAGGCCTTTGGAGATGTCTTAGATCCTTGTATTACTGGGAAGGGTTAAGTTTATCAATATTAGTCATAGCACAACACGACTGTTATTGTGTACAACGTTCTCTTGGTTCTGCTCACTTCACTTAGCATTAGACCGTAGAAGTCTTTCCAGGTTTTTCTGAAGTCAGCCTGTTCATCATTTCTTATAGCACGGTAGTATTCCATTACATTCATATACACAACTTGCTCAGCCATTCCCCAATTTATGTGCATCCTCTCAATTTCCAGTTCTTTGCCACCACAAAAAGAGCTGCTATAAATATTTTTGTACATGTAGGTCCTTTTCCCATTTGTATGATCTCTCTGGGATATAGCCCTAGAAGTGCTATTGCTGGGTCAAAGGGTACGCAGATTTTTATAGCCCTTTGGGCATAGTTCCAAATTGCTCTCCAAAATGGTTGGATCATTTCACAACTCCACCAACAATGCATTAGTGTTCCAATTTTACCACATCTTCTCCAACATTTCTGATATGTTGAGTTTAAAAGGGATAAATGGTACCTCTTATTTTACGAAATTCCTGAAACTAAAACTCAAGTTACTTCTCTCCATTGCAGATATTTTACTTTACTTTGTTGCTGCTTTTTTTTACTTTTTTAAAGGAAAAAAATTAATTTTTTTATTAATTATTTTGATTTATCAACAATCCCACTTCCATAAGTTTTAAATTTTTCTCCTCCTTCTTCTCCCCTCTCCCTCCCCAAGATGGCACACAGTCTGATATAGACGATACATATACATTTCTATTAAACACATTTTCACATTACTCATGTTGTAAGGAAGAATTAGAACCAATAGGAGGAACCACAAGAAAGAGGAAACAAAACAAAACAGAAGAAACAAAATAGCAAACAGTATGCTTCGATCTGCATTCAAACTCCATGGTTCTTTCTTTGGCTCTGGATAGCGTTTTCCATCATGAGACTTTTGGCGATGTCTTGGGGTCCTTGCATTGCTGAAAAGGTCTAAGTCTATCAAAGTTAGTCATCACACAACGTGGCTGTTACTGTGTACAACATTCTCCTGGTTCTGCTCACTTCACTCATCATTAGACCATATAAGTCTTTCCAGGTTTTTCTGAAGTCTGCCCTGCCCATCATTTCCTGAAGTACAATAGTATTCCATTACATTTATACACCACAACTTGTTCAGCCGTTCCCCAATTGATATGCATCCTCTCAGTTTCCAATTCTTTGCCACCATAAAAAGAGCTGCTATGAATATTTTTGAACATGTGGGTCCTTTTTCCATTTGTATGCTCTCTTTGGGATACAGCCCCAGAAGTGCTATTGCTGGGTCAAAGGTAAAAGAAAAAAATTAAACATGAACAAATACATTCCTGTTTAAATACTTATGTTTCTTCTTTAGGTTCCGAATCCTAGGACAACGAAGATGGCAGTTGATCAGGACTGGATGAGTGTTTATCCCGCTGCAGCCCCATTTAAACCCTCAGCAGTGCCTCTTCCTATTCGAATGGGCTATCCACTGGAAAAAGGAGTGCCCATGGCCAAGGAAGGAAATCTAGAGCTTCTGAAGGTAAAATGAGTTTCAGTTTTATTGGTTAAAAAAAAGAAAAAGAAAGGGATTTTCAATTGCATTTAGTAACTGAACTAAGGTACAATGTACATACATCTAATTTTAATATGTTTCCATGTAATAAATTCAGTACATTCTTAATTGTGCCAGGGAGACAGAGCCAAAGGAATCTAAGTTCACTAAATGGAGCTGCTATGTAGACTACTTATCTCTATTGCATTAGCCATGGGATTAGGAAGGTAAAGTATGCAGAAATAAGAAGTTTTGTGAGAGAGAATATGAAAATTCTATTCTTGGTCCACATAGTTCCCTTTTTTCTCACCCTCTGGGAAGACAGTAGAGTACTGATGAGACAAGTGAGCCCCAACTTCTTCAGTTCTGAAACAGTGTGAGGTACCATACTAATAATTTGATTAATAGAAAACTATAATATATGGGCAGATCCTTTATCTATTTAATGATATTTGAGCTGTAGGTTTTTTTATTTTTGTAAAGAAAATAGAGCTACTAAGATGGTTTATATTGGTGATCATTTCTTCTTATAAATATTACATATACCCTAAACTGGCCTAGCATAGAGCATGCACTTGGTGTTGAGAGGGCTAGAATTGAATCCCACTTTAGATAGTTCTTACCCATGTGACCTTGAGTAAGTCATCTCACCTCTCATAGCATGTGTCCTCATTCATAAAGTAGGAATAATAATACTTGTGCTATATACCTTACAGGGTTATAGCGACAAAACTTAATGCATTATGCCAATGTGGGTTATTGTTAGTATTATTAAATGAGATTCTTTTTGACTCTTAGAAAAAAGTTGACTGAAGGAGAATGCTGGAAATGAGCTGTGGAGAAAAATTAATGGTAATTGTTGTTCTAGAAAATTTTGGATTGACTTTTTGAGAGAGAATGTTTGAAGGTATCTAAGGAAATTACGTGAGAGCTAAGAAATTATAAATGCTCCTGATGACAGGAGAGCTTGATAAGATTTTTTGCATCTGTATGCATATTGGAGAGTATGGATAGTGAGAAGGAGCATGGCATACTAGATAGAAAGCTGACCTCAGAGTCCAGAAGACCAGAGTTCAAGTGTTGCCTCTGACACATATTGACTCTGTGATTCTGAGTAAACATCTGCACCTCTCAATGCTTTAGAAAATGCTCTAAGACTCTTAAGCTGAAGAGAAGCTGCTGACTTGCATTGGTTGAGGGAGTTGCCTCATCTGGGAGTTCCCCAGATCAATGAAATCACAAGTCCAGTCCCTATCCCCAGTCCCTGTGAATAGAAATACATAGGAAATTAGCTTGAAGTAAGGGACCAGGTGGATATAACAACAATTAACAGCATATGTAGTGAAAACAGGTATGACTGCAATTCAACAAGGTTTTTATTTTTAAAACAACATGCCAGGATTTATTTGTCATATCTCTCATGCAGTTTGTCACCTTGGGAGGCCATATGCTTTATTCAAGTGAAACTGCCCTTGCCGAAAACAATTTTCAGACATTTCTTTTTGAATTGTCCTCAGAGAGGCATTTTTTCAAGTACCCTTAGGTGACAAATTTATGATGTTTGAGAATTGCTTTGAATTTTATAAATAAACAAAAACAATTTGGGGCTATGTCTGTTGAGTAAGGTGGGTTTTTTGGTTAAAAAGGGCTCCATAGAAAGGGCTCCATGTGCTGGAGCATTGTCATCGTGAAGCAGTCAGTGGCCCAGAAGAGCCTCTTTGTATCACATAGTGTCTTCTAAATGCTTCAGAATGCTTTATTGATGGTTTGATCTAATAGAACAATTTCTGCACAAAAGAAACCAAAAAAGGCTACACTTGGACTTACCATCTTTCCTTTTCTTTTTTTTTGCCGGGGTTGCCAGACTGGTCAGTTATAGGAATGCTGTAGATACAGCATAACTGAATTTCAGCAAAGCATTTCATAAAGGCTCCCCCCATAACCTTGTGGGCTGGATTGGGAGTATTAGGTATATTCTGAACTGGTTGAATGACCTAACCCAAACAGTAGAGATTGAGAGCAACCTGGAGGAGAAAAGTAATAGTCGTGGTTGTTTATCAGAAAGTTCATTGAGGTGTATACTTTAGTTTCCACAAATCTTTTTTTAAAGTCTTTTAAAAATATTTTATTAATTTATTTTCTTGAATGTGGATTCATTTCAGATCCCCAATTTCTTGCATTTGACTCCTGTAGCAATTAAAAAGCACTGTGAGGCTCTTAAAGGTAAGTGATTATTTAAGAAAACAGTCACCTTAATGTTTATGTAAACAGTGCAAAAAACATAACTAACACATTGTAAAACCTTCTAGCTTTTCTTCATTTTTGTTAAACTTCTTCTTTTCTTTTGATTTGATATTATTCCTCCCATGTTTCTCAGCAGTCCTTTAATTGTATTTAGAGAATTTATTGGCTGAGCTCTAGATGGCACAATAGGGTAGTGTATGGGGCTTGGAGCCAGGAAGACTTGAATTTAAATCCTGCTTCAGACGCTTAGCTGGCTGGACGACCCTGGACAAGTCACTTAACCTCTTTCAACCTTAGCTTCCTCATCTATAAAATGGGGATAATAATAGCACCTACCTCATAGGGTTGTTGTGAGGATCAGTTAAGTATTTAAATATGTAAAGCACTTTGCAAACTTTAAAGCACTAAGTAAATGTTAGTTATTATTATTATCAGCCACTGTTTAGTATAGTGTTATGTTCTAGACCCTATGAGGAATAAAAAGAATTAGAAATCGTGATGCCACCTTAAGGAAACTAACAGTTTAGTTGATATAGAAAGTCCATATGTAAAAAGGCAAAATAAAATATTTAGAGAGTAGCATTACTAAATAAAATTTAATATAGTACAAATTGAAGAAATTGTTGTCAAGGAGCAGTAAAGTAAAACCACAAGAATGAAATATGTTGAACCTTCCAAAGGGACAAGGCCCTCCAGGTTTAGTTAGTAGACTGATTATGCCCAGGGGCAAATTTGTGAATGGCTTTTTAGAAAAATTGAATTTAAGGATTGTTAAAAAAAAATGTAGATTGAGTTGATAACAAAGTGGGATTATTAGAGGGAAGCACCCATTAGAAGAGCCTAAAGAGTAAAGACAGAAGAACAAAGCAGAACTTCAGAGAGGCAAGGTAATCCTGGTGTTTCTGTTCCCACCTCAGTCTGGGGTAGGCTTCACTATTGGATTCTAACTTTTCATTGGCTATAATCAATAGTTTAGGTCCTAGGCCAAACATACCCAGAAAATAGCACAAAAAAAGGACAGAGAATAAACATACTCTTTCCAAAGTTCTACCCTTTCTGAAGGGAAGATTTGGCCTGTAGCTTGAATTTCAACTTTGAGAGGTAAGGAAATGATTACAGGGAGGTGCCTGGAAGAGGCTCTTTATGCTTTAAACCTCTGCCAACTTAACTAAGCAATGTAAAATAATACTTGCATGCTACTTTCACTATAATTAGTTTTTATCCCAAAATGCCCTCACAGTCTTGTAAAATATTAGTTGTGTCCTTGAATTGACTACGTATTAGATTGTAATTGACTGGGTGGTGGGGAGAAAAGGAAGGGTAAGACTAGGAATGAGGAGAAAATGAAAAAAGTCCATGAACAGAGGGTGAGAGCTCAGGAAGAGAAGTTCTCCAGCTGAAAGAATGTGGAACTATCAGCCAAGACACCTGGGTTCTAGTCAGAGCTCTGCCATTAACAACCTGTGTGATTTTGAGTAAGTCACTGAATCTTTCTAAGCTTCCTTTTCTTTATCATTAAGTGGGGATAACATCGACTGCTTTGGCTCATCGTCATCATCATCATTGTTCACATTTTTGTAGTACTTTAAGATTTGCAAAGCAATACATTATCTCATTTGATGACAAGGTTAATATGAGTATCAAATAAGATAATGTATGTGAAAGTATTTTATAAAGCAAGTCACTATTATTTTTGCAATTTGGTAAACTAAAGCTATTGGAGTCTGGTGGGGACTCCATATTCTCTACATAATCGTATTTGAAATAAACTTACTTTAAAATTCCCAGATTTCTGCACTGATTGGCCAAGTGCACTGGACAGTGATGAGAAATGTGAGAAGTATTTTCCCATCGAAATTGAGACAGCTAGTTATGTTTCAGCAGGACCGTCTCTTTATAATCCCAAAGCAAGAGTTGTAACATTAAAGGTAAGAGAACTTTTTAACATAAATACACCCCCTACCTATCTTGTGCTTGTAAAGTTGATTTTTTTGAACGTAAGTGTGAGATTATAGTTATCCCAATTAAATTTCCTCTTATTATAGTCAACCCAACATTCTAACCTTTTAAGATTGTTTAGAATTCTGACTCTATTGTCCATCGTATTAACTATCCCTCTCGGTTTTGTGTCATTTGAAGTGTGTGTGTGTGTGTGTGTGTATCAGCCTTTATACAAATCATTGGTAAAAATGTTTAAGAGTAAGGGCCACCCACAAATCACTGGGATATTTCCATAGAGACTTCTCTCCTAGTTGACATTTACCCACTAATGTCCAATTTTTTTCTTTTTTTGGTAATTGAACTAGTTCCAAATCTACCTCACCATATTGTTGTCTAGTCCACATTGCTGCATCTTTTCCACAAGAAAGAAATCAGATACTTTCTTTACATCTAGGTAAAATTTTCTGGATGGCAGTTTGGAATTTTTTTTTTTGTCTTTTTTTTTGGGGAGGGTTAGGCAATGGGGTTAAGTGACTTGCCCAGGGTCACACAGCTAGTAAGTGTTATGTGTCTCAGGCCAGATTTGAACTCAAGTCCTCCTGAATCCAGGGCCAGTGCTCTATCCACTGCGCCACCTAGCTGCCCCTGGAATTATTTTTTAAAAATAAGAAAAGTAGCTTTTTTTAAAAAGTGTCTAAAATACTCATACTCAGAGATCTCACTCTGTATGCTAGACATACAGTGTCAGGGAGGTCAAAGACCTCCAAAGAAAGGTTCCATATGCACCAAAATATTCATAACAGTACTTGTGATAAGAGAGGATTGTGAACAAAGGGATGCCAGTTAGGTAAGCAATAGCAAAACAAAGTGTTGCTTGTAGTAAATGAAGGTAAAGCAATATTACTATGGTATAAGAAAGGCTGAATATGAAGAATTTAGAGAACCATGGGAAGACGTATGTGAACCGGTGCAGGGAAGTAAGTAGTCAGTCAGTAAGCAAGCATTTATTAAATACCTGCTGTGTTCTGAGCATTGTAGTAGGTTGTAGAGATGCACAGACAAAAATGAAGTAGCCCCTATACTCAAGCGCATTCAGGGACTTGAATTTGGGGGTTGGAGGCATAGGACGGGGGATGGAGGCAACATGTACATATGTTATTAACTACCAAATGTTTACAAAATAAATGCCTGTAATTTTGAAGTAGAAGACACTAGTATCTGAAGGGATCAGGAAAGACTCTATGTGGCAGGCAGTGTTTGAGCTGAGTTGTGAAGGAAATGAGAGGTTCAGAGAGTAGACTCCAGACATGGAGGTCATAGAAACAGAATACATATACTGTATGTAAGGAAAATACAGAGGACCCAATTTGACTAGAATAATAATATACAATAAAGTTAGAAAGGTATGTTGAGGACAGGCTGTAAAGGATTTTAAAAACCAGCTAGAGAAACATATCTGATCCCAGAGGCAGTAGTGGAGTCATAATGTTGCCTATTGGAATGACATGGTCAGACCTGGGCTTTAGAAAAATAACTTTATTGTCTATGGTGAGAAAGTATTGGGGAGGAGAGAAACTTGAGGGAGGGAGACCAGTTAGGAGGCTATTGCAGTAATCCAAGTGAGAGGTTATTAGGGCCAGAATTAGAATGGTGGCTATGTGAATAGAGAGGAAGGGACAAACATGAGATGTGTTGTGGAGGCAGAATGGAAAAATCTTGTTAACTGATTGAATAGGTACATAACATGAATACATCAATGTTAATGGAAAGAACAAAAAAAGAAAGCTTTGTAATCATAATAACCAAGAAGGTTGTCCTTGGAAAAGAGTTGAAAAAATACATTTCCTTACCTTTTTTACAGAGGTGGGAGAATCTGTGGGTATTGAATATTATATATACTATTAGACTCAGTTGATTGGTTGATTGGTTTTGTTGACCTGCTTCCCTCCCCTTGTTGAAAATTCTCTGATACAAAGAATTGTTTCCTAAGTGGGAGTGGAAGGAGGGAGGCACATTGAAATGAAGGTGATAGAAAAGCAAAATATATCTGATGCCTTTCTAGTGTTGTTTTACTTTACATTATTGTAGTCATTGGGTAAGTTGTTTTAGTGTTTTGACTTCTCTTTTCTTTAATTCATACAAGTTTTCCCAACTTTCTATGAATTTTTCATATTTTGTCATTTCTTTTGGCACAGTAAATGACCATTTTCACTCATATGCTACAATATGTTCAGCCATTCTTCAGTCAGTGGCCACCCACTTTGTTTCCAGTTCTTTGCTACCACAAAAACTATTGCTACAAATATTTTTGCATACATAAGGCTTTTATTTCAGTCTTTGACATCCATGTGGGTTTATGCTTAGTAAAGCTATTCCTAGGGCAAAAGTTATATTCAGTTTAATGACTTGTGTAGTATAATCTAGATTGTTTTACAGACTCTGTATATAATACTGGACATAGCTGTAGTATGGATTTGTTTTGCCGAAAAAATTTTCCCTCTTTTTATTCTTTGTTAAAAGGGGATTATTTTCTTGGATGGGGAGGGATTTTCTGGGTGATGTAAAAACAAAAGATATCTCTAGGCATGGGGGTGCATGATTCTTCATGATGCATGACAGTCCCTGCTGCTAGGGAGGAGGAAGGAGGTAGATTACTTGAGTTTGAGAGTTCTGACCTGCAGCAGGGCTAAACTCTGCACTAAGTTTGCTGTCAGTATGCCCCCAGGAACAGCAACACCACTTGGCTGCTTAAGGAAGGACAGGCCAGCACTGGTTGGAAATGGAGCGAGTGGAAGTCTCTGTGCTAATCAGCGGGGAGGTCAATCTATGAGTGGCAGCTGCAGCCTGGTCAAGATGGGGAGACCTAGCCTCAAAGCAATGAGATATCAATAATAATATTAATGAATCAGATGTAATAAAAAAAATAGGAAAAATGGTTGGGGAAGATGAACTCCATTTTGGACATGTTGAGTTTAAAATGTCTCTGGAACAGCCAGTTGAAATATCCAGTAGGCAGTTGGAGATGTATTATTAGAGCTTAGGAGAAACTTAGATGTTTGAGAACCATTTGCATAGAGATAAAAAATAAAGCCCTCAGAACTAATGAGGTGAGCAAAGTAGAAAGAGAGTTGAAGAAGATTGAGAAAAGATCCCAGGGGCTTTCAGTTAAGGGTCATAAATATCAAACTGTCAAAGGAAACTGAAAAGGAGCGGTCTGACAGGTAGGAGAAGAATCAAGAGAATACATTATGAAAACTCAAGAGATGAGAGCGTGTTCAGGAGAAAAGGTGGTTCCCGGGGTTAGATTCTGCAAAGAGTTTGAGAGGGGTAAGGAATGGGAAAAGGCCCTAAGATTTGGCATTTCAGAGTTATGTCAACAACTCCATTTGTACTGGATATAGGAAGCAGCAAGCATGCAATTCCCAAAACCTGATCCTTTCAGATGGATTTAGTGTTGGCAGTCCCAATGGGGATATGTCTGGAAACATGGCTACTAAACATGTTAATGAGAATAATACTAAAGCGCCTATGGATACTACTTCTATATTTACTCATTCTGAGCATTTCCAAACATTATTTGATGCTCTTTTACTACAGAAAGTTGCTTTAAAAAAAACCACACCAAAAAACTAGATGAAATTTATGTTGCAGGTTTAGTTGCTCACGGTGATCTAGGTGAAGTTTTAAAAGAATTTTGTGAAGAAGATGCATTGGCACCACTTCAACAGTTTAAAGACTGCTCTCATGTCTCTCAGTGATGTTCAGAACAAAAATACCTTTTTATGTGGAGTCATGGAAACACATAGGTAGAGAGAGCAACAGGGACCCAAAATGGCAAGGCAGTCTTGGAAAGACTAGATTACACAATTGATGTGACCACTGGACAGAGGAAGTATGGGAGACCCCCTCTAGATTCATTGTTTTCTGGACAGCAGCCTTTCATTGGCCCATACCTGTTTGGAGATGAACTTGTTCCATTATTGGAAAAAGCTTTGCCTTTTTAGGATCTGTACTTAATGATGGATCGCCTGACTGGTATTTGCTTTTGTGGAGTATTTGCTTTTGTAGTTTTCTGTGCAAAGCAGCTCAGGAGGCTGCTAAACCATATAATATTCATGAAATTTGCTTTGGAAAACATTAGCATTTGCATCTCAGTCACCAATAATGGACTTCTTGTTGGGTCTATTCTTGAAGGATTTAGCAAATTACAGAGAGGGCCTTAGAGATGTCACTTTGTGCCAACAAGCTGGATGACAAGAAAAAAGAACCATGAGTATGAAGATCACAGAATTGGTGCTCAGACAAAGACATTGGTGAATGAGGGGCAGATGGGGGCACAGTCTGGATGGGCTTGAGCCAGTTCCTAAAAGGTGGATGTGCTGTTTATATGCATCTCTGCCAAGAAGACAGAAAAACGTTTTATCAGTTTGGGAGACTGGAATGAGTGAAGCGACTAAAAGATTATGCATTCATTCAGTTAGGTGACTGAGATGGCACTATAAAGACAAGGAAACAAATGAAACAAATGTAAAGGCAATGAAAGCAAAAACATAGAGTGGAGAAAATGCTGAAATTGTTTTTGCTAATCCAAATCAAAAAAGGTAAGAATGCAAAGCCCAGAGGCAAGTAGCTGAAAAACAAATGTATGATAATTTCTGCTGTTATAGTTCACCCCATATGCCTCCTTCAACAAGAAGTCAGTGCTGTGGAGGTAGGGGATGAAGGGATATCCTTCAGGTTATTATGGGCATGAGGATTATTGTGATTATTTTGGCTATGATTATCATAACTGTCATGGTAGATATGAAGATCTTTATCATGAAGATTTTCAAGTTGGAGATAGAGAAAGAGGTATTAGAAGAACCTTAATGCTGCTCCATCCAGAGAGTATGAGGCTGCTCCTTCCTGCGGCAGAGCTGAGAGAGATGGTCCTGTATCAGAAAGAGGCATTTGTGGTGAGAAAAGAGGTAGCCAGCAACAAAGAGGCCACCAGGCGTGAGAAGCTGGAACTAACTCATCTATTAACAATGAAGCTGACTTGCTTTGTGGGATTACACCAGAAGCCTGCAGAGGAGAAATGTCAGGCACTCTTAAGTATTTTAGTTGAGTGTACTGAGTATATATACTGCTGTGGAAGATCTTTCAGTGAAGATCTGACAAGTTTTTCTGCAGTGCAAGCTATTACAACTAAAGCTTCTTTATTTTCCCAGTGTATTCTAGCAAAATCGTTCATAACTTACTTTAATAAAGAATAATTTCTCTCTTTTTTTAAAAAAGTCATTGGTAACTTTGAAGAGAACAGCTTTAGTCAAAGATGATGATGATGATGATGGAATCCAAGAAGTGAGTGTGAGAAGAAATGTGGATAGCTTTTTCCAAGAATTTGTGCAAGGGAGGAGAGACTTGGAATTTGAGGGAGTGATAAGTGAGTGTGAGAAGAAATGTGGATAGCTTTTTCCAAGAATTTGTGCAAGGGAGGAGAGACTTGGAATTTGAGGGAGTGATAAGATAGATCCAGGGTTTGATCTAGTATTGATCACCTTGGGCTTTTTTTGTAAACAGCAAGGGAAGAACTGGGAGATAGAAAGAGCCTGAAGATTAATGAGAGAGATTCCTAGTTATAGAAAACACAGTCCACTGGAGAAGATAAGAGAGGATTAAGAATACACATAATGAGATCGGCCTTAACTGCAATTTATTAGAAGTCAGTAAAGGAAGAATAAGAGATGAGGTCAACAGGTTTTGAGATGTAGAACTCATGGCAAATAGTCTTGATTTTCTCAGTAAAGTACTAGGTGAGGTCCTCAGCTGAGAGGATGGAAAGGATATGGGGTGGAAGACTTGAGGGAAGAAGAAAAAGTTAAGAACTGTCCCTGTGGGGAGTGGGATAGAGAAACCATTAGGCAGAAGTAAAAGGATTGTCTTTCTGCTATGAAGACCCAGTTGAGTTTAGATAACACAAATTTGGGCAACTAGGTGGCTTAGTGGATAGAACACTGGGCTCGAATCAGGAAGACTCATCTTCCTGAGGTCAGATCTGGCCTCAGACACCTACTTGCTGTATGACCCTGGGCAAGCCCCTTAATCCTCTTTGCCTTAGTTCCTCATCTGTAAAAATGAGCTGGAGAAGGAAATAGCACATCACTGTAGTATCTTTGCCAAGAAAAGCCCAAACGGAGTCACGAAGAGTCAGACACAACTGAAATGACGAAACACCAACAACATAAACTTGTAGTGGACCCAGGCACAGCTGCCTGATTTCCTTCAGCTCATTTCATCAGCAGTAGGAGCAAAGCAGGCATATGTAATAATGCAGGATTGGGGTTTGGAAAGACAAAAACATAAAAAGACAGGGGCAGTGGATTCAAGAGTAGATGACAGTACAGAGTTGAATTGGTTAACTATAGGTTTGAGATTGAAAAGACAGGTAAGGGATGTCAGAGCAGGGCTGATGGCCCATAAGAGGACTGAAGGATGGAGGGATTAGTAATCCAGGTGAGGTCAGAGATGAGGTTTGGGAGGGTTAGGGTATAGAAAGAAATGGAGTGATAGGAAGATATGATCTGATAAAGAGATTTTCTAGTTGAAGTGAAACACTTGTGGGTATGACGAGGATATCTCCATTCCTGTGTTTGACTGAAATGGAGAGAAGACAGCTCGTAGTAGTTGAGGAAAGTATAATATTAGGACAGTCAAGTTGGGGTATGGAATTTTTTGAGAGGAGGCAGAATGACTTAGGGAAAAGATAATTGATATTAGGATCTGGATTGTGGAATGGGTAGATAGATAAATTGATGAGTGAATAGATAGATGGCATTTATTAAAGACTTACTCTATGCTAGGTGCTGGGGGTTATGAAAATAAATAGTCCCTACTCAAGTAGCTTACATTTTAATACATTGAAGACAAAATATACAGGGGAGCTGGAAGGCCTGGAGGAGAGTAGAGGGGTTAGAAAATCAAGCCATAGGTTGAGCCTGAAGTGTAACAGCAGGGCTGGGCCTTCCCGTGATAAAGGGACTTCTCATGGAAGGGTTTGCATCAGCATGGAGTCATCCAGTGGTGTGAATCTCAAAAAATGACAGGCTACTGACTGGTGACAGCAAAGGGAGTGTTAAGAAGTAGCAGTGGGGAGCAAAGAGAATTCTGACTCCTCTAGGACCAGGGTGTCAGGAGTGTGAGAGAAAGTGTAGCCAATGCTGGGTAAGGGTGGCTAGGGCTGAATATGATCATGAGAAGATGGAAGGAGCCTGGAGGACAAAAATGGAAAGAATTTTGTTATTCGTGGAAGGGAAGTTCCAGAGTGGTCAGTGGAAGGGACGGGACATAGGAAAAGTAGGATTGAGGTGAATGGGAATGAGGAACTAGAAGTAAAGATTGTCGAGGGGTATCTCATATTCATCACTAGGATGGTGAAGAATAATGTTTTTAAGTGCATAAAATTAAATATAAGAGATTGCAGAGTAAACCAATTACATTAAAATACAGTTATTTTAAAAAATAAATTCACGCCAGATTAGGATAGTGTTATTGTTAGGAACCTGTTGTTGGTATCTATTATAAATAGCCCTTGAGACATTAGAACTGTTACTACAGAGGAAGGAAGTAAATATCTTGTTTCTTATTCATTTCCTTGACCTTCTGAGTTTTATAGCAGTAGCCCAGAATCAACAAGAAGAAATAATTAAAATATTTTAGCTTTTGTGAAGTGTGTGTGTGTGTGTGTGTGTGTGTGTGTGTGTGTGTGTGTGTGTACAGGGTAGGGGGGAGAGGGAGAGGTGTTTTTTTTTTCTATATCTTGCTGAATGGCTTTTTTGAAAACACAAATACCTGTGCCTGTCAAACTTGAAAGGAGTTTAAAATGTTCCCTATTACCTTTGGTATAATACTAATAAATGAATTTTTATACTCTGAAATAGAGGAACTTTTAAAAAAACTTTTTTTTGGTAGTTTTGTTAAAACAGTGAAAAAGAGATGCTGACTGGTGTCAGTGTGTACAAGGTAAAAGTGATTTTGCAATGCCTTTTTGTGCTAGCAGGTGGCGTAAGTGTTCCATGAAGCTGCTTTGAAATGTTTATGAGCTTATGGTATAAAATTTATGCAATTTTGCTGAAGCATTAAAATGTTAATGTGAACATGAGTAAGTAGTGACATGAATAATACTGTGATAATAAGGATTGCAGCTATGCATATACATTTTCTTTGTATTTCTTAGATAAATGCCCAAATTATGGTGGTTATTAAATATTTTTTAGAAGTTTTATGTTTTCAAAATACTTCAAACATATTCATTGTTCTTGGCTGGCAGATGTTTTAAAGGTCAATATTATTACTAAGTGCCTTTAAAAACTTTTCATTTTGCCTTTTTTGTTGTTTCCCCCCTTTATTATTTTAAAAGGTGTTTCTAATAAAACCTATTTTATTTAGGCAGTTCTTAACAAACCAAAAAATATATCCTATCTCTCTTTAAAAATAACTTCTACTAAAATTAATGAAAGGGCTAGAGAAAGGCAGTCACTTAATCTTTTTTCCCTCCTTCCAGACAGACATTACCCAAGCCATTCTAGATAAATAGAAGTCTGGTTTGTTTTTAAAAATCACTTTGTAAGGAGAATCCAATTGCATTTAGTGTGCTGTTTCCAAAAATTTGTCCATATGTCTTCACCAAGCTTTTTCTCCTTCAAGGCTTTTTTTCTGTTCAGCCTTGAATAGAGAATGATCACATATTGATAGAGTGGTGAAGGTGCCCTTTCTCATATTGTTACACCAAGTTTTTTTACTTTTTTCCCCCCTTAGGTTCTGTTTCTCATTTTCTTCAAAGTCTAACCTATCCCTGTTAGGTGAATGCCTCTAAACTAGATAGAGTAATATGGTTCTGGTTGTCTGGTAATCCATCAAAGTCAACAAGCATTACTAAGCTTCTACTTGTTTTGGTTTTTTTTGTTTGTTTGTTTGTTTGTTTGTTTTTAAGCTAGGCAGTGGGGTTAAGTGACTTGCCCAGGGTCACACAACTAAGCTGCTACTTGTGCCAGGTATAAAAATGTGAAGACTAGAACAATCCCTAGTTCTAGAGAAAAGATCAGTAGGTCTATATTCAGAGGACCTGGGTTCAAATTCTACCTCTGATGCTTATTGCTTGTGTAGCCTTGAGCAAGTAACTTAATCTCTTTGAGCCTCAGTTTCTGCACCAGTAAAATGAAGGGATTGGACTAATTGGCTGCTGGGGTCCCTTTCAGTCCTCATTGTAGGATCCTATGGAATATTTGTGTGGTTTTTACATACTGTCTTTTACTGCTATGTCCCAGACTTACTGTTCCACCCATGAGAATTGAGTAGATTAACTTCCTGAAAGTAATTCTCAGTTTCCTAGAAAACTCAACATTTGATCTTTTGGGGAAAGTACCCAATGTGTAGACTAACCAGAAAACTCAGAGGAACTTGACGTGATTTTGCTGTTCCCTATCCTCTTGCTGTGAGTAATAGGATAAGTCTATTATTATATGCCATCAGATGATTTTATCTTTAGAACAAGATTCTGACTGATTCCAACCTAGTTGACATAAAAATCTAAACTGAATAGTGTTATCACCTGCTTTTGGTTGTTGTTGATATTAAAAAACATCTAAACTAATTTTTTATACATTCCCTCTTGGGCTTTTTAGGTTAGACTTTCCAAACTGAATTTAGATGACCATGCAAAGAAGAAATTGATTAAGCTCGTTGGAGAGAGGTACTGCAAGAACACAGATATACTTACGATCACTACTGACAGGTAAAGGCAGAAACTTCACTCTGTCAGCCATTTATTTGTAGGGCTTTGCTTCTCTCCTCCAGAAATCATTGTGGCGCAGTCATTTTATCTTAACGCCAGGCTCAGATTTAGGCTTAGCCAGTACTGTTATTTTAAGTTTATCTGTTTATTATGCATTAGTCAGTGGGAACATCTTCATTTCATGAAGATGAAAGTAGGATTTATTGGTCATTTTAATTTGTAAACTTTTTCCAAATACAAAAAAAGTAACAGTCATATAATTTAAAATATGTAATAATTTAAATATTTTACCTTAGTAATAGGTTCATTTATCAATATGTCTTCTTGAGGTAATAAAGGTTTTGGGGCCAGAATTAAAGTTTTTATCAACAATGTTTACTTTGGCTGAATAAATTGAACTTAGATCAGTTTTGATAGGTAAAAGGAGGGTCAAAGTAGAGATGATCCTAGTAGATTTGAATTCATTGTGAAGGTTATAGCTACACTCTGCCAAACATTTTGGTTGTAAAGTAGAAAATGGATCCTATCATGGGTTTTTTCTCTCTAAATCACCAACCATTTGGATATTTTCAAATATGTTGATTTCAATAAAGTTGCTAGTGATAAATTTTAAAAGGTTTTTTTCAAACTGAACTAAATAGAAATATAAATCTTATGTAGCAAGTATAAAATAGCCAAGTTTTCTTACTTAAAGTTAACTTATTTGAATTCATCATGACTCATTGTCTTTGTTGGTGAACATTAAAACATAATCAACTTTGAAAAAGACACCAAAGTATTTTCATCATCCTAGACTGTTGTATTGGGAGTACTGGCCAAGGAATGGTTATGTGGGGGATTTTTATTGGATCCTTAATTATTGGCAGTGATTGATTCCTGACATTTTACTTCTATTTCCCCTCTTGAGGAAAATAAATATGTGGTTGTTATTCAACTTGTATAACTTAAGGGAAAAAATTCTTTAAGTTTTAATGATTAAGTTCTATTATCTTAATGCTGTGTTATTATATTTAGCATTACTTCAGTACTTCAAGAATCTAAGGTTTCATATGGGGAGAAAAGAGTCAAGGGATTTCATTCACTGATGCACATATACCAGCCTTTGCCATATCTTAGTAGAAAATCCATGTGAATTGTTGTGGCCAGAGGATCCTTCCATGAGCCTCTCCAAATTTAGCTAGGGTAGTGTTTGGACAAGAGATAGATAAATCTGGTGCAGCTAGGTGGCACAGTGGATAGAACTCCGGCCTTAGAGTCAGGAGGACCTGAGTTCAAATCCGATCTCAGACACTTGATACTTACTAGCTGTGTGACCCTGGGCAAGTCACTTAACCCCGATTGCCTCCCCAAAAAAAGAGAGACAGAGAGAGAGATACATAAATCCATTGTGAGGCTTATAATTAAATCTCCTCTAGCCCTTATCACTTCTTAGCACGATGGAAGTATCCGAGTGTTTACAAACATAAATGATTTGTTGTTCAGTCATTTCGGTGATGTCTGAGGGCTGTAACTCTATTTGGGGTTTTCTTGGCAAAAATACTGGAGTAGTTTGCTATTTCCTTTTCCAGCTCATTTTTATAGATGAGGAAACTGAGGCAAACAGGGTTACATGACTTACCCTGGGTCACACAGCTAGAAATGTCTGAGGCTGGATTTGAACTCATGTCTTCCTGACTCCAGGACCTCCACTCTATCCACTGCAACACTTAGCTGCCTTCCAGCATAAATTATAGTCTGTGTTTAGTGGCAATAATTATTTCCAGTAGAAGACTGTAAATAAACTTTGACTAGAGTGGTACCGCAATTCAAGCAATTAGTTACATGGTAGTTACATCAGCATAGTGTGGTGTGTAGAAAGATGGCCTCACAGTTAGCAAGACCTGGGTTCAAGTTTTGCCTCTGCCACATACTTGCTCTGTTGCTCTAGGCAGATCACTTACAGTGCCTCAGGCAACTTTCTTAAGACTGTAAATTGCAGAGTATTGGTAGGAGGAGTGTCCTCATCAGGAGTTGTCTACACCACAAGTGTCAGACACCGCATTTGGCCCACAACACTCTGAGTGTGGCCCAAACCAGATTAAAATGTAATTGGGAAGTACTTAACAAAATAAATTAATTAATAAAAAAAGAAATATATAAACATAAGTGGTTTTTAAAGTCAATATGCAGCCCACAGAGATCCTTAGGTATGGTCTGGTGGTCCCTGTTTCTATTTAAGTTTTAACACTACTGCTCTACACCAGTGAAACCACAGGTCTGGTTTAAAAAAAAAGTTACATTTCTATTTTCAAATAAACCAAATGATATTTCTTTTTCTGCATTGCTTTCTTATACAAAATTAACAGGACACACACATTTCAAACTTATGGAAAGATTACCTAATCCTTGATGGTTATCTACACTAAAAAAAAAATAAGATTATATATTCTAGTTAGCTTTTCAAAGTTAGATTTGAGAAAATAATTTTTTTTCAATACTGGGACTATTAGTAGACAGAAGTTTAGTGAATTCAACAATTTACTCATGTAATTCAAGAGGCAGTCATCACTGAGAGAATGAATGGAATGGAATTCTATTTGGAGATTTTTAAAAAAATTTCATTAAGTCTAAAACAATTACTAGGCCAGGCATTTGCATTAAAGAAGGAAGCAAGTGGATACTCTGAATTAAATAAAAATAACCCAAGGAAATACTTTGTTTTATACATAATATAATAAGGCATCTATTTATCAGCTATGTAAAAAGTTTCCAAGCACAGGAATGAATTTTAAAATATTGATGAAGAATAAGAAGGGTAGATTAGTATATATACAGTTGTAAAAATTCAGCTTACTGAGATTTTAATCACTGTTTTTCTTACTCTTTTAAAGATGTCCTTTACAGAGACAGAATTATGACTATGCCATGTATCTATTAACGGTTTTATACCATGAATCATGGGTAAGTTATTCTGTTTTGAATATTTAACATTTTAGCAACAGTTTAGTCAAATGGTGTTAACTTTTCACAAAGCCTTATAAAGAAATACTCAGTCGAGTGTTTTATGAATATTAATTAATTAACACAGGTATGGTACAGAATGTCATTAGTAGCTGCTGCACTGAAAGTAAGGTAGCTAAAACACAGAGGGAAGCCATTTTACCACATGGGAGGGGAAGGGAACAGGCATTTATTTCATGCTTACTTTTTGCCAGGCACTGTGCTAAGCACTTTTCTACAAATATCTCATTTGATCCTCATAATAACCCTGGGAGGTAGGTGCTATTATCCCCCATTTTACAGATGAGGAAACTGAGGCAAACAAGTGAAATGACTTGTCCAAGGTCACACAACTACTGAGAGTTTGATGCTGGATTTAAACTCCACTGGATTTGAATGGCAGCAAAGGTGAATGCTGCTCTTGCTTGAGACAGTATAAATTAATAGTAATTTTGGCTTGAAGAAGTAAAATTCCTTTTGGGATTTATAACATAGTGAGTAGAACTCAGCCTCAAGTGCAGATTAACTCAAAACAATAAATGGCAGTCAGTTTTGTGTCTTTCCCATTTTGCCAGCAGCCTATAATGTAAATTTGCGCCAAAGGAAATGACAGGCGTAAATGCAGTGAAAGTTGACTACCAGATTCTTTCTCTGGTTCTCCATCCTAGAATCCAAATAAGCTGACATTCTGGGTTCACGTGAGAAGCCTTTGATCTTGAAAGTTAATTGCGTTGGTGCCAGAGGAGCAACAGAAGACTGGAGTGAATAGATGTAATTAAAGAAAGACTGTATTAAACTTGGCTCTTGATCCTTTCTCAACATGTCCCATCAGTGAAGAAGCTTTGAGCTGGAGAATCCAGATGAGCCATGAAAATATGCAGCTAAACAGCATTTTTAATGAATTGCAGTCTTTTCTTCCTTTACTAAAGTGGAATTCCTATTTGAAATTCAATGGCACCACCTAGTATTTGATGAAGGAGAGTCTTGTTTTCTAGTCCTTTTCAACTCATTTTGATGCTTATTCTTAACTGTTTATCAATCGATTAATCAGTAGGTCTTTATGAAACACTTACTGTGTACTAAGCACTCTAGTTATAAATAACAGTGAATGAACCAATCCTTACAAGGAGAGTACTTCTAACAGGGGAGACAATGAGGATACCTATAAATATATATAAAATAAATCTGAGGAGAGTAAATATAAGTAAATTTATTTATGTCTTTAAATAAGGGTAGTGTGAAAGGGAGGATGTTAGCAGTTTAGGGTATCAGGAAATCTTTGTTTAAGCAGATATTGAGCTTTCTTCAAGGAAGGGACAGTTTTTCTGAGGCAGATGTTAAGAGGGTGTGCCTTCCAGGTAAGGGGACAGCCAGGTGATGGGAGATAGAGTGTGTATAAGGAACACAAAGAAGGCCAGTTGGACTGAGTCACAGAGTTCAAGAGGAGGAGTGATTATAATTAATGACTCTGGAAACATAGGTTTGGACAAATTAGTGAAGGACTTTGAAAGCTAAACATAGTTTATATTTGATCCTAGAGGCAACAGGGACTGACTGGTGTTTGGGGATTAAGAGAGTGACATTGTTGGATCTATGCTGAGGAAAATCATGTTGCTAGCAGTACAGAAGATGGAACAAAGCAGGGAGAGACCAGAGGCAGGAAGACTGATTAGGAGGCTATGAAAGTAATCTGGGTGAGAGGTAATGAGGGCCTAAACTAAGATGTTAACTATATGGGTGAAGAGAAGCTGTTGGCTGCAAGAGGTGGTGTGGAAATAGAAAAAGTAAGATTTGGTACTTTTAAAATGTGAAGTGAGAATGGATGAAGGGTTAAGGAGAAGGCCAAGGTTATGGATGTGCAAGAATGAGAAATGAGTTCTGCTTGAGAAGTGTTGAGTTTGAGACATGACCCAGTATGGAATTACAGTTAGAGAGCCAGTCTTGAAACCTGGAAGACTTGGGCACTGTCACCTCTAACATTTACCAGACTTGTGCAAGTCACTTAACCTTTCTGTGCCGTAGACAACTCTTGAGACTCAAAGCTGCCAGCCTGCTTTGGCATGGTAAATTTCCTCTCCTGGCAGTTCAGATATCAGTATAATAAAAGGGCCAAGCTCTATATATTCTCCCTGAAACATTCTTTTTTATAGTTCAATAAGCATTTAGTGATATGAGATTAAAGCTCAGGAGAAAGACAAGGGCTAAGTATATAGGTCATCTGCATAGAGGTGATACTTAAACCTATGGGAGCTGATGAATTGACCGAGTAATAGAGTAGGAGGCCTAGGAAGAACTTTGGAGAACACCCAAGTTAGAGGGTGTGACGTGGATGATGCCCTAGCCAAGGAGGCTTACTGAGCTATTAGACTGGTAGTAGGAGACCCAGGAGAGAGCAGGGTCATGAAAACCCAGGAAGAAGAGAGTCTTCAGGAGGAGGGGGTGTTAGCAGTGTCAAATGCTACAGAAAAGTTGATAAGGAAGACTATCAGATTCATTGGTAACTTTAGAGAGAGCTTTTTCAGTCAAATGATGAGGTTGGCAGTCAGATTACAAAGGAGTATGAGGAAAGATAGTGAACTCAGCTGTTTCTAGTTGTTTGGCAGAGGGAGGAAAGGGAGATATAGATTGAGAGGATCAATTGACCAGTCAATCAGCAAGTTACTTATTAGAGCCTGTTATGTGCCAGGCACTGTCCCAGGCTCTAGGGTTACAAGAAAAAAGAATGAAATAATTTCTACTTGAAATGAGCTTGCTGTCTAAATGGAGAGGACAGTAAGTACATATAAAAATCTATACAAACAAACCACATAAATATAAAGTCATTAAGTACAAATATATTCAAAATAGTTAAATATAAGATAGTTTGAGAAGGAGAGTGCTAGCAGTTGGCAGGGATCAGGAAAGACTTTATGCAGAAGATGGTACCTGAGCTGCATCTTAATGGAAGAGAGGGACTCTATAAGGCACAGGTAAAGAGAGAGTGCATTCCAGCCGTGAAGGATGGCCAAAGGAAGATGGGATATGGAGGAACAGAGAAGGTCAGTTTGGTTGGCTCGAACAGTGCAAGGAATGAGAAACGATAGGACAAAGGGACACAGGATTTGAGAGTAGAAGACAGCATAGAATTGAACTGTCTGTCTCTAAGGTCAAGAGTAGGGAAGGGAAGGAAGTAAGATCAGAGCAGGAGTAATGGCCAGAGAATGAAGAGTGGAGGGATTGGCCGTTACAGTAAGGACAGTGAAAGGCTTTAGGAGGAGTGAGGCACTGGGAGAGATTTAATTAGGGAAGTGGAAAACGTGAGTGGTGGCAGGATCAAGGCTGTGACCGTGCCTGTGCTAAGGTTGAGGTGGAGTTTCAGAGAAGTAGGTCATAGCTTTGGAGGAGACTCAGGAATTAACAGGTTAAACAGTTTAAGAGAGTATCCACCTGGATGTTGAAGTCCCCCAGTGTAAGAGCAGCAGATGGGGAGGAGAAGAAAAAATGAGTCAGGTGCTGAACTACTCAAGAAAGAGTTAATAACACGTGACACAACAGCCACCATAATTATGGAAATTTTTGATACCATGAACCTCTGAGGAGGAAAGTTTGCTGAGTAATGGTGGTGAAGGGAGTCTGGAAGTAGAAGTAAGGCATTTCCCCTCCAAGATTAATGTGTTGGGTGTGTGAGTGTGAAAAGTCACCTGGGGGAAGAGAAGAACCAGGGGTGTGGTGGGGAGGGGAGGGAGGAAAAGGAACCAGGGCTAAATGAGGGCTAATAGGTAGAAGGACAGTGAGAGAAAGAGGTCAGGATGAAGGGAGGTTTGTTCATTTCAAAATGAGAATTCCAGAGGATTCCAGTGGGCAGGTTTGGAGTAAGATATGGGTGAGAGGGTGTTGAGGAGAATGGAGTTTAGAGAACAGAAGATGAAGGTTGGGGTTAGTTTTCTCTTAAGCAATTGATTAATAAGATAGATAAAGAGCAAATGAATTAAGATTTGTAAAAGCACTTAGCACAGTACCTGGCATATAGTAGGTGCTATGTAAGTACTTATTTCTTTCCCTTCCCTTTAGTTAGATTTTGGCATGGAGTAGGGAGACAAATACTTTCTCTAAGTTGTCATTGATACATTAGTACATGATGAGTAAGATGAAGATTCAGTTTATTTGGATGATAGTAATCTAATTATCTAATTTTTATGGGAAGTATAAAAATATATGGATGGTCATTTTCTGAAGACGTTGGAATCCTTGTGCTTTGAAGAATTCTCATATCATTGATGTATATGGTGGATAAGTACAGCTCAGTCCTGATTCCATGTTTAATCCACTGTAGTTAGATTTTTAAAAAGTTTCTCGAAGTTTTCATTTAATATAAAATAAGTTAGTAAGATCAGATTCAGTTTCTTGGGTCCCTAGTAATCAAGCTTCCTAATGGGAAGTGTGAGAATTTCATCTGGATGCTACTTTTCTAAAAAATGTTGGAATTCTTGTGCTTCAAAGTATTCTTCTGTCTTTGGTATAGATGATGAGTAAATGCAGTTCAATCCTTATCCCAATTTACTTGCAGCAGGAGGCATGGATAAGAAGGTTAAACTTTCTGACATATTAGGAGGTGAAATGCATTTATTTTGTAAAGTGGGAATCTGTTAGTTAACACAAAATAACCTTCATTTTAGTTTCAAAACATTATGCAAGAAGCCGTTGTGTCTAGAATGGTAGTTCTCAAATTATTTATGGTCAAGGCACAGTATTCTTTGTCATGAGGACCCACAGCACTCTGAGCTGTTTAAGTTGGTTGAAAAAAGAACAAAAGGAGTTTAGTGTCCACACCCATCACCCAGTCTTTGAGAGTGTTCCTCCTCTCCCTCTCCTTCCCTACCCTCTTTTTTTTCTTTTTTCTTCTTCAACTGGACCCTCATCACAGATGTCAATTCTTTTATTCCTTTCTGATCCTTCCCTCCCCAAAGAAATTATTCCAAATC